GCCTCCAATCCCCCACCACCGCTGCCACTACCAACACCAGCACCACCACCAGAACCACCACTAACGACACTGCACCCACAGCTGCCACAGCTGCGACTGCCAAGAGGGCGGTGGGACTGGTGCAGGCTGTATCTGCAGCTCTGGCTGCCATACTTCAGCTGCTGCACAAGGAATGTGTGCTGCCAGCAGCTTCCACCGAAGCTTCTGCAGAAGCTTCCCAGAAGCACCTTCCGCCTCTGGTGGTTTCTGGGAAGCTGCTGTCATGCGCTCTGGGATTGTTTATTGGTGAGTCTGCCTTTTGGTCGTCGCTTATAATATCCCACTGGCACTCTACAGCACAGAGCCAACCACCTGTTGGGAAGAAGACAAAAAAGACCGCCCAGGATGCGGCCCAGCAAAGCCTGCCGGACGAGGTGGTTCGGGCAGTCAAAGCTGCCCAGGAGTTGGCTCAGGCAGGACTACAATCCCTGCGAAAGGCCTTGTCCGGTCAGATTAGCGGTAGGGGTCGTCTGCCCGATAATGACATGGCTTTTGCTCTTATCGAGTTGCTCCCTGGCGTGAACAGTAGTGTAGCTGTAGACGATCAAAGGGCGGTAGCAGGGAGAGTGGTTGGCGATGTATGCAAGGTGAAAAAAGGGTTGAAGGGAGGAGCATCGGGCCAGCAGGATGCGAGCATCACTTCAACGGAAGGCAGAAGAGACAAGGAAAATGGACTGCAAAGAGATAGCGATGGTGATTCTGGAGAAGGTGGTAGTGGTGTGGATGTGGCGTCTGGTGATTGGAGCATCAGCTCTGCTGCTGAGAGGGTGCTGTGGAGCCATCGGCGGTTCATTCAGCAACTCGTTGCCTTGCTAGATTGCCAGATTAGCATCCTAGGTTCCACTTAGGCAGTACACGGAAGGGTTTAAATGCTGGAGATTTTGACAGGGCACTAGTTCCTGAGATGTAGGTAGAAACATTTAGGTAGTTTTCGCCCACATAAATGGCTGTGATTGGAATGAAGACTGAGCTGTATTTAAATCAGCGAACCCACGCAGGTGTGCTTATAGTGGGTACGATTGTTTCGCGTTGAGACACGATTCTGCGCCAATTTCGCCCTCCCATTTTGTTTCGCATTTTTCGATTGTGTGGCTCTCGTCGCCCCTGTGTTAGTCCCATTTTCGATTCGCGAAGCGATACGTACCTTGGCGGACTTGAGATTTGGTGGGTGTGGTGGGTGGGTGTTGCTCCTTCTTGCCTTGATTCATTTTGCCAACCGCATTCATGGGACACACAAATTTAGTACAAGGCGTGGTTTGATATGTGCTCCCCTCATGGCTGAAACACAGGAGTGGTAGCATGGGCCCATCACATAATATCATGTGCATAGATACTGCCCCATCTAGCTCAAATAAAGCTGAGCAATACGGCCTCCTACGGTTTTTATCAGTGGGAGAAAGCGAGCCCTATACTGCCGAACCTCTTGCAGTTAATCGCCGATGCCTGTGTCAGGAGCAGGTAGCTAACCGAGGCTTCGAGCGTCAGGATACAGCCTGAGCCGAGGCGAAGGCAATGGTGGCAGCGCACGAAGCGAGCGACAAGAGCAGTGCGACAGCGCACGAAGCGAGCGACAAGTGCAATGCGACAGCGCACGAAGCGAGCGACAAGCGCAGTGCGACAGCGCACGAAGCGAGCGACAAGCGTAGTGCGACAGCGCACGAAGCGAGCGACAAGCGTATTGCGACAGCGCACGAAGCGAGCGACAAGCGCAGTGCGACAGCGCATGAAGCGAGCGATACAGGCAGTGTGACAGCAAGTGCTTCGAGCGAGAGGAGCACCGAAGTAGTGCTAATACAGCCGCAGTCTCTCAACACGACCTGCTACGTGGCTGCTCCCACTACGCCAATCGTCGCAATCCTCGCAATCCTTGCCACGTGCAGCGCGCTGGTCCTCTCGAGCCATCATCTGACCCCGCGGAACGGCTGGTTATTTCCGGCTTCCCGTAGTGATCATGTGATGACTCGCGCATTCCAGCAGATAGAATTACGCGCTTACACCGGTGATGGCGGTGATAGTGGAGATGTCGATAGGAGAGAGCGGGTGATGCGGAAAGACGGAGGCTGGTTTGAAGAAGCGACGAGGCGAATGGTGAAGGAGCGACGGGTACTCGGGGTTTTCAGCCTGTTGAGTGTGAGGCTGACATGGTGGAAACAGCGTCCGGCGAGTGAGCAGCAACAAAAGCAGACCCAGCAAGCGCAGGACCAGGCGAGGACGCGCAGGAAGCAGGATCAGCAAAGACGGCGGGCGTTGAAGCAACGCGCCCGTGCATCCAGGAGGGCTTCAGAATCAGCAACTACCGGAGTAGAGTTCATAGACAGACTAGCTGATACGCTGCCAATTCCCAAGGAGCCGAAGGTGACCGTTGGCGAAATCGTGGTGCAGGCGTTACAGCTGCAGATACATGGTAACCCGCTGGATCCCCAGAAGTTGGCGCTGTACATGAGTGCAAGGATGAACGCGTCGGGAAGCATGCTCAACCCTAACGCGTATACGATGCTCGCTGATACCATTTGGATGAACGCGAAGTACAAATGAAGTCGTGTGGGGAACACAAAGGTGACACACACACACACACATACACACACACACAAACACACACACACACACACACGCGCGCGCGCGCGCGCACGCACACAGTCGCACACCCCTTCCCCCTCTCGAACAACCCACACACTATATCCCAATTTCATGCTGTTTCCCTGGTCCACCGCTTCTCCTTTGTATCAATACCCCCCCCGTCGACCGCACAATCCACCCCATATTGTGTTTGTTTCTAAATGCACCTCCGCCTTTTCCCTACTCCATTTATCCACTCTCCATTCCCCACCATCATTGCACACCTCCCCCACATCCCAGATTCACAATGTGCAAGTGAAGGGACGCACAAGTGCGCCGTTTGCTGTGCCCATGAAAGTTGTTGACTTCCCCATTGTGTCCGGCACCAGCTACAGTACACTCGTTGCCGTCATGAATCAGAAACTGCCCATAGATGTGAGTGCAGCCAGCAGATCATGTCCATGGAGTGTACTTTACGATTTCTGAATCAAATTGTTACGCTTGCATTGAGCAGTTGGACCTATGTGATGCTTGTTCAGTTCCTGGGCCATTTTGGGACTTAAGCCTCCCCCAAACACCCTTCCCCACCTCCTCCCCCCACTTCTCCTCTCGTCTTCGTCCCTCTGCCTGCCTTTCTTCGTTGCTCTGTCTCTTTCTTCCCATCCTGGCTGCTTTACTTCAGGTACTGATAACCACACTTGCCCGAATTCGTTACAATGGAGTGACCTCACCACAAGTCAAGGTAAGCAGTCTAAAATTCATGATTTGTTGTCACATATGACCAGAGCTGGCTGGTGAAATTTGTATTATTCCTGGAATTCCTCATGAGCTCTCGTGCATTATTGCTGCTTACTTATCAGGCATACGTGAGATGCAAGGCCATTGTGAACCCTCTCACTATCCAAGTAATCTCCCAAGTATGTGGGAGTTCAAGCATTGGCCTCTGATATTTAACCCCTGCAGTTAATGCAACACGTTATCTACCACCTACCATAGATGGCACAGCCAGGTATTGCTGGTGCGAAATTGGCAGTGGCCAGCCATCAATATGTTCTGTTTAGTATGACGATCCCCTACCATATTTGACTAGGTTTATGATGTCAAGTCGTGTAACGTGGTATAGTGAAGGATTTATCAGAAGTCATAGTGTATATCGGAGCGCGAGTTCTGGCGCGAGTATGGCCATTTCAGCTCCCGCCAAATCGGTAGAACCCCATTCATAAATTGTAGCTCCCAAACCGCCAACACTCACTGAACGGACTTCTCTGAATCGATATTCTGCACTGAACTGCCAAATCCAACCGTTGGTTAGGAAAGACTTCGCCATGCTTACGTATGCGGACCGCGATGAACTCGGTGCCTGCGAAACCAGGCTGCGCCACCCCGACGTTTTCCCTTCTGCAATGAAAGTGGTCGACTCTCTCCCCTCCAGAATCTCGACTGGAAGGGAGCCAATTCCCAGGGCTAAGGTGCTCGGCTCGCAGTCGCACGCTCTTCATTCCACCCCACCCCACCCACTCACCCATGCACTGCCGCACTCACGGACCGCGGTACCCACCCTGACGACCACCGCTGTCTGCTGGTTGGCCGCCACGACTTGGATCTTGTCGTCCGCGGTAAACTGACCAATCATCGTTCCTCCTGACCACCTGATGTTCCCTCACACTTGGACTTCGTGAGCCACGCCTCACGAGTCCTCCTTCCGAACGCTGTCGTCGAGTCGTCACGACTGACTGTCTGCTCGGTCAAATAATCAGTCAAGCCGACTATCGCCGTCAATCGCCGTACCGTGGGAGCAGCAGCATACGGCACTCCTAACCCAGAAAGCCACTGACAGTCACCCGCCTGTTCACGCGCATATTGAGGTGCCTCGAAAGGTCGCAAGAGTAGCAAGAGTGATAATCACACTGTTATTCACCAGCATTCCACCCCTTTCCAGACTCTCGCATTCTAATACTAACACCAGTACGCACGCATTACAGTGTAGAGTGAAGCAGCAGCAGTCTATCACGCACTTCTTCCAAGCGCTTATGGCTGCTGCGCTCTTGAGGATGCTCCGCGCGTCGCCAGTGGCGCTTTTACTTCTGCTGTTACTCCAATGCTACCATTGCCACGTGGAAGCTCAAGGCGGGAAGTGCGACTTGAACGCAGGCTCGTGAGTCTCTTCTTCAGTCTAGAATCTTCAATCATGTGCATCTTCAGGCCGAAACCTCGCCCCATTTCCCTGCATTATTTGGCGTCCTCCGTTCGTACGCACCTAATTCCCTACTCGGAAGTAATGCACCTGAAGACGAAATTCCTTCAAGCGTGCTTAATATCCTTGGTGTTTAGCCCGTTCCAGTAACCACCTCTCAAAACCATTTTCCTAGCTGACAATTTCATCTCCTACCCTTCGTCGCTACCACATGCGTCAACTACGCATTGGCGAGGAGGGGAAAGAGTGAGCGGAAAGTCAGTGCTGCTCGTTCCTCTGGCCAGGGCGAGCTAGTATTCTTATGGTCAGCTGCTCATCGCGACCAAATGGCGCACGACCCCGCATTGCGAAGCGACTCATGAGCTGAAAGAGCAGCACAGACTACCCCCTCGCTCCCTCTCCTCCTCTGTCGCCGCACTTACTAGTCGCTCTCACCGCTCACTTCTCATCTCTCATCTCTCATCTTCCTCCATCATCCCTGCTCACCTTCCCAGATGGGTGCGCAACCCGTCTCTCCCCAAGCGCTACACGGGGTTGACGTGCAAGAGCATCCGGTCGAGCCTCAACTGCCAGAAGAACGGCCGCAAGGACACGGAGTATCTCAACTACGAGTTTAAAAGCCCCGGATGCAACATCCAGAGGTACGAATCAGTTTAGAATAGGCAATGCATTGAGTCTACAATGCACAAGACTACATCAGCTGCGAGTGGCGCAGGCCCAGGTGCAACAGTAATAGATACTTGGGGGCAGCGAAATAATCCCGTACAAGAGACGTACAAGGCTTGGTCGTGTACTGAAGGAACGTTAGTAGTGAGCACCGCGAACAGGAACCTGACAGACGTGTTTCTCCCGCCAGAAGTGAGCGTTTTTTTTCCAATGGCTCTAAAGACATGCTTTGTACGCCCAAATCCCGGTCCGGCTCCTCCCCGCCCAGCTCCTTTCCACTCCTCGTTGCCGTCACTTTCTCCGCGCACGAGCAACTCCCCTTGTCTTAACCTCTCCCGTTCCCCTGCTCCCCGTGCAGGTTCGACCCGAAGGCGTTCCTGTCGATGATGCGCAACAAGGTGTTTCTGGGCGTCGGCGACTCGTTCAACCCCAACCTGCAGCACTCCGTGCGCTGCCTCGTCGAGAGCGTCGCTGCCACTAAGGACGTCAACGGCGCGCTCTTCAAGACGGGCCTCTCCGCGCAGGGCTACGTCGTGCCGCAGTACAACGCCACGTTCCTCACCATCGCGTCCAGCTTCCTGGTCGACGCCACCCCCGTGGTACGCTGAAATGCGTCGTAGTTCCCATCCCACTCGATTCCCGTGGGGTGAAGAATCTCCGCGCAGGGCTACGTCGTGCCGCAATGCAACGCCACGTTCGTCACCATCGCGTGGAGCTTCCAGCAGCGGCCCTTTAGCACGGACGGTGACCCTGCGCGTGCTCAACAAGGGACGCCCTTTAGCCTCTCTGCGTCATTCCCCCATGTCCTCCTCCCCTTCCCCCTCCCCATTCCCCTTGCATGCTTCAGGGCGCGGCGTCCAGCAGCAGTCCGTGGAAGGTGGAGAACCTGGACGGGCCCAGCTAGGAGTGGCCCTCCCTGCATGTCCTCACCCCTCGCACCCCTCCCCTCCCTACCCTCCTCCCTTCCTTGCATGCTTCAGGGCGCGGCGTCCAGCAGCAACCCGTGGAAGGTGAACCTGGACGTGCCCAGCAAGGAGCTGGCGTTTAGCCTCTCTGCATACTTTCTCGATGCCCCCCGTCTTCTTACCCACCTTGCATCATGCAGGGATCAGTGTCGAGCAGCAGTCCGTGGAAGGTGAATCTGGACGTGCCCAGCAAGGAGCTGGCGTTTAGCCTCTCTGCATACTTTCTCGATGCCCCCCGTCTTCTTACCCACCTTGCATCATGCAGGGATCAGTGTCGAGCAGCAGTCCGTGGAAGGTGAATCTGGACGTGCCCAGCAAGGAGCTGGCGTTTAGCCTCTCTGCATACTTTCTCGATGCCCCCCGTCTTCTTACCCACCTTGCATCATGCAGGGATCAGTGTCGAGCAGCAGTCCGTGGAAGGTGAATCTGGACGTGCCCAGCAAGGAGTGGACTCCGTTTCTACGGCACTCGCACTACGTGGTGTTCTCTGCCGGCCACTGGTTCACCAATGTACGTGTGTGCGTGAGTGAGACTGGGGTGCTGCAGGTAGCGTTGTACGCGCAGGTATGTGAATGTGCATGCGTGAGTGGCTCCGCTCGCACTACGTGGTGTTTCTCTGCAGGCCTCTGGTTCACCAATGTGCGTGCGTGAGTGCACGAGCGAGTGAGCGAGTGAGTGAGGGCGGATGCTCTCTTGTCAGTGTAGCCGCAATATACAGCGCGAGAGTGTGAGTCATGCAAGGACTGGATCCCATTTCTCAGGCACCGCACACTATGTGGCCTTCTCTGCAGTGCGCAAGTGGGCCGTTGCGCAGCTGTGTTCTGGTTCCAGCCAGGATCGTGGTCGTGGGTCGCTGCAATCAGCTTGTAAATAGTCGTCGTACATTTGAATGTGTTTGAGTGTGCCGTCCGCCAGCGAGCCAAGGACGGAGAACGCTCATGCAGGAAACTCATACCCCTCTTTCCGGGTCCCTTTTCCTTCCCCCCCTCCGCACATGCCCAACCTGCAGTCTGGGAACCTGAGGCAGTGGTTTGTGAAGAAGCAGCAGCAGAAGGGCATGACGTCATCGGCAGCAATGACGGCCGCATACACGACAATGCGCAACTACATCGCGAGCTCCGGCTACACGGGCCTGCCCATGGTGCTCACCTACACGGCCTCGCACTACGAGTCCGCGTTTGCTGCCACGGATTCGGTGAAGGCATGCAGTGGGGCCAAGGGGCCCATGACCTCCAAGCAGATGGCATTTGCTTCCAAGAAATCGGACGCGCTGGAAGGGAGGACCGCTGTGGTAAAGGTGAGTTTGCAGTGTGTGGCGATGGGGGTGTTCAGCCTTAGCTGATGGGGTTTCAGTGAAGGAATGCAGTGGGGCCAAGGGGCCTATGACCTCTAAGCAGACGGCGTTTGCTGCAAATAAATCGGACACACTCGCAGGGAGGACCGCAGTGGTAAAGGTGAGTGGGTGTGTGCGGTGATGGAGGTTCAGCTTGAGGGGGGTCCCATGGAGTGCAGTGAGGCCAAGGGGCCTAAGAGTCCCAAGCAGATGGCGTTTGCTGGAAGGGTGGAGCGCAGTGTGAAGGTGATTGATTTGAGGTTTGTCGGAGAGTGTTCTTGTAGCGAGGGTGACGGGGTTCTTCTAGCAGATGGCTTTTAGGGCTCTTGAGTTTCCAAGTCCCGTCCGACCCTACCATATGTTTCCATTCAAGTGCCTGAATTTTGTTTCCTCTCTTCCTACATTGCTGGGTTTGCTTCAGGTGTTCCAAGGAAACCCGACCTTCAAGATTATTGACGTCAGCAAGGCCAGCTTGATGAGACCCGATGCACACATGGCGAAGTTCAGGGCGGGCACGTCGGACGATGACTGCTCTCATTTCTGTGTTCCTGGCGTCCCTGACACATGGTCCGACCTGATGTTCTCCTACATGACGAAGTCCATTTGACACGACGCGTATATACAGATTACATAGATAGTACTATGAGAAGATATGGTTTCTGGAGAGTATATAACAGAAGCTCCCTAATATGATGTTAGAAGCCTGAAGTTCCCACTCACATCACACTTTTTCTGCTCCCATTTATATTTAACTTGCATGAATCATTTTCGTACAGTTCTCATGTTGCTATTGCGTTTGAGGGTGCTTCTCTTAGGTGACTTTCAAATATCCAGGTCTGGAGGGGTGGGGGAAAGGAACCCCTTGGCCCGAAGCGCAGCGCCGCCTTTCTACAGAACAGAATCACGACTCGATGACATGCATGCACAAAAGTCAAGAGGTGGTCCCGATTTGCGAAAACATTTGTTAATTCGTCGAGCGTACGATTCTCGCAAGTCTCGTGACTGAGCAGAGTTGGGGGGTTGGGCGAAGGGCGCTGCTGGTCTGGCGAGGGGGCACAACCACAACAACCACTACAATCTCTCACACATTCAGTTCTTGTATCGTGGCTCAGGACGATTCCACACGGTGAAAAGCGGTTTTAAGTTTTACCGTCTTGCACCGTGACGAAACTAAGTTCACCGCAGAGAGCGTACAAAAAGTTGTACAACCTGACGTCGCCCTAAACATGACAGAGCCGCAATTCGCCGTTCGTGTGGACGAGGCGGGCTCAAGGGAAAGGGCTCCACACCGCTTCACCAAACAACTCCGATCCGAATCCGAGGCCATGTGGAAGATGCCGAGTTCATGCAGAATCCTACCAAACCGTTTTAGAACTACTATGAACACGAAGCACCCCACCAAATCCCACATACAACTTTTCCGAGTGATGGGGAACGAAATGAAAGTTGAGGAAGCACCAACCACAGCAGCTCTGCTAGTATTTGAGCTGAGATTTTGTTAGGTGGCTCACGTGGCAAGTCATACGAGGTGGCCATTTCTCGGCCAGCTCCCCTCCCGTCTGCTGCTGATTCAGCACAGCCCCGAGTCTCGTCGAATCTCGTGTCACGAATTCCGACCATTTTTCGCTAAGCTCGGAGCAGAACATTGAATACCTGCCGATATTGTCGCGAGATTCATGAGAATGACTTCCCTGTTGTTCCTTCTCTTGGTGACGTCAGCGCTGTCCTTGACGGGACCCCGTTGCCACGTGGAGGCCTCTAATGCCACGTCGTCGGGTTCCGCGAACCCGTTGTCGCAATGCGACCTGAGTGCCGGCCGGTGAGTCGGCCGGCGGCCCCTTGTGCACCCCACCGCAGCCATCGCGATTCGGCTTACCCCTTCGTCATTCCCTTCCACCCCTCCACTCTATCACGCCCCCCGGATCGGCGTGTACTATACTAGCCAGGTGCTAATAAACTCCCGCATTCAGCGTTACAGCACGTGGGTTAATACAGCACGCTGGTAACAAATGGCAGAGGCATGCCGCCTCTCCCCCTTTTCTCCCACGCTCATCTCTCCCGCCTTCCACAATCAGCTGGGTGCGCAACCACTGCGCGACGCGGGCTACAGCTGCCAGACCAACGTCTCAGCCTCCCGCCATTTCCCGCAATCGTCTCTCCATCTCTCGCTCTCATCTCTCCTCCCCGATCAGATGGGTGCGCAACCCCCGGGAGAGGCGCTGCACCGGCTAAGGCTGCCAGAGAAATGTCTCAGCCTCTCGCCCCCTTTCGCTCCCATCTCCCCCTCTCTCCTCCCCGTTCGGATGGGTGCGCAATCCGTGGGTGAAGCGCTACAGCTGCTACGACTGCCAGAAAAACGTCTTAAGATTCTCTCCCACTCGCACACTCATCTCGGCCTGTTGGCGCTTTTCTCTCCCTCTCTTCCTCACTCAGCTGGGTGCGTAACCCGTGGGTGAAGCGCTACACGGGATTCAGCCGCCGGAGAAATGTCTCAAGCCGTTCTCCCTCTCCCACACCCGTCCCTTCCCTTTTCCCACACTCATCTCTCACCCGTCTGCTTGAGCCAGCTGGGTGCGCAACCCGTTCGTGAAGCGCTACACGGGCTACAGCTGCCAGAGCATTCGCTCGCAGCTCAACTGTGACCGGAACGGGCGCCCCGACTCGGAGTATCTTAACTACGAGTGGAAAGCCCCCGGGTGCAGCATCAAGAGGTACTTCTTTCACTTATCTGTACTGACAAAACACACTCATCAACACTTTTACATATCTATCCATGCATTTACATGTGTGTGTGTGTGTGTGTGTGTGTGTGTGTGTGTGTGCTCGCGCGCGTGTGTGTGTGGCCATCCAACCTCAAGATAAACACAGCTTTTCCGCTTCGCCTACCTCTCGCCCTCTCCCCCCCGCTTCCTTCTCTTCCCCAGGTTCAACACCGCAGCCTTTCTCAACACAGTGCGCAACAGAGTCCTCACGTCGGCGTCATGGCCTATACACACCCTTCTCGCTTCTCCCCCCAATCCCCCCTTCTCGTCCCTCCCCCCAGGTTCAACACGGCAGCCTTTCTCAACACGGTGCGCAACAGAGTCCTCACGTCGGCGTCATGGCCTATACACACCCTTCTCGCTTCTCCCCCCAATCCCCCCTTCTCGTCCCTCCCCCCAGGTTCAACACGGCAGCCTTTCTCAACACGGTGCGCAACAGGGTCTTCATGTCGGCCGGCGACTCCTATGCCACCAACCTCTACCACGCCCTGCGCTGCCTCATCGAGACCACCACGAAAGTCCAAGTAGGTCAACCAGGTCAATCATACCATACCTCTTATTGACGCCTGTGCCACTGCCACCAACCTCTACCACGCGCTGCGCTGCCTCATTGAGACCACCACGAAAGTCCAAGTAAGTCAACCAAGTCAATCATATCATGGAAGCCTCCAACGCCACCAACCTCTACCACGCACTGTGCTGCCTCATGGAAGCCTCCGCGCAGGTCAGGTAAGTCAACCAAGCATAGGCGATTTGTCATTCCCTTGGTACACCGTCAACCTCATGCAATCAGTGCACCCTCTTGGTCGTTTGGGTGACCCATAACTGCCATTCTCTCTCCTCTCGGCACTGCCACCATGACCACAGCAAGAACTCCGCGTTCACTACAGGAATCAAGGCGTCCAGATTCAGCGTACCATGCGAGTTTTTATTGTGCCTTATGCGTTGCTGTGTGTCCCCTCTCGGCACCACCACCAGGGCTACAGCAGAAGCCTGGCCTTTGGAAAGATTGTCCAGATTCAGCGTACCGTGCAAGTTTGTTATTGTGACTCACGCCTCACTGTGCGTCCCCTCTCTGCATCGCCACCAGGACTACAGCACGAGCTCGGCCTTTCAAACGGGAGTGAAGACTTCCAGATTCAGTGTACCGTGGAATTTGCTATTGTTACTCGTACGACCCTTCATCTCACCTTCCCTCTCTGCACCACCGCCAACAGGACTACAGCACGAGCTCCGCGTTTGGGACAGGAGTGAAGGCGTCTGGCTTCAGCGTACCGTCGCACAACTTCATCTTCCTCCGCCAGTCCACCAACTTCCTCGTCGATTCCGAGCCTCAGGTACGCTCCTGCCCACGTGCATGCCGAACCTCTTTTGGGATCGGTTTCCTCTCCGTCATCTCAATCAGCTTGCCTGTCTTTCGTCTCTTTTCTCTTTTTTCTTCTTGTTCCATCCCCTGTTTCTTCTGTTCGTGCCCTCAACCAGGGGACTTTGGTTGGTAGGTGTTCTCTCCGACCCTCTTTTCCTCTCCTCTCTACTGCCATTGTGTCCTCCTCCACTCCTCTCCCTCTTCCTTCCACTCCCCTCCTCCTCCCCCTCTGAAAGGTCTCTACTCCATCCGTGTTCCTCTCTCCTCGCCTCTCTCCCTCCTCTCCTCTCCCCCTCATCTTCACTCCTCTCCTCGTCTCCTCCTGCCAGGGCTTGGCATCCAGCAAGCCTGTGGACGGACGGTGCATCTGCGGAAGGACTCTACTCTACCTATGCCCCCTTCTCTTTTAACCTCCTCTCCATTCCTCTCCACTCCTCTCCACTCCTCTCCACTCCTCTCCCCTCCTTTCTGCTCCTGCACCTGCCAGGGCTCGGCATCCAGCAAGGGCGTGTGGACGGTGCGGCTGTGGCAGGCGGATTCCAAGTGGGCGAGGCTCATTCCTCATGTCAACTACGTGCTCTTTGCTACCGGTCATTGGTTCACTAATGTGAGTTGCACTATAACGAGCATACATCCCTCCTGTTACTCTTTGCTAAAGGCCATTGGTTCACTAACGTGAGTGCACTATAACGAGCTTAGATGATCTCTCGTTTCAATTTACCTGCTCATTTGAGTGTCTTGGAAGTTACCTCTCTCACGTTCCAGACTAGCGGCAACGGTCGACTCCAATTCAGTTTCCCGTCCTCCCTACTGTCCTGGTCCGCCCTCCCATGTGTTTTCCCTTTGCTCCACTCCTCTCCCAGCCTTCTCCCAGGAGTCAAGGCTACTGCAATCACCAAACCAAAGATATTGCCACTGACGCATTCATTCAAACCACTCTCTACTCCTCCCTTTTTTTGGTCCCCCTTCCCTTCACTTCTCCATCTCGAGACTACCGCGATGCGCACGCACTGAAACCACTCTCTACTCATCCCTTTCCATTCAGTACCCCTTCACTTCTCTTCACCCTCCACCCTCCACCCTCCACCCTCCACACACAGGCCCCGTCCAACACTCGGGACTACCGCAATTACAACGGGAAGCAGATTGATATCAACTCAATGCAGGCCCTGCGCAGAGCGATGAGGACGGTGCGTGAGGCGGTGCAAGCCGCCAACTTCCGCGGCATGCCCCTGATCCTCTCGTACACGGCAACACACTACCACAAGTCGTTCCCGCCGCAAGATTCCATGAATGATTGCATGGGTGCCAAGTCGCCCGTGGGAGACAGCGTGGTGTCTTATGCGGAAAAAAATACTTTCTTCATGAAAGCACGCAATCAGCTGCGCTCGGTATGAACGTATTCTTTTCTATGCCCTTGCATGATTTTTATGTTTTCCCTTTTAGGCAGTCCGTTTGGCTGTTCCCATTCTTGTGCGAGCCCTCTTTCATGTTGTGCGACTTGTGTAAATCCTGGTATTTATTCAACATGTTTGCATGCTGTGTGTGTGTGTGTGTGTGTGTGTGTGTGTGTGTGTGTGTGTGTGTGTGTGTGTGTGTGTGTGTGTGTGTGTGTGTGTGTGTGTGTGTGCGCGCGTGTGCGTGCGAGCGTGTGTGTGTGTGTGTGTGTGTGTGTGTGCGTGCGTGCGTGTGTGTGTGTGTGCCGGTTCGTGGCATGCTTCTCTCTTTGCGCACCTTCCCCTGCATGACTCCGTTTCTTGCATGATGTGGCATGCATCAGGTGATGAGGAACTCGAGGTTCAAAATCATAGACATCACGAGGGCTACACTGTACCGTCCAGATGCACACTTGCAGAAGTACGGGGAGGAGTCAGAGGATTGCTCTCATTGGTGCGTTCCGGGCGTGCCCGACTCGTGGGCTGACATCGTGTTTTCCTATGTGACCGGCTCACTAGCGTGAAGGATGCAGCATGTTTGACTACTTAGCTCAGGAAGTCATACCTCATGATTTTCCTGAGGAGATGATGACAAGCTGGATATTAGCCACATGTACCGTATGGCCCCGGATATAGGCGCCGGCCTATTACAGGCGCCGGCGCTTCTATCTGGAGCATGGCGCTTATGGCCGTTCCTCGATTATAAGCGCCCCCCCTTTTGTACCCTTACTTATTATAAGCGCCACCCTCAAATTTAACACTACTTTTATCACCACAACAAAAGCAAACAACAACTATGACATCGTTCGCTTCAACAAACACTTTAGTTTGGTACACAACTTTACACTAGATCCACTATTCTACCTAGTTGCTAGGTACCAGAACTACTCCTCGTCAGACTCGGCCTCCTGGCAGTTGTTGCCGAAGAAGCCGTCGGCTACGATGCTGTCGTCTACATCCACTTCCGCCGTCAGCTGGCTCCGCCTGTGCGCCATGGCGAGGTGGTCCTCACTGCCGTCAAGGGCGTTGCTAATGCCGCATGTGAGAAAGGCGCGCTTGATGAGGTCGGAGGGGACTGCTTTCCAGGCCCGTGAAATCCATCGAAGGACCACTTCTGGGGGGGGCTTCTTGAGATTCCCTGCACCACATCAGAGACACCCGGGAAAGCCGTGTCAGCATCCAAGGGTGAGGGGGGGATTAAGCATGCGTGAACAACGGAAACAACGTACCTGCTGCTGTCAGCTGCTCTTGGCCCTCCTCCTCAAACCACTTCTGGTACTGCTGACGAACAGAAGCTTTGAAGCTCTTGTTGATGGAGACGTCGAGCGGTTGAACCTCAGCCGTACAGCCCGACGGGATGACTGCAGGCACGCAGTTGATCTCGCGGAGCTTCTCCTTCACCCCATCGGTAAGGTGGCCGCGGTAGGAATCCAGCACGAGCATGGAGCTCCTCGCACTCCTGCCAAACCGGGGCTTCAAGAAGGGCTTGACTTCCTCCTCAATCCAGCGGATGACGCCATCTGCGTTCATCCACCCGTTCTCGTGGCAAGCCACGACCACATCTGCACACACAGATGGCACTTAATCTGTTAGCGCGGCATGACAAACATGAACATACGGTAAAACAGCGGCAGTTGCTGCTTATTACCCCGAGGAAATTCGCCCTTCGGCAGCGTCTTCCGCTTGAAAAACACCCACGGCTTGAGCTTCGCCCCGTCCGCCGTGCACGCCAGCATCACGGTCACACGCTCCTTCTGGTAACCTGCACTCCGGATGGGCACCGACCGTACGCCCGTCTGATCCACGGTCGTGGTGGCGGGCATCTCCAGCCAGAGCGACGTCTGGTCAGCGTTGAGGATCCAGGTAGTCTCGATGTCGCGCGCGCGACGCATGTCTCGGACAAAACGCCAGAAAAAGGCGGGCGGGATAGAGGGCAGATTAGTAAGGGAGGCAGAAAATTAGACGAACCGGTAAAAGCAAGGGGCGTAATCTTACGAGCGGCTGTTTTCTGAGCAACCCGCGTCTTCATGCGTACGCTCAGATTCCACCGCTTCCGAAACCGCTCCGACCATCTCTGACTCCCGCTCCACTTGTCGTCCGGGTAGAGGATCTTCATGAACTCCCTCGACCACTCCCGCAGACGGCCGACCGAGACGGCGGTTCCTCTGCGGCGCCAGTCCAGGAGCCGCTCGTAGACCTTCAACTCCATGGGGCGGTACCACGAGGCCCGCCCGCGCCCGTGCATGCGCTTCTGCCCGGTGTGTGCTTCTTTGAGAAAAGCTGCAGCCGCCTTCCAGTTGGCGAGACACTTCCGGTGAATCCCACACTCCCGAGCTAGTGCGCGCACCGACTTCGCCACATCCAGCATCGCGACGTACTTCAACTTCTCCGCAGCGGTGTAGCCTTTGCGCCTGTGATCGCTGATCTTGTGCCTGGGAGAGGGGGGGCGGGCATCACGGTTCTGGGTAGACGGGTGGGGTCGCTTGCGGTTAGCTGGTGGAAAGGAAGGTATCGGCAATTCCTCGGGGAGCCCGTCACGTGACCAGTACTCGACACCGTCGTCGTCGTCGCCACCAGGTACGCCCTCAGGAAACACATCCTCTGCGGTGCCGCCCTGCGCGCCACCTTCCTCAGCCTCGTCGCAGTCAGCACGGCTCGCTTCCTCGTCCTCAGCCACGTCGTCGTCAGCTCCGAGTGCAGATTCGTCCCACGTGCTGCAATCATCGGGCCGGCCCCAACGTGGTCCAGGGTAAGGTGCGCCGGGTACCTCAACATCTGGGGCCTTGTTGCTTGGTGGTTCCTCCAGCCACTCGTCGAACGCATTCGGGTGCAGGAGCGTGAGCACGGGCGGATCCCCTGTGTGCAGAGGAGAATCCATAATAGGAGGAGACGGAGGAACAGGAGGAGCAGGAGGCGCAGGCGGCAAAGGAGGAGCAGGAGGAGCAGGCGGCGCAGGAGGCGATGGAGGCTGTGGTGGCTCTGGTGGTTCAGGTGGGACACGGGAGTACCATCCGTCGGCGTCGACTACGAAGGCGGGCCTACGCGCGGGCTTCTTCTTGAACAAGAAATGAGTGCCAGCGAATTCCGCCATGGCTTCCGCAGCATGGCGGGCGAGACCAAGAATCTGAATGAAAAAAGTGAAAGAGAAGGCGAAGAAATGATGGTTTGGAGGGGACCCCTTCTGGTGTGCGGCTCGAGTTCCTCTTCAGGCATAGTCAGATCCCCCCCTGCCTAAACCCGCAGAGGAGGGAATCGCGGCACGTATCTGCTGCGCTGGCAGGGATATGCCACCCCCTTCTCGAAAGTTCGGGTGAAATGTGGCACCCTGGCAGCGCATGTAAACCCTATTGGGCCGCACGGCAGGATGCACGTCATCGCTGTCAGGTGCGTTGCACCTGGACGGGCTTTGTGCGGTGGGAAACCGTGTCGCGACTGGTTTCGGCGCGTTTTCATGCACGAGCCCATGCGCACAGTGCATGGTCTTGTTCGCCTTATTGAGGGCTTCAGTTTCGTGCCTTTAAAATCAAAATCCATTTTTGACATTATAAAAGCGCCGGCGCTTATGGCCGTTCCTCAATTACAAGCGCCACCCCTAAAAAAAATGAATTTATTATAAGCGCATATGCGCCTATATCCGGGGCCAGACGGTATAATTGAGTATAAGCAGCGAATGTAACGAAAATGTTTGTTTAGCCCTTGTTATACGTGGCATTTCCTTGTGTGCATATCGAGTTACGAGTGTCCGATGGATGATTCTACCCCCCCGATAGTGGCCAGGAACCAGGACCACGTTCAGCGCGGCTTGACGAAGTACCGAGCGCGGTTCGATAACACATTTTCAAATCCAAGGATTGCATATGTGAGGTGCTGAAACCCATTCAGTTGTGTGCTCAACTCAAGCATTTCACAGCAAGCACGGCACCGCAGGGCACATGCTACTCAACTGAAGCACGGGGACTGTCGTTGTACCCGTTTCACTCAGCGCCTTTTATGCCGCACCAACCGCATGCTTAGAGCTTAACGGCTGTGCTGGTCCAACCCTAAACTCATTTCGACGTGTAAGTTCACTTTCCAACGCATAGGCTAGGCTAGGACTATAATAGTTGCTGGTCGTCAAGCAGCCAGACCAATGCAGAGCCGCCAGCTGGCAGCGATGCAGTTCCGACGGCCGGTGTTCCAGGTTCGGAAGGCTCCGGTCGTATCGCTCTCAAGGAGTTCTCTGGTTCTTCTTCTGGCGTTGCTGGTCCTGGAAGCGGCACTTGCGGCGCCGCTCGCGGCTACGGATAACGGCACCCTTTGCGACATCACCGCTGGCGAGTAGGTTGCGCTTTATTGTTCCGCCTCAAGATTTGCGGTCTAACGCACTTTCGAGGCGCCGCAAAAGTTGCTTCCTCTTGTTCAGGCGCCTTAGAAATACGCTTACGTTGCGCGAATATAAATTAGCGGTGTGTGAACGTTGTCGTCATTGGCACTACCAGGGAACATCTATCCCCGCAATTGGCGGCGGCCAATGCGCCGTTGTTGGCGAAAAGGTTACAATAACGACTGCATTTTGGTGCTCTCGTCTGCGATAGCGCTCCTCGCGTGTGTTACTACATCCCTTTCTGCCGCCAATGTTGGAATGGTGTGCAAACTGTTTCTCATCGCGTCTCCAATAGCAGGATATTTTGTTATCAGTATGTATTTCAATATATCAAGACACCTCTTGGCCTGCGACACTATTCCACAATCTCGTCTCTATCCCACCCCCAATCCCTTTTCCAACCTAGCGCAGCGACAGCCGAGACAAGTGCTGCCGCAAGTTTGCGTCTCTTGTTTGCCATTCCCTTTTCCCTTCGCCTGTTTCCGCCCCCGCGAGCCGTCCCCTGTTCCCGAGATTAACCGCACGTGTGTTCTCGTCTGCATTAGCGCTCCCCACGTGTTTTACATCCCCTCTCCCGCCGCTACTGCAGTGGTTTGTGTCACCTGTTTCTCATCGCGTCTCCTATCGCAAGCGATTTTTTAGATTTTGCTGGTATCTCGTTGGACTTGTCTAAATCTGCTGAAATTCTGTGCAATCCATTCTGAGTCACTGTTAGCAAGTCTTCTTCTCTTTTTTGCCGTCCCCTCTTGCCGTCCTTTCTCCCCGCCTCCTCTAACCGTCCCCTTTCACAATCCTCTATCTGTCCCGTCTTGCCATCCTTCTCGCCATCTTATCACAGTCCCCCCTTTCCGTCCCCTCTCGCCGTCCCTTCTCACCGTCCCTTCTCGCCGTCCCTTCTCGCCGTCCCCTCGTGCCTTCTCTTCTTTCCGGCCCTTTCCGTCTCTTCGTGCCTCCCCTACGTACCGCCCTCCCCTTGCCATCCCCCTTGCCATCCCCCTTGCCTTCCCCCTTGCCATCCCCCTTGCCATCCCCCTTGCCATCCCCCTTGCCATCCCCCTTGCCATCCCCCTTGCCATCCCCCTTGCCATCCCCCTTGCCATCCCCCTTGCCATCCCCCTTGCCATCCCCCTTGCCATCCCCCTTGCCATCCCCCTTGCCATCCCCCTTGCCATCCCCCTTGCCATCCCCCTTGCCATCCCCCTTGCCATCCCCCTTGCCATCCCCCTTGCCATCCCCCTTGCCATCCCCCTTGCCATCCCCCTTGCCATCCCCCTTGCCTTCCCCCTTGCCATCCCCCTTGCCATCCCCCTTGCCATCCCCCTTGCCATCCCCCTTGCCATCCCCCTTGCCATCCCCCTTGCCTTCCCCCTTGCCATCCCCCTTGCCATCCCCCTTGCCATCCCCCTTGCCTTCCCTCTTCCCGTCCCCAATTGCCGTCTTCCCGTCCTGCAGCCCCCTCCTGTTGGTCCCCGTTGCCGCCCCCCCTATCATTCTCTCTTGCTAAATCCGACAGTCTCTATCGCGCCTCCTTCCCCTTCTCCCCGCCCTGACTCTCATCACGGACGATGGGTCTACAGCCCGCGCCGCGATACACGACGCCACTAGCTCATCTCGCCCTCACCCCAACCTCCCCCATTCTCTCCCCCCCCTCTCCCCCCCATCCTCCACTCCCCCTCTCCCCCCCTCTCTCCCCCCTCTCTTCTCCCCCCCTCCTTCCCCAGATGGATCTACACTCCGCGGCTCGCGCCGCAATACACGGCGGAGAGCTGCAAGAGCCTGGGACGCAACTTCGCATGCCAGCGCAACGGGCGGCCCGACTCGGAGTACGAGAAGTACACGTGGCGCAGCTTCGGATGCACCATCGCCGAGTAAGCCCCCTTTCCCGCCCTTCCACCCAACCCCTACCTCCCTCCCCCCCCCCCCCCCGCGTGTCCGCAGTCCCCCTCATCTCATCTGCACTGCTCCCCAAGTCTGCCCCTCCCCTCGTTGCTCCACATGCCCTTCCCCACTTGTTTTCCATGCCCTTCCCCCATGCGCCCATGTGCCTCCGATTGCTCATGTTCCCCATGTGCCCCATGTTCCCCCATGTGCCCCATGTTCCCCCATGTGCCCCATGTTCCCCCATGTGCCCCATGTTCCCCCACGTACCATGTGCTCCCCGTACCTTCTTTTCCAATGCCCCCATGCCCCCATGTCACCAGATTCAAGCCCCTCTCCTTCCTCACCCTCCTGCGCAAGGGGATTCTCTCACCAAGAACTTTTCTCCCCTCCTCTTCCATTTCCACCGCATTCCACCCCTTCCCACTGCACTCCACCAGATTCAAGCCGCTCTCCTTCCTCACCCTGCTGCGCAACAAGGTGTTCCTAGTGGTGGGGGACTCGCTCACTATGAACCTCTTCTCCTCGCTACAGTGCCTCGTCGAGACTGTCACATCCACTGAGGTATCGACTCGGTATAGTCACAACCACTCAGGCGACATCCCTTTAATGTCACACCACACAGATGACGCCCCGCTATAGTCCCACGTCCCACTCACTCAAGTGACGCCCTGTTATAGTCACATTCACTCAGGAAACGCCTCGGTATTGTCACACTCACACAGATGACACCCCATTATAGTCACACTCACGTGACGCCTCGCTATAGTTGCACGCACTCAGGTGATGCCCTTTTGTAATCCTCCCCTCTCCCTCCCCCCTCTTCCCCTTACCTGTTCCCCCCTAAAGATTTCCATTTGTCCACTTACCACTCATAACCACGCTTTTCTCCCCTTCTTGTAGCCACTACACCCTTCTTAAGCCTGCCACACCACACACTAATCTCCTCCCTCGAACATGGCCACTGGCCTTTCCTTCATCATTTCCCTCCTCTTCTCCCTCCCGTTCCCCCATTCTACCCTTCCCCCAACCCCCCTCCGTCTCCCTTCCCCCCTCCTGTTCCCCGTGTCCTACCTGGTTGCAGGGAGTGGAGGGGCCTCTGTTCCCCGGAGGGCCAGAGACCCACGGGATCTACGTACCTGCCTTCAATGCCACCCTGCTGCGCCACCCCTCCTCCTTCCTCACCAACTCCACTCCTGATGTAAGCTGCTCTGTACTCGATAAAAGCCCAGATTTGAGGTACTTTCCTGGAGGGCCAAAGACCATTGGGATCATCGCATCGCACCCTGCACCAGCAGTCATCCCCACTCCCGTCTTCTCTCCCATTCTCTCCTCTCCGTCTCTCCTCTCCTATCCCCTCTCCCTCCTTCCACCTCCCCTATCCTCTCTCCTATCCCCTCTCCCTTCTCCCGCTCTCCCCTCTCCTCCTTCTCCCCTCTCCCCTCTCCTCCTTCTCCCCTCTCCCCTCTCCTCCTCCCCTCTCCCCTCTCCTCCTCCTCCCCTCTCCCCTCTCCTCCTTCTCCCCTCTCCCCTCTCCTCCTTCTCCCCTCTCTCTTCCCCTCTATCCTCGCCCTCCTACAAGCCAGGGTGATACGTTTGCTGCCAGCACATGAACAGTGCTTCCTATTTGAAACCTTTTCTCTCCCCTCTCCCGTCTGCCACATCCCTGCTGTATCCTCTCCCCTCTCCCCTCTCTGGCTAATCAGGGGGAAAGGTCCAGTGCAAGCACGTGGACGGTGCATCTGGACCAGGTGAATCCTGATTGGTCGCCGCTGCTACAGTACTCGCACTACGCATTGTTTGGAACTGGTACCTGGTACACCATGGTGAGTTATAGAATTTCCTTGTTTTCTGAGTTGTGCACTTCAATACAGTCACAAGCGCTTGGAGCTGTTTGGAACTGGTATGTGGTACACCATTGCGAGCTTGGTTATGATGATTATTGGGCTAATAACTTCTTCTACAGTCACATGGGATTTCGGGCACGCCCAATCACAGCACTTGTTACAGCCACAAAGCCCATATACATTGCATATACGAATGCCAGAGTGAGTTTTGTGCAAAAGCAAGCTGATTGGCATTAATTTCACAAGTACCCTGATATGGGGAATATTGTCCGACAACAATCAGATGCACCTAGTTGCAATTCCCCCCTAGTTACCAGATCCGCCTTGCACAACCCATTCCTCAATTCTTATCTATTACCCTTGCTTTCAAGCCCTTCCGTCCCCTGCTCCCTTTCCACTCTCCCTTCCCAAACTGCGTCCATCAGGCGGACCCTAAGAAGCGCCGTTACATGATCAACAACACTCTGCAGCCTGAAATGGACCGCATCCTTACAATGCAACTCGCTATGAACACAGTGAGGAAGTTCACTCGGAGCCTGAAGTACACCGGCATGCCCATGTTCCTGACCTTCACCCCGATGCATTACGATGTGAGGCTGAATGAAAGCATGCAGCATGCCAACTGCAGTGTCATCCAACGGCCATTAACGGTCGAGCAAGTCGCCAATATGGATTGGGCGGTTGACGCAGTGAAGACTCGCAAGGCTCAACTTAAGGTAAGAACCAGGTGCAATGTTCATAACAGTAGTCAATATTTTGAGAAACTACATATGGAATAAAAAAGGTACATTCTCACGTCCCATTTCTACAAAGGTTCAAATATCAAGGGATTTCATGGAGGTTTGGGTCAATGCGATTCAGTTTATATCCTACATTGATTTTTGTTTCATGGCAGGTATTTCGGCACGACCCCGAATTTAAAATCATAGACATCACCAACTTGGCCTTGTATCGAGCTGATGCTCATCTCCAATCCTACTTCGATATCAAGGGAGGCATTGACTGCCTCCATTGGTGCATTCCTGGTGTACCTGACACTTGGGCCAACATAATATATTCCTATATGATGGGATATTTATAGCAGATTTCGACATTGTGTAATATGCATTCTATAACCCATCACCACATCTTCAAACTGAAAGGCTCCATTGGTTGTGTTCTACAGGCAGTGGAATCTGGGTAAGCGATTTTGCAAAAGCTTTATGTTATGCACGACCAAATCGCATGACCACCCTTTTAGCAGCCGGATTTCCAAATTGTAAGAAGAAAAGAAGAAAAAGGAAGCATGTAACACTTGTCAAATGTTATTGTTTATTATAGGTCGCAGTGAGGTGCTCCTTAGAGCGTATTCCTATCCTCGTATCAAGAAAACCTCATATCAAGATTGTACTTTTTGCCTGGTAAAAGTAGCGAGAGGTTTTGGGTTTAGGGGAATTTTCAGTGGGAGGTTGATATGAGGTTTTCTTGATACGAGGATAGGAATACGCTCTTAGTGAGTACAACTTGTCAAGATAGCAAAAAGGAATGAACAGCAGAAGAGGGATTGCACTAGCAGCAGATAGGATACATATAACAAACCCTAAATTGGAATGTACTCACTATAGAGTACCCCACTGCAGACTTGACAATTATAGCATTTTGACACACCCCCATAGTCAAAGTGGGGTATGATTAGCACAGCAAGCAGTCGCATAAGAAGTTCATAAGCACAAGCAAAGCTAGAGGCAGTCACAGAGGGCAAGTGAGGAGGAGGAGGGACTGTGAGAGGAGTGGAGATAGGAGGCGACGGGTGAAGCCGCAAACACACGGGCGACAGGAGCGGCGCGCACGGGCCACCGGACACAAGAAAGGCTATCCGGACTACTGGAGACACTGGCTCCGCGGCTGGAGCAACGGACCCACGGGCGACTGGCGCAGCAGGCTCGCTGGGCTACCGGAGCAAGGGTGACCCCCGGACTACTGGCGCTGCTGACGTCACGACGGCTACCTCCGTTCAACCTCCCCCAACTGTCCCACACCCCTTTCACACACCCCTTGCTGCACCCCTAGCTCCACTCCCACGACACCCCCCTAGCGTCACTTCCTCGGCTCCCACACACCCACCCCCCTCAGCGGTAGCTGCAGCAGTGGGAGATGGAGGAGGAGGAGGAGCAGGGGACGGCTCACACACCCGCCACCCTCATACCCGCCACCCCCACACCCCAATGCAGGCGGCGCGTGCGCGGCACGGGGCAGAAACGCGGGCAGCAGTTGGGGCGGCGTACGAGCAGAAGCGGGGCGGCGCACGGGTCCCTGGGGCGCTGCGACGGGCGACGGGCAGGGCGGCGCGCGGGCCCCCAGGGCGCCGCGACGGGCGACGGAAGAGGGGGCGACGCGCGGGCCCCCAGGGCGCCGCGACGGGCGACGGGTAGGGCGGCGCGCGGGCTCCCGGGGCGCCGCGACGGACGAAGGGAGGGGGCGATGCGCGGGCCCCCGGGACGGCGCGACGGGCGACGAGAGGGGACAGCGCGCGGGCCCCCGTGGCGCCGCGACGGGCGACGAAACCGCAGCGCGCGCGCGGGGCGCGCGGCGGGAAGAAGAAGAAGAAGAAGAAGAAGGAGGAGGAGGAGGAGGAGGAGGAGGAGGAGGAGGAGGAGGAGGAGGAGGAGGAGGAGGAGGAGGAGGAGGAGGAGGAGGAGGAGGAGGAGGAGGAGGAGGAGGAGGAGGAGGAGGAGGAGGAGGAGGAGGAGAAGAAGAAGAAGAAGAAGAAGAAGAAGAAGAAGAAGAAGAAAAGACGCCGCGCGCGCCGGGCGCGCGGCAGGCAGAGAACGTCGCGCGCCCGGGGGGCGCGACAGGCAGGACAGCAGCGGAAGTAGCAGGGTGGGCCCATCCACAGGATCGACCCGCGAGGGTCGACCTGCTCTGATACCATGTCAAGATAGCAAGAAGGAATGAACAACAGAAGAGGGATTGCACTAGCAGCAGATAGGATACATATAGCAAACCCTAAATTGGGCTGTACTCACTATAGAGTATCCCACTGCAGACTAGACAATTATAACATTCTGACACAACTCAGTTAGGGTTTCATATTTGTACTGCCTTGCTTTCCTAGTCACACCATTCCGTTGCATTCCATTTCTGAGATGGTATCACGAGTAGGTTTAGAATCCTTGCCTAGCTCGCGCCCTTGAGCCCTCCGCGCCCTAACGCGACTTCGCGCCTTACGCGCCCTCCGTCACGCGCCCAAGCGCCCTCCGTCACGCGCCCAAGCGCCCTCCGCGCCCTAGCGCCCTCTGCGCCCTAGCGCCCTCCGCGCCCTCCGTATCGCGCCCTCCGCGCCCTCCGTAACGCGCCCTCTGCACCTAGCCCCCCCTTACGCGCCCTCCGCGCCCTCCGTATCGCGCCTCCGCCCCAGCACGTCGCGTAGCGTGCGCCCTGCCCCAGCCCGTAGCGTCACGTGTGCTTCCTGCCCTAGCCCGTCGCGTCGCCCGTGCAGAGCAACACGCGCCCCTACAGTGCAGCGCGCGCCAACGTGCAGGGCAGCGCGCGCCCTAGCAGAGCAGCGTGTGCCACCCGGGCATAGCAGCGCGCGCCCCTGGCCAGACATGCGCGCCCCAGCACCTCATGTACCTTCCTAGCCGCCCACACCTCCTCCTAACCGCCCACACCTCCTCCTAGCCGCCCACACCTTCTCCTAGCCGCCCACACCTTCTCCTAGCAACCCACAACTCCTCCTAGCCGCCCACACCTTCTCCTAGCCACCCACACCTCCTCCTAGCTGCCCACAACTCCTAGCCGCCCACACCTCCTCCTAGCCGCCCACACCTCCTCCTAGCCGCCCACGCCTCCTCCTAGCCGCCCACACCTCCTCCCAACCGCCCACATCTCCTCCTAGCCGCCCACACCTCCTTCTAGCCGCCCACTAGCACCTCTTGCAGCGGCTGACACCTTTAGCGCGCCACGGCCTGTAGCAGGTCGTTCTCGGGCTTTCCCACCGTCGGTTTTTTTTTCCCTACCGTTCCTTTACTGGGTTCACCGTTCTGCCGCGGCTGGAGGCCGCTACTCCTAGTCATAGTGTACCTTTGGCGCTCCTGGTTGTTCTCGCTCCGTGCTCCGGTCGTTCCTCTCCTAGTTTCACCTGGCGCTCCTAGCCCAGTGTGCTCCGTGCTCCGGCCGTTCCTCGCCTAGTTTCACCTGGCGCTCCTAGTTGTTCTCGCTCCTCGCTCCAACCGCTCCTCGAGCCCGTGGTTTCTAGCCTGCCGTTTCTAGCTCCGGCCGTGTCTCACTCCAGCCGTTCCTTGTTCCAGTCACTTCTAGCTCAGTTTGCTCCGAGCTCCGGCCGCTCCTCGCCTAGTTTCACCTGGCGCTCCTAGCTGTTCTCACTCCTCGCACCTAGCCGCTCTTAGCCTGCCGCCCCTGCACCCTCCTAGCCTTTGCCATGGCGTCCGCTAGAGTTCTCCAGCAGTAGGGACAGCAGCAGCGGCAGTTTCAGCAGTGGGAACCTCAACAGCAGTGGCGCCCTCAGCAGCAGCGGCGCTCTCAGCAGCAATGGCGCCCTCAGCAGCAGTGGCGCCCTCAGCACTAGTGGCGCCCTCAGCAGCAGTGGCGCCCTCAGCAGCCGTGGGGGGCTGGTGGTTCGGGTAGCGTTGGCTGCAGCAGCGGCCCAGCCAGCTGGGGGGCTCGTCGCGGTGGTTGCGACGTCGGCCCCTACCAGTACCGGATCCTGACTGGCCCTGGTGCTGGCACTACCTGCTGACGTCCTGACCACTTTGCACACCGCTGCTACAGTCGCCTCGACGACCTTTACCGTGAGCGTTTTGGGTCAAAGTCGAGGCCACCGTTCTGGCCCGATCTGTCTCGTAGTGGTTACCATGTGTTTGATATGTCTATGGATGCTGTTTATTCTGTCACGTATGCGTCTCTTGGCTTGCGTGCACCCAGCTTAGGCTCTTTGCCTGTTGCTAGTGTAGGTACTTGTGCTTTTAGTGTAGGTGCTTGTGTAGTCACTAGTCCAGCCGTGATGACTGCTATCGCGTCGCTCTCCTTCACGATGGATTCAGGCGCGTCGCAATGCTTCTTCCGCGACCATACCACTGTCACACCTCTTTCGGCTACAGTCCCAGTCAAAGGGGAATGCGCAGGAGGAAATGACCAGAGGCGGTGTGGTAGAGATCGCAATAGGAAGCAAAGCCAGGGTATATGGCGGTAATGCCAACGCCTTGGAGTTCACGGTGGGAGAGGAGGTTATTGCGAAGGGTAGGAATGTGGAGACCGGTGACTGTACCGGATGGGAAGGCGGTGCAAGGAAGGGTGGAAAGGTGAGTGCAGGGGATGGAAAAGCTGGAGTCGGCACCATGAACCTGGGTGGGAAGTGGGAGGGGGGTGAGGGTGCCAGCGTCTTTTAGTGCGGTTTCGGTGGCCCCACTGTCAAGGACAAAGTCCAGGGTGGGGGGGGAAGGAGAGGGAGGGAACACAGAGTACTGGAGAGTTGTTTCATGGATAGAAGAGGGAGAGAGCAGCGGGTGCTGCTGCTGTAAGTACTGTTGCTGCGGTGGGAGAGACTGTGGCGGTTGCGGCTGGAGAGATTGGGCTGCTGCTGCTGCTGCTGGAAGCACCGCCGATGTTGCCGCGGTTGCTGCGGCTGGAGAGATTGTGGTGGCTGCTGCTGCTGAAAGCACTGCTGCTGCTGCGGATGGAGAGAACTGTGGCTGGTGCTGCTGCTGGAAGCACTGCTGCTGCTGCGGCTGAAGAAACTGTGGCTGCCGCTGCTGCTGGAAGGAATGCTGCTGCTGCAGCGGAAGGAACTGTGGCAGCTACTGCTGCTGCTGGAAGCACTGCTGCTGCTGCGGCTGGAGAAACTGTGGCTGCTGCTGCTGCTACTGCTGCAGGAAGGACTGCTGCTGCTGCGGCGGAAGGAACTGTGGCAGCTGCTGCTGGGGATGGAGAAACTGTGGCGGGTGAGGCTGGAGAGATTGCGGCTGCTGTCGGTGTTGGAAGAACTGCTGCTGCTGCGATTGCCGCGGCTGGAGGAGATGTGGGGGGTGCGGCTGGAGAAATTGTGGTTGCTGCCGCTGCTGGAAGTGCTGCTGCTGCTGATGCTGGAGCTACTGGAAACGCCGCAGATGGGGAGGGGGGGAGGAGTGGAGGGTCGGAGTGTTGAGAAGGGAGGGGCGAGGAGTAACACTGCTCCAGTGAGGAGGGGGGAGAAGGGCAGGGGGGGTAGCAGTCATGATGGGCAACGGCGGGTGGACCCGCGGCGGCCAAGGGTGAAGTTGCTGCTGCTGAGGCTGCTGCACTTCCCTTGCTGCCACTGCTGCTGCCGCTGGCAGGAGGAGGGAGGGGGGGGGGGGGGGGGGGAGGGGGGGGGGGTAAAGGAGGGAGACAGCGGTGGAGGGCAGAGGCGTTCAAGGTGCAGGGAGCGACGGTGACAAGGGCGCAGGCGGCTGTGGAAGGGCTGCGGCCCTATCGGAGCGAGTCAGCCGGGTGTGGGCATTGGAGGGGTCCCTCCATATCGTGGAACTATACGGAGGAATTGGCAGCGGCCTGGCGGCAGTGCTGCGAGTGGGATGTAACGTCAAACAATGGATCCACGTCGAGCGGGACCCAGTGGTGCGGAAGATGGCGCGGCACCACGCGCTGCTGCTAGCAGAGGAATATACAGATCAGATGTGGGAGGCGGCCATCCCGCCAGAAGCGGAGCAAGGGGTGCACGACGTCCGATACATCATGGAGCGAGAGATTTCGAAATCTCTGAAGGGTTTTGGAGATGATACAGAGACGCCAGGGGAAAGTCTTGTACATCCTGGAGAACGTGGATCTAGCGGAGGATCGGCGGGAGCCGGTAAAAAGGGCGTTCGCAGAAATCGCCGAAGTACTAGGGCGAGGAGTACCAGCCGACGCGGCGCAGCTAGGATCCAGATAGCATCGGCCGAGGAGGTACTGGCAGAATGGGATGTCAACGGCAGCGCTGAGGCATTCGCTGGCCCAGATGCAACGGCCCGAGCCACGCTTAGTGAGCGACATCTTGGAACCGAACCGCATGCCAGCTCCTGTGACGTGTCACGACTATCCATCTCAGTACCAGTGTAACGAACCAGGGAAGCCTCGACAGGCGTTGCCGACTCTCGTGTCCTACGGGGACGCTCGAGGATTCGTGATGGAAGGGGATCTGCCGGGACCAGGGATGATCTATGACGTAGAAAGGGGAGGTGGGAACAACCCACGGCGAACAAGAGGGAAGCAGCAATGGGACATCTGTGGGGGGCAGCTGCACACCCAGAGGTGACGGAATAGCAGCGCCGAGCCGCCTTAGGAAGGGCCATGGATGTGAATATGATGAAGTGGTTGCTGGAGATGATCCGCATGCATCTGAAGGCGAAAGAGCTGCAACGGGGCATTGCTGTCAGCGAACGCAACCAGGAGTTCGAGTCAGCCGAGTGGCACAAGAAAGCGCTGGCTAGGATGGAGGAGATGTACGAGGAGAGAGTGGAGCGTACATGGCGATGGAGGGAACTGAAGGAGGGTCCGACGGAGAGGCGTCGGCAGTAATGGAGAAGACGGGGTAGGGAGGTAGGGGGCCCGAAGAGGACTGGCATTCGCTGGCCCAGATGCAACGGCCCGAGCCGCGCTTAGTGAGCGACATCTTGGAACCGAACCGCATGCCAGCTCCTGTGACGTGTCACGACCATCCATCTCAGTACCAGTGTAACGAACCAGGGAAGCCTCGGCAGGCATTGCCGACTCTCGTGTCCTACGAGGACGCTCGAGGATTTGTGATGGAAGGGGATCTGCCGGGACCAGGGATGATCTATGATGTCAGAAAGGGGAGGTGGGAACAACCCACGGCGAACGAGAGGGAAGCAGCAATGGGACATCTGTGGGGGGCAACCCAGAGGTGACGGAACAGCAGTGCCGAGCCGCCTTAGGAAGGGCCATGGATGTGGATGTGATGACGTGGTTGCTGGAGACGATCCGCATGCATCTGAAGGCGAAAGAGCTGCAACGGGACATTGCTGTCAGCGAACGCAACCAGGAGTTTGAGTCGGCCGAGTGGCACAAGAAAATGCTGGCTAGGATGGAGGAGAGGTACGAGGAGAGAGTGGAGGAAGGATGGGCGTACATGGCAATGGAGGGAACTGAAGGAGGACCCGACAGAGAGGCGTCGGCAGTAAAGGAGAAGACGGGGCAGGGAGATAGGGGGCCCGAAGAGGACTGGCCCCTAGGCGAGGGGATGGATGGGGCGGCAGCGGCAGCCCTGCAAGAGGTGCTGAGGCAGCACCGCGGGACTTTCGCGTACACGCTGCAGGAGCTGGGGAAGTGTAGGACCCATGAGATGAAGATTGAGCTCAACAGTGAGGTCCCGATATACCACAGGAAGCGGAGGATGAGCCCGGGGGTGTGGACCTTTATAGAGAAATGCAACGAACTACTAGAGGCAGGGCTGATTCAGCGGTCCGAGAGCGATTACGCTGCGGCGACGGTCGTGGCATCGAGGAAAGACTTGACCGGGGAAGTCTTGGCGCGGAGGATGTGCGGGGACTACCGAGGCTTGAACAGAGTCACAATCGCCGACCGATACCCTATGCAGCCGGCCGAAGAGATCTTCGATAAACTGCAAGGAGCGAAGGTGTTCTCGACCTTGGACCTGCGTCAAGAATTCAACCAAATTCCCAAACGGCCCGCCGACTGCAAGAAGATTGCGTTTCATGGGCCGGACTGCCTGTATGAATGGAGGTTTATGCCACTCGGAACAAAGAACGCGCCCGCACTGTTTCAGCGGATCATGGATACAGTGCTGAGGGGAGTACCAGCGGCGGCATGCTACATAGACGATGTCATCGTCTTCAGCCCCGACGCAGAACAACATGTGAAATATGTGAAAGCGACGCTGGATGCTATTCGGGAAGCCGGCCTCACCTGTCACCCGAAGAAATGCAGCTTTGGGAACACGGGAGTGAGGTACCTGGGGTTTGAGGTGCAAGGGGGGAGGCTGGGGATCCAACAAGCTAAAGTGGTGGTCCTAGACCGAGTGCCGCCACCGAAGGACAGGAGCACCCTGAGGGCGGTGCTGGGGTTCCTCAACTACTACCGGAAGTTCATACCTAACTTTAGCAAAACGGCAACAACCTCAACAGATTGCTGAGGGAGGATCAGAAATGGCAGTGGGAGGAAGCCGAGCAAGAAGCGCTGAAGGCGCTACTGAGGGCAGTGAAGACCGCCACGGTGCTGACATTGCCTAACAAGGAGGATCTGCTTATACTCTATACTGATTGAAGCAGCGCAGGGATGGGGGCAATCCTATTTCAGAAGCGAGAAGGGGAGGAGAAGGTGGTGGCGTTCGCCAGCCAGAGCTGCAATGCGGCCGAGGTGAATTACAGCTCCTACGAGGGGGAAGGACTGGCGGCAATATGGGCCATTACACATTTCCGAGTGTACCTGCAAGGGAGGCCTTTCGAGTGACGGACCACCGGCCGCTAACCTGGCTGATGACGAACAAGGCACTGACCGGGAGGAATGCACGGTGGGCTATGCGATTACAGGAATACGACTTCACGATTCGACACAGAGCCGACAAGACTATGCAGCACGTTGACGGTCTCTTGCCGAACCATCCAGATGACCGGCCCACAGCGTGCCTAGTGGCACTGGCGAGAGGAATATGTCGCGATATATATTTATATATGTTTATAACTGCCTGTAGCTTTAGCTTTAGTGTAGTTATGTTTCTTTGTTGTGGTGGTGCACCTCTTTGTTTCTTTGCTATATGTTCTTGCAAACCTATAGTGAAGACACACATTCTCACTTTCTCTTGGCCACGATTCTCTCGACACCCTCTTGTCCTAGGCTACTAAGCCTAGGCCCTCCTTAAACCCGGCTCCTAGATTAAGTCTGTATCGTAACATGGTATCGAGCTACTAAGATCCTAGACCTAAGTTAATGGGCCCACCGTTGGCGTTGTGCACGCAGTTAGTAATGGCGCCCCTGCTGGCGTCGTCCACGCAGCTGCTGGCTCGCGAGTTCTGCAGCAGCTGCGCGATTGATTCTGCTACCGTGCGACTCTGCAGCGCCTGCGCTCCTCGCTCTGCCCGTCTCATCGCTCGTCGCTCTGCCCGTCCTGTCGCTCCGTCGCGGCAGAGAGGAGAAAGAGGGGGAAGGGCGTGGCGGCGGACCGCTAGCAACGACCGCCAGCGTCGGCGCCAGCGCCAGCGACAACCGCTGCTGCCAGCGTCATCTCCAGCGGCGGTCGCATGCACCATCGCCAACCACGCTCCCCGTCCGCACCCTGTTCGCGCATCCCGTCCGCATCCCACCCGCCCTCCCGTCGACTTCGCAGCTGCTGTGAAGGGAGTGGCGGAAGTGGCGGGAGTGGCGAGAGAAGCTGCGCCATTCACCGGCTCGCGCTAGACCGCTCGCACCCTGCCGCCCGCACGCACTTCACCGCCCGTTTCCGTCCCGCTCGCTCGAAGGCCCCACGGGCCCTGCTCGTCACCCAACGCTGCGGCTGGTCGCGTGTGCAGCGACGGTCGCGGTTGGGGGAGGGGGGGGGGGGGAGGGGAGAGAGAGAGGGAAACGCGAAGGGCGTGGCCGCAGACCGCCAGCCAACTCGCCAACTGTCCGCGCATATCCCTCGTTCTCCCGTCAGAACCCGCACCCAGCGACCATCCCGCCGTTCCGCCTCGTCCTTGCCCCGCCGTCAGATCTCGCCCCGCCCCACCGTCAGATCCCGCGCCGTTTCCATATGAGGGGGAGGTGGTGGGGTGTTGGCCCGTGGGGGACGGCTGGGGGAGGGGGAGTGGCGGGGTTGGCGGTTCATGGGGGGGATGGGGAAGGGGGGGGGGGTGGTGGGCGGATGTCACCAGCACCAGCACCAGCACGAGCACGAGCACCAGCACCAGCACCAGCACCAGCACCAGCACCAGCACCAGCACCAGCACCAGCACCAGCACCAGCCGCCAGCACCCGAACCAGCACCCGCGCCAGCGCTAGCACCAGGAACCAGCCCCAGCGCCAGCCGCCAGCACCAGGAACCAGCCCCAGCACCAGCCGCCAGCACCAGGAACCAGCCCCAGCGCCAGCCGCCAGCACCAGGAACCAGCCCCAGCGCCAGCCGCCAGCACCAGGAACAAGCACCAGCGCTAGCACCAGGAACCAGCCCCAGCGCCAGACGCCAGCACCAGGAACCAGCCCCAGCGCCAGCCGCCAGCACCAGGAACCAGCCCCAGCGCTAGCCGCCAGCACCAGGAACCAGCCCCAGCGCCAGCCGCCAGCACCAGGAACCAGCACCAGCGCCAGCACCAGGAACCAGCCCCAGCGCCAGCCGCCAGCACCAGGAACCAGCCCCAGCGCCAGCCGCCAGCACCAGGAACCAGCCCCAGCGCCAGCCGCCAGCACCAGGAACCAGCCCCAGCGCTAGCCGCCAGCACCAGGAACCAGCCCCAGCGCCAGCCGCCAGCACCAGGAACCAGCACCAGGAACCAGCCCCAGCGCCAACCGCCAGCACCAGGAACCAGCACCAGCGCCAGCCGCCAGCACCAGCACCAGCAACCCCACCTGTGACCAGCAGCCCCACCTGTGACCAGCAGCCCCACCTGTGACCAGCAGCCCCACCTGTGACCAGCAGCCCCACCTGTGACCAGCAGCCCCACCTGTGACCAGCAGCCCCACCTGTGACCAGCAGCCCCACCTGTGACCAGCAGCCCCACCTGTGCCCAGCAGCCCCACCTGTGACCAGCAGCCCCACCTGTGACCAGCAGCCCCATCTGTGCCCAGCAGCCCCACCTGTGACCAGCAGCCCCACCTGTGCCCAGCAGCCCACCTGTGAAAGACTGTACAGGGACCATCGTGGGTTGGGAGAGGTATGGAGGAAGACAGGGGTGGGGGGAGTGCGGTTCCAGGGGGCGGCTGAAATGGGGGGTGAGGTTGAGGGCGGGTGGTTGGTTGGGGGTGGGGATGTGGGGGTTAGTAAGAGGGGACGCTGCGGCCACCCCCCCACCTCCTCTCCTCATCCCCCACTCAACCCCCCTTTCGTAAAAGGGGGTTAGTAAGAGGGGACGCTGCGGCCACCCCCCCACCTCCTCTCCTCATCCCCCACTCACCTCCTCCTGTGTTCTTATCTATTCTCCGCTCCTCTCTTCCTCTTGCCTCCTCCTCACGTACCCCTCTGCCGTCTCCCACCGCACCTGCTATACCCCTTCGGGGGGTGTGACTTGCTCTAGCTATGTGCTGCAGGCAGTTAAGGGGGTGTGTCGCGATATATATTTATATATGTTTATAACTGTCTGTAGCTTTAGCTTTAGCGTAGTTATGTTTCTTTGTTGTGGTGGTGCACCTCTTTGTTTCTTTGCTATATGTTCTTGCAAACCTATAGTGAAGACACACATTCTCACTTTCTCTTGGCCACGATTCTCTCGACACCCGCTTGGCCTAGGCTACTAAGCCTAGGCCCTCCTTAAACCCGGCTCCTATATTAAGTCCGTATCGTAACAGAATAGACGAGGAAGGAGCCAGCAGGTCGCGGGGGAAAGGGCCAGAGGACGTATGGGACGACCAAGAAGTCTTAGCCTGGATGCAAGGGAAAACCATGGAGACCACTCCTGTGAGCGAGAGAGCCAGGGCCCGGGGAGCACATTACCGTTGGCACCAGGAACAGCTTCAGAAGAACACGCGCAACGGATGGAAGCTGGTGCCGAGGAAGGACGAACGAGAGCAGATTTTACAGAGCGTGCATCGGCAGTTAGGGCATTATGGTAGTCTAAGGACCGCACAGCTAGTTGAGACGGGATGGTGGTGGGACGGGATGAGAAGGGACATCCGAGAGTGGGTGGAAGGATGCGAGCTGGAACGCAGGAGGAAGGAGCTGCAGTCGCTACCCATACATGGCATCGGGTTCAGGTGGTCCCTAGACTTGGCGGGGGAAATGCTGTTGAGCCGGAGGGGAAAACGATACATCTTGATTATGATCGAGCACAGTAGCAAGTGGGTGGAGGTACGGGCCTTACCTAGCAAGAACTCGGCTAGGATAGCCGAAGCTTTCGAAGAGCAAGTTCTCACCAGGTTTGGGGCATGTGGGAAGGTGTTGACAGACCAGGGGACGGAGTTCATGGGAGAGTTCGACAAGCTGCTACAGGCCACAGGCATCACCCATAGAAGGACTTCGCGATACCATTCGCAGAGTGACGGGCTGACAGAGAGGTTCGTGCAGACAGTGAAAAGGGGGCTCAGGGCATACGGGGAGCAGTTCAAGCGGGACTAGGACACACGACTGCCGTAGGTGGTAGCTGGATATCGGTTCAGCAAGCAAGCTGCGCTCAAAGACATGTCCCCCTACTACCTCCTACTGGGCAGAGAGCCGGTGTTGTCAGTGGACGCACCGAAGATACTGACGGGGTCGGTGAGGGTGGAGAAGGAAGAAGACTGGGTGGGGTTGGCGGAAGCAAGGGCGAGATACCTGCAAGAGTTATAGCCGGCCACCTTGGAGAACCTCCACGTGGCGCAGCTGCGCAATGCGAAGAGATACAAAAGGAAGGAAAGATTCAAGCCGGGAGGAAGGAGAGAGTTCTGGGGGCAGGAGAGGAGGTGTATTTGAAGGAGGCCAAGCACGACATGATGGATATAGGATTGAGTCAGGAGCGATGGAAAGTGAAAGAGGTGAAAGAGTTGGGAGTGGTATTTCTAGTCAGCGATAAAGGGCAGAAGACGACCGACCACTACACTAACATGGCTCGAGCCAGAGCCAGAACAGAGAGACCAGAGAATCTGCCGACGCAAAGACAGGGGATCTAGCGACCGCCAGCGAGAGCTCTGGGGCAGCCACGGAGGGGGCAAGTGAGAGAAGGGGCCGGGAACAAGGGGAAGATGACCAGAGAGCTGAGAGGGCTGCAAGGACTAGGGTGAAGGTGAGGAGAGGAGGAAGAAGGAGGCAGGCTAGCACAGGGACGGAGGTGCAAGATTCCGACAGCTGTCACGACTTTAATCTTTGGATAGGTGAACTAGATATAAACTCGTGACTTAGAGGTAATAGAAGAACCTAATAGGAAGGATACAGTTTGACACGCGAGAGGTCGAAGCGAACTAAACGAAACTAAGCAATTGGCGGGGTTGAATCATACCGTTGGGATAACGGTAATCATCAGCAGATACTCAAGCAAGTAGTTAGCGTGCTAGACGTGCTTGCGTGTTTGTTTTCACACTATGCTTAAACTTTCTTAGTTTGCAGTGAGTTCCTAAGCAGGAGGAGCCAATCAGCGCAAGCACCCAATCTTGTTCACTCAGTTGAGATCCAGCCAGCCGAGCTAGGGTTTGGGCACTCATCCCTACTAGTGACTGGAAGCTTATTGTGAGAGAAGGGGCCGGGAACAAGGGGAAGATGACCAGAGAGCTGAGAGGGCTGCAAGGACTAGGGTGAAGGTGAGGAGAGGAGGAAGAAGGAGGCAGGCTAGCACAGGGACGGAGGTGCAAGATTCCGACAGAATGGCAAATACGACTAGGGAATATACTTGCCCCTTTCCCCTCGGGATCCAGAAAACTCACCGAAAAAGGAAATAAGGCGCAAGTTCCCACCCAAGCAATTTCCCTGCAGTGAACGATTAATCATGGACATCTATAAAGTCATTTCGCGGAGCTGGTGGAAGGTACTAGAGTGCTTCCAGCCCACCGATACTTATCTGCAGATCAAAGAGTGGGATATCCTGGCTGAAGACGCTCCATTTCCGCCCAAAGTATTTCAGGTTACAAATATCTTACCGCATGGACGCGTCCAGGTCAACAGTCACAGGGTACTTACGGGAGGACAGGTGGAGTCAGAGGTCAACTACAGCAGCTTCATCTTCCGGGCTCAAGTCATCACAGTCTGCGTTCAAGAATCATGGCTTCTTGACACTTTCTGTTCGGGTGCTGCTTTGGGAGTCAGACATGAGCAGCTCAATCAGAATCCGTCACTGGCTGATATACGCAACTTCTCCTAATAACCGCGAAGTCTCTCTCACCAGACCAAATGGAACGAATCCCTTCGTGACATTCTATACCACAGGGAGTTGATTACGCAACTCCCTGTAGGACCAACTCGGGCGGCATCGTGACATTCTATACCGCTTCTACAATCGCGCGCTGCCAGCCGGCAACATTTTCCAGTTTACGGATTCCAGGGGAATATGCCAGAGATGCAACGCGGGGGTCCTCAAAACCAGCCAACACATTTTCTTCGAGTGCAAAGATGCCATGCGGGTGACGGCAGCCCTTAAATGCACCGCCCTACGTCACCTTCGAATCTCAATTGACGAAGATTTCGTCTTCTTTCCGCCCTCCCGCCCGGAAGGCACAATAGCGCCATGGTGCCTGCTGGTTGGCGCAGCGTCCTACACACTTTGGCGCGACATATGTGATCAATTCTTTGAGACACGGGTTCCAAACTACAAATGCACGCTATACTGCATCTTGGCGCTGTTCCGCACGGCCTGCAAAGTCTACTTTGCGAAGAGGAAATGGTGGTCCGAAAAACGTAAACGTCGCACGAAAAGACGCGTCACTGCATCTACCTCCCCGAGGCTTCTCAAATTCGACACTGCTGGAGTTCCTACAATCCACCCCGCGTTGCATGAATCATGGTTACTCAACGACTCCTTCCGTCCACCATAAAATCGTTCTGGCTTCTTCACTTCATGGTATAGCCGCACAAGCTTTTGTGTGTTTGCCTTTTAGGCTTACAAGTTATGCTGGTTGGCATAGGCTCGTTGGGCTTTGGCTGCTTTAGCCATATTTGTGCTTTGCCTTGTAACGGGTTATGACCTTTATAAAACTTAAAACGTAAACCATTATTCCTAACGGAGGCTTTCGGGATCGACCAGGCAAATTTCATTCGAACCCAATTGTGCATCTCCGTACGTGATGCGATGAGTAGCTAATATCGGGAAAACGAAATTTCGGGGGCGACCTTGGCTCGATGACTGGAATCTGGATGATGATATGTGCGATGAAGATGCTCTCTCTGAGTCTCGATCTCTCGATTCCAATCCATGCGATGATTCGCGCGGCAGGGTGTTGTCAGTCGGGCTTGGGCGCTACTGGGATGATCCGTTGGCGTGCCGTGCCTTGCTGTGCGAGTCATATTGGTGCTGTGCTTGGACACAAGTCAAGCAAGCCCAAACATTGACTTCATAGGTTACAGAACGCCTCGCACATCCCTGAGCCTTTTGCATAGATTCGATTTCGCTGCCAGCTTCGCATGACCCGTCCGTGCGACTACTTTCGGATAATCTGCAGGCAATGCAGCGTTCGGAGAATGTAGTCTCAGCACATTCCGTGTAGGTCTATCTAGCGAATCCGTCGTTCATTTTTCAAGGACAGCATGTCTTCTCCTGAGATTCCGCCGCCAACCGCGGGTGTAGCAGACTGGAAGCGCACCAATCAACGCCTTCTTTTCGCGTCGCTTGTTCTCATACTGGTCGTCGTCGCTCTATTTCTTCACTCCTCGCTCTCAAAACCTGACGTTCTGAATCTCGGAACAGAAGAGACGACGGAAACGCTAACGCAAACGGAATCTGCGCCATCTGCTGCTGTAAGCCAAGCCGAGCTTGCAGAGGGTCCCCAACCTACGCCGGAGCAGCAATCCGAACCAAAGAAACCGTTTGAGCCTAAGCCAGAACGCGAAACCGCGGTTTCGCCATCTACCACTTGCGATCTATCCGTTGGAAGGTGCGTCAGTCGGCAAATGTACACATCGCGTTGTGAACCGCATGGAATGTCAGCTGTGAAATGCACACACGCAACCTGCATGGTATGTCAGGTGACAAATACACGCATGCGACGTGCATGGTATGTCAGGTGACAAATACACACATGCGACCTGCATGTTATGTCAGGTGGCAAATGCACACACGCGACGTGCATGTTATGTCAGGTGACAAATACACACATGCCACCTGCATGTTACGTCAGATGACAAACACACACGCGACGTGCATGTTATGTCAGGTGACAAATACACGCATGCGACCTGCATGTTATGTCAGGCTAGAGCTGCAGGAGCCGAATCTTAATGCATACCTATGCATGTGACAAAAAGCACGAGTACCGTTGTTTCATATCATACCCGACCCTGTTACAACAGCCGGGCGCTACCCCGTTACTCCATCCGCAATGCATGGGTGAGAGTAGCAGGAGCCTAATCCTGCTTCACCCTCCTGTTTCCCCTGCCCTCCCCACGCCACCAGCTGGGTGGCAAACCCGTCCCGCCAGCCACAGTACACAGGCGAGAGCTGCAAGAGCCTGAGTCGGATGTTCAACTGCCAGCGCAACGGGCGTGTCAACATGCGGTACCTGCAGTACGAGTGGCGCAACCCTGGCTGCCGCATTGAGAGGTGCGTATGGGTTGTGAAAGGTTCCGTATGGGTTGTGAGAGGTACCGTATGGGTTCTGAAAGGTACCATATGGATTGTGAGAGGTACCTGCCGGTACCAACGTGTGTGTGAGGTTCAGGCCTCATGCCTTGAGGTACCTGCAGTACCAGTGGCGCAACCTCGGATGCTGCATTGAGAGGTGTGTACGTGGGGCTTGTGAGAGCCAGAGGCAAATGGTTAAGGGTGCTGTGCTCCGCTGCACAGTATGCTTGCGACGTTTTAGGCCGCAGCCTTTGAGAGAGAGGCATGGCTTGAGCTTTGATGTAGTAAGAGGTCTGTGCCGTGACCAGCTGCACATTGCACAACATGCTTGTGAGTGCAACGGGTCTCATGCTTTCACATACCTGCAACATGACTGGCATATATGATCTCCCATAAAACGCACCAAATATCCTGTACCTTTCGGTGCATCTTCTGTATTGCCCCATGTCCAGGTTCGATGCATCTGCCTTCCTGGAGCGCATGCGCAACAAGGTGTTTCTGGTCGTGGGGGATTCTGTCTCCATGAATTTCTTCGGAGCCCTACAGTGCCTCCTTGAGACAGCCACTCCGACCAAGGTGTGTTACAATGTCCAGATTCATTGTATCGGCCTTCCTGCGTGGCTATATTAGTTGTGTCTCTTCATGAAGCTCTTGCCACTCTTCAGTGCCTCGTCCAGACAGCCACTCCAACAGGTGTGTTAGGTCGCATACCAGACCTCGTAAAAAGTGACTTCCGAACAAGTTTGGTGAGAATTAAGCACATTGATTGGCGAGTGAAGGATCATCAACAGTCGTGAAGCGTCGTCATGTGGTTGCTTGTTACGAAGTAGGTTGTTCGTAACAACCCGGAATGCGACCTTACACTGTCAAGGTTCAACGCATCTGCCTTCCAGAAAAACGCCTGCAAAGCTGAATGCATCTGGTTTCTTCCTTGTCTTTTTTCCACCAGAATTTCAAGGCTTCCCTGCCTCGACACGTCCCCTTCCCTCCTTTCACCTTTGCCCTCCCAAACCTGTTGCCCCAGTAACCTCACCTCTTCTTCTCCCAAACCCCGTTGGCCCCTTACCCTCACCCCTTCCCCTCCCAACCCCCGTTGCCCCCATACCCGCACCCCTTTCCCTCCCAGCCCCTGTTCATGCAACCTTCCCTTCCTCCACACTCGTATTTCTACCTGCCTGCCCTCCCAACCCGCCCAGGGATGGCCAGCTGTTCCCGGGAGGACCAAACACTTATGCTGTGATTGCACCACACCTCAATGCTCACTTCCCTTCCTCCACACTCGTCCTGGTTTTACCCGCCTGCCCTCCCAACCCCCATGGACAGAGCAGGGATGGCCCGCTGTTCCCAGGAGGGCCAAGAACTCGCGCCTTGATTGCACCGCAATTCAATGCCACCTTCCTAAGCCACGCCTCCTCCTTCCTCGTCCAATCTATTCCCAGTGTAAGCCCCTGCTGCTGTCAATCCATGCTGCCATGTGTACCTGGTAGTGAGGCGCACCGTATTCAACCTTTGTTAAATCTCAAAACACGACTCCTCCCTCCTCGTCCAGTTTATTCCCAGAGTAAGCCCCCGCTGCTGCCAGCCCATCCTGCCATGTTTACATGAGAGTGATATGCACCGTATTCGACTTATGATGCATCTTAGAACATGCCTCCTTGTTCCTCGTCCCATCTATTCCCAGTGTAAGCCTTCGGTGCTGCCAGGCAAGCCATGGTGCCAGGCAAGCCATGGTGCCAGGCAAGCCATGGTGCCAGGCAAGCCATGGTGCCAGGCAAGCCATGGTGCCAGGCAAGCCATGCTGCCAGGCAAGCCATGTTGCCAGGCAAGCCATGCTGCCAGGCAAGCTATGTTGCCATGTATAGCTGAAAGTGAGCAACACAGTACTTGACTCGCATTCGATTCTTGTCCAAGTGTCACGGCTCTCGTGAGTCGAGTCGAGTTGAGTCAGCTTTCACGCCTTGCCTATTCTCGTTCAGTTTTACTCGCAAATATGAATCACTACTCGCGTCATGGTGGCATCTTTTAGTCTAACATATCGTCCTGCGTGCTCTCCCTTCCCTCTTGCAACCAAGGCTCTGAGCCAATGCCATTGCAAGCATCTGGACGGTGCATCTAGATCAGGCGCATCTGGATCAGGTGCATCTGGATCAGGCGCATCTGGATCAGGCGCATCTGGATCAGGCGCATCTGGATCAAACGCATCTGGATCAGGCGCATCTGGATCAGGCGCATCTGGATCAGGCGCATCTGGATCAGGCGCATCTGGATCAGGCGCATCTGGATCAGGCGCATCTGGATCAGGCGCATCTGGATCAGGCGCATCTGGATCAGGCACATCTGGATCAGGCGCATCTGGATCAGGCGCATCTGGATCAGGCGCATCTGGATCAGGCGCATCTGGATCAGGCGCATCTGGATACCACCTGGTGCTCAACCCTATTGTCTGGTGCCTCCTCCCATCTGCCTCACCAGGGCAACAAGTCCACTGCAAGCACAAGGATGACGCATCTGACCCGGGTGCATTTGGATCGCATTACCTCCCCTGTGTTCAACCCTGTGATCCTGTACCTGTGACTCCTCCCCTCTCCCCTCTCCCCTCCCCCCTCTCCCTTCTTCCCTCTCCCCTCTCCCCTCCCCTCTCCCCTCTCCCCTCTCCCCTCTCCCCTCTCCCCTCTCCCCTCTCCCCTCTCCCCTCTCCCCTCTCCCCTCTCCCCTCTCCCCTCTCCCCTCTCCCCTCTCCCCTCTCCCCTCTCCCCTCTCCCCTCTCTCCTCTGCCACACCAGCGTGATAGGACCACAGCCAGCCCGTGGACGGTGCACCTGTACTGCTCCTGTTGCTCACTCCATGCTCCTCTGCAACCTTCCCTTCCCCTCACCCCTCTCCACTCACCCCTCTCCACTCACCCCTCCACTCACCCCTCTCCACTCTCCCCTCTCCACTCACCCCTCTCCACTCTCCCCTCTCCCTCCTCTGCCTCAACAGGGCGATAGGACCACGGCGAGCACATGGACGGTGCATCTGGACCAGGTGCATCCTAGTTGGTCGCCTGTGCTTCCATACTCCGACTATGTGGTCTTTGGGACCGGAGCTTGGTACACCATTGTGAGTTCAATACCCTAAAATATAGTGCTACAGGTTGCATTATTGATTTTTATGTAGCCGAGCCAAGCCAGGACCGCATAGTCACCATGCAAACTGCCCTCCATACAGTCATCTCCCCTCAACCCTTCAACCCAATTCTTCCTCCCCTCTTCTCCGCACCTCCCCCTCCGGGCCAATCTGAAGAAGTGGCACTACAGGGGGGCAACAAAGTGCCGCCAAGCTGTTTCAGATGTCTCAGAAGCCCTGCACCCCTGCTCCTCACCTCACCTCCGCCCCATCACCCCCCTCCAGGCCAACCTCAAGTGCTCCGCAGCTATGTAAATGCGCGAGCACTCATCTGTCTTCCACCCTTCAACATTATTCTTCATCCGCCCCCGACCTCCCCTCTCCAGGCCAACCTCAAGAAGCGGCACTACATGGTGGGCAACAAGGAGCAGCCAAGCCTTTTCAGGAGCCTTGAAAGTCCGTCACCCCAACTCTTCCCCGTTCCCTCCCACCTCCCCTCTCCAGGCCAACCTCAAGAAGCGGCACTACATGGTGGGCAATAAGGAGCAGCCAAGCGAGAACCGCACGGCCACCATGCAAGCCGCCCTGCATACAGTCGCACGCTTCACGCGCAGCATCAACTACACGGGGGTGCCCATGCTGCTCACCTACTCGCCTGTGCACGAGAAAGTGAGACTCAACAGCACGGCTCGCGAGCTCGGCTGTAGCTCCTACATGCGCCCCGTGGGGGTGGAGGCTCTGGAAGGGGCGCAGTGGGCTGCAGATGCGATGGACGCTCGATATGCGCAGATTGAGGTGAGTTTAGAGTGGTGCTGAGGGGTTGAGAACTTGCGATGGAATGGGCGGCTGCACAGGTGTGTCGATGCTGCTGACATACTCGCCAGCACACATGAAAGTGAGACTCAACAGCACTGCTCGCAAGCTCTGCTGTGGCTCCTACATGCGGCCCATGGGGGTGGAGGTTCTGCAAGGGGCGCAGTGGGCTACAGATGCGATGGACGCTCGGAACGCACAGATAGAGGTGGGTTTCGAGGGGTTCTGACGTGTTGGGATGGATTTTGCTGTAGCTCCTACTTGTGGCCAGTGGGGGCGGATGCGCTGCAAGGGGCGCAGTGGGCTACAGATGCAATGGACATTCGAAACACGCAGATAGAGGTGAGGATTGGGGTGGTGCTGAGCGGTTGGGATGGATTAGGCTGTAGCGCTTTCATGCAGTTGGTGGGCGTGGTGATGCTGAATGCCATGGGGGCTGCAGCTCCAGCGATTTTGAGAATTCTCAAAAGTGACTCTGAATGCCATGAGGGCTACCGGCGCATCACTCTGGGCTACAGACACCCTGGAGTGGAGGCTCGAACCACAGATTGAGATGTAGTGGGCCGCAGTGTGGCTGTAGCGCTTTCATGAGACTTGTGCCTTAGACTGCAGGCTAAAGCTGCAACGGTTTGTTTGCACTGCAGGTGGTGCGGCAATATAAGGAGTTCAAAGTGGTTGACGTGACTCCGCTCTCTGTTCTGCGGCCGGACGGGCACCTTCAGAACCACTGTGAAAGTCGCAAGGCTGTTGACTGCCTGCATTGGTGTCTACCTGGCATACCGGATACATGGTCCGATGTTCTGTATTCTCATGTTATGGAATACATATAACTTATACAGTACCTAAGCTAGTAGATTGATTCAGGGTAATATAATGTAATACATAGAGTTTTGATTACCATAGTCTGATTATTTCTTGCTATTCAGCACATAGTTGAAGATGAGGTCGGACCACATGTCAGGTACACCAGGGATGCACCAATGGGCACAGTCAAACCCGCCATCCCCTTTATTGTGGTTCTTCAAATGAGCATCGGGGCGGAAGAGCGTGGAATATGTGATGTCCAGGACCTTGAAGTTCTTTGCCTTGCGCAGTACCTGCAAGCAGGGCGCACAATAAAGAGGATAGATGGTCGGAGGGTAGCAGGAGCAATGCTCGTAAAACATATGCCAATGGCAGGTCCTGACTCCTAAACCTGCAGTAACCCACAGCAAACATTTGAGTAGGCTCAAAAGCCCATACCCGCCATTGTAGCTGCAGAGCTCTATCGCCAGACGGGCAATGCGCAGGCACGAAAATGCACACAACGTAGGCACGCGCATGCACACATACATTCCGTTCACCAGAAAAGCATCACCTCAGGCCCATTTCCCCACCTGCACTTGTGCATTCCGCGTCCGCATGTCTTCAACCGCCCACTCCCTATGCGACACCTGGCGCCACCCGATTGGCCGCCACGCGTCAGTGCAATTATACTCTGCCCCTCTAGCTGCCTCCGTGCCCGCGAGCTCAAAGCCGTAGTGGGAGGAGGTGAAGGAGAGGAACATGGGGAGGCCGCGGTATTTGATGCGGTTGAAGTGGGTGACGATGGTGGAGAGAGCGGTTTGCATGGTGGTGCGCTGGTCGGGGTTCCAGGCGAGCTGGTTGGGGCTGTTGCTCAAGAGATAGTGGCGCTTCTCCTCTCGGGCCTGACGAGGGGGCATGGAGGGTGGGGGTATGGAGGGTGGAGAGATGAAAGGTGGGAGATTGAGGTGTCAGGATGTGTGGTACTGTTGCAGGCAAAGCAAGGGAGGGATGAAGAGCAAAACGAGAGAGCTGTGTGGTGCTGTTGCGGGAATTATGCCTGAAGACAGGGCATGGAGGGTGGGGAGATAGAGGTGTAAGGAATGTAGGGTTGCTTTCGCTGAAGCGATAGTGCCACATTTGCTCCGGGGCTTGGATAACAAGGGAGCTTGGATAGATAGGGAGCTTGAAATGGATTTGCTGCTGCTAAAGAATAAGTGTTGCTTGTGGTCCTGGGGCTTTAAGTGGAATTGCCGATGGAGGGTGTGCAGTGACAACGGAGGATGGACAGATGAAAGTTGGCAGTACCGAGTGCTCATTATAAGCTGACTCGGGTCAGAGTAACGTACACCGGTGTAGTGTACCAGTATAGTTAGTGCTCATGACAACACAGTCAAAAAACGGCAGCAGACCACAGCTTATACAATCAATACGGATAACTCAAAGAGATGAATCAGCCCAACGTACACTGGTGTACCTGTAGCCGGCGCTCATGGCAACATAGTCGATGAAGGGTAGCAGATCAGCAGCTTGGTTATCACATCAATCCACATGTCAATTAACCCAAACCAGCGTGCATTAATGTACCAGTACCCAGTCCTCACTATAAGCTGACTCAACGTACACTGGTGTGTACCAGTAGCCAGTCCTCACTATAAGCTGACTCAATTCAGTATAACGTACACTGGTGTACCAGTAGCCGGCGCTCATGACGACATAGTCGGTGAAGGGCAGCAGGGCCTCCCATTCCGGGTCCAGTTTATCCAACCACACACTCCACGTGCTCTTCACACTGCGCTCGCCCTGCGCAACGAGGAATGAGGGACAAGGGACAAAGACAAAGACTGAGGAACACTCGAACTGAGGGAGGGGGGAAAGGTAAGGAAAGGAGATCGGCTCACTCGGGGTCCAGGCGATCCAACCACACCGTCCACGTGCTCTTCAAACTGCGCTCGCCCTGCGCATCGAGAGTGGAGGGAGAAAGGAGCAGTATGTTTTAAAGCAGACTTCGAAAGTATACCCCAGCCGCACCGTCCACCCTCTCTCCCTGAGCAACCAGAACGGAATGAAATTGCAAAGACGGAGAAACATAGAGGAATGGAGAGAGGACATGACTTAATGAATCAGAAGGACAAGTAAAGAGTTTTGATTGCGCAGCTGAACATGCATATCAGGTTCGCCGTACTGTCATCTGCTATATATGTTGTGCAGCAATCCATTCCAACATGTGTTTGATCTCTGGACGCCTTGCATGGGCTTGTATTGTGCACACATCACTTCACACATCACTTCACACATCACTTCACACATCACTTCACACATCACTTCACACATCACTTCACACATCACTTCACACATCACTTCACACATCACTTCACACATCACTTCACACATCACTTCACACATCACTTCACACATCACTTCACACATCACTTCACACATCACTTCACACATCACTTCACACATCACTGCACACATCACTTCACACATCACTTCACACATCACTTCACACATCACTTCACACATCACTTCACACATCACTTCACACATCACTTCACACATCACTTCACACATCACTTCACACATCACTTCACACATCACTTCACACATCACTTCACACATCACTTCACACATCACTTCACACATCACTTCACACATCACTTCACACATCACTTCACACATCACTTCACACATCACTTCACACATCACTTCACACATCACTTCACACATCACTTCACACATCACTTCACACATCACTTCACACATCACTTCACACATCACTTCACACATCACTTCACACATCACTTCACACATCACTTCACACATCACTTCACACATCACTTCACACATCACTTCACACATCACTTCACACATCACTTCACACATCACTTCACACATCACTTCACACATCACTTCACACATCACTTCACACATCACTTCACACATCACTTCACACATCACTTCACACATCACTTCACACATCACTTCACACATCACTTCACACATCACTTCACACATCACTTCACACATCACTTCACACATCACTTCACACATCACTTCACACATCACTTCACACATCACTTCACACATCACTTCACACATCACTTCACACATCACTTCACACATCACTTCACACATCACTTCACACATCACTTCACACATCACTTCACACATCACTTCACACATCACTTCACACATCACTTCACACATCACTTCACACATCACTTCACACATCACTTCACACATCACTTCACACATCACTTCACACATCACTTCACACATCACTTCACACATCACTTCACACATCACTTCACACATCACTTCACACATCACTTCACACATCACTTCACACATCACTTCACACATCACTTCACACATCACTTCACACATCACTTCACACATCACTTCACACATCACTGCACACATCACTTCACACATCACTGCACACATCACTTCACACATCACTGCACACATCACTTCACACATCACTGCACACATCACTGCACACATCACTTCACACATCACTGCACACATCACTGCACACATCACTTCACACATCACTTCACACATCACTTCACACATCACTTCACACATCACTGCACACATCACTTCACACATCACTGCACACATCACTTCACACATCACTGCACACATCACTTCACACATCACTGCACACATCACTGCACACATCACTTCACACATCACTGCACACATCACTGCACACATCACTTCACACATCACTTCACACATCACTTCACACATCACTTCACACATCACTTCACACATCACTTCACACATCACTTCACACATCACTTCACACATCACTTCACACATCACTTCACACATCACTTCACACATCACTTCACACATCACTTCACACATCACTTCACACATCACTTCACACATCACTTCACACATCACTTCACACATCACTTCACACATCACTTCACACATCACTTCACACATCACTTCACACATCACTTCACACATCACTTCACACATCACTTCACACATCACTTCACACATCACTTCACACATCACTTCACACATCACTGCACACATCACTTCACACATCACTGCACACATCACTTCACACATCACTGCACACATCACTTCACACATCACTTCACACATCACTTCACACATCACTGCACACATCACTTCACACATCACTGCACACATCACTTCACACATCACTTCACACATCACTGCACACATCACTTCACACATCACTGCACACATCACTTCACACATCACTGCACACATCACTTCACACATCACTGCACACATCACTGCACACATCACTTCACACATCACTGCACACATCACTGCACACATCACTTCACACATCACTGCACACATCACTTCACACATCACTGCACACATCACTTCACACATCACTTCACACATCACTTCACACATCACTTCACACATCACTTCACATCACACTAACGCTCCATCCAAGAATGCTTATCTGAGTACGCACATCAGGTTCGTCGTACATTACACTCACACGATACACGCTCCATCAAATGCTTCCTCAATACTCACATCAGGCTCTCCATACAGGAGGAATGCCGAAGCAATGCGAATGATGGTGGCGTTGTGCGACGGCACTCTGAAGCCCGTCGCAGGCACGCCCGTCTTGAAGAGACTCCCATTGAAGTTCTGCGCATGGTGTGGTGAAGGGTGAAGAAAGGTCGTGAATGGGGATGCGAACGGTGGTGGCATTGTGGGACCGGACCAGCACTCTGAAGCCCTTAGGCCTTGGCTGGCACGCCTGTCTTGGAAAGATTCCCGTCGAAGTTCTGTGCACAGCGTGGTGTGGGGTGGTGCGGGAAGGGGTGGGGTGGGGTGGGGTGGGGTGAGTGAGGGGTGGGGTGGGGTGAGTGAGGGGCGTGGCATGTTCTGAGACGTCTCAAGACTGGGCGGTGGTATTCTGGGATGGCATCTTCAAGTTGTGGGATACCGTTGAAACCCTCAATGGCAGGTCATCGCAGTGTCACGACCCATCGCACCCGGGTGACTGAAACGACTCAATGAGGCATCGGATAGAAGCATTCCGGGGGTGTGCCGCAGCTCTTACCGAAAGGTAAGCACCATTCTAAACAGCACTGTAAGTCTGCCAGTCTGGGAGTAACCTGTAACCTGAATTTCACCTGTGTGGCTGCCCCGGACTCACTGAGACATCGGATGGGCGCGTGCAGGTTGAGGGCGTACGAGTGTGCATCAGCTGTTACCGTAGGGTTACCACTGTTGTAACCGGAACCATTGTAGGGTAGGTAGCACCTCACCTGGGTGACTGCGATGGACTCAATGAGGCATCGGATGGGCACGTCACGCGTGCAGGTTGAGGGTGTGCGAGTGTGTTGCCGCAGCTTCTACCCCATAGGGTAACCACCGTCGTAACCAGCACCATCGCGAGGTAACCACCACCTCACCTGAGTGACCGCGACGGACTCAATGAGGCATCGCATGGACGCGTGCAGGTTGAGGGCGTACGAGTCCCCCACTATCATAAAGACCTTGTTGCGCATCGTAGCGAGGAAGACCGAGGGGTCGAAGCTGGTAGGGGGAATGGGTTGAGAGACGAAGGATGATGAGGGGTGGACGCTGGTAAGTGGAAGTGGGAGTGGGCGGAAAGAGGGCGTGCAGTCATCAACGATCATGAAGATCTTGCTGCGTAGTAGGGCGAGTAAGTCCGACGGGTCGAAGCTGGTAGGAGCGGAGGGGGGTTGGGTGCGTGGGTTGAGAAAAGAACGTGATGGTACACGATGAGTAGCAGGTGAGAAAAATACTACAGCCCACCTGCTATTCATGCTACAGCCGGGGTTGACTCACCGCTTGATGCTACAGCCGGAGTTGACTCACCGCTTGATGCTACAGCCGGGGTTGGCTCACCGCTTGATCCTACAGCCGGGGTTGACTCACCGCTTGATGCTACAGCCGAAATTGACTCACCGCTTGATCCTACAGCCGGGGTTGACTCACCGCTTGATGCTACAGCCGGGGATGCGCCACTCATAGTCGAGATACTTGAAGTTGCCGCGCCCGTTCTTCTCGCAACTGTAGTGCGTGTCGATGCTCTTGCAGGCGGCATTGTCTCACCGTTTGAGGCTACAGCCGGGGATGCGCCACTCGTAGTCGAGGTATTTGAGGTTGGGGCGGCCGTTCTTCTCGCAATTGTAATGCGTATCGATGCTCTTGCAGCTGAGGCCCGTGTAGCGCCGCGGCTGGAAGTGAGTTCGCATCCAGCTAGGAGGGGTGCAATGCGGTGGGGAGGGGGGCGAGAAGAGGTGGTGGTGTAAGGGGCAGGGGGGGAAAGTCGGGGTGGATATGATGGAATGAATGAGAGTGAGGAAACGGAAAGGTAAAGAGGAGGAAACGAAGAGACGGGCGGCGCCCCAAGTGTCCGGATGTAAGTTCGCATTCAGCTTAGCTGAGAGGGGTGCAATGCAAACGATGCTCCCGTAGCGGCAGATGCGGCTCGTGTGACGCTGCGTACGGAAGCGGGTGCCGCACGCCATACGGGAAAAATAGACGCGATATAGAGTGAACGGATTGCAGCTGTAACGACGCAGAGAGGAACGAACGAGGCGGTAGCAGCTTACCGGCCGGCAAGCATATCGCATCGGTTGGCAGCGGGTTTAATATCCGCAGCTGTGGTAACCCTATCGACTGTGGTAGTAACTCCGCCAGCTGCGGCCCCGCCGGCTGTGGTAACCCTGTGGGCGGCGAGAACACCCGTCGGTGCGGAAACAGTAACGGTCGTGGGCGTCGCGGCTAGATCGACTGGGGATGTCGCAGCTGACGTTAGCAACGCTCGCAGCTGTAACAATGTAACCCACAGCAGAAAATGTAACAATGCTGCTGATAGCAGCGAATGTGCGTGACGGGCCATCGTAGCTAACGAGCCACGTGGAGCTTGAGCGACACGCGGCTGTACTTGATTCGCGGCTTGCAGAGTGGCGAGGAACTAAGTTCCGAGGCTGGTCGGAGAATAATTATGTCAAACCGCGTACATGTCGAGTCGGGCCTACAGCTTGGAATACGACGTCAAGAACCCCTCATAAGCTCTAATTTGACATCGACAGCCCCTCGTGCAAGAAAGTCAACCCACTGATCTGACAGAGCGAGTGCCAACAACCAGCAAAAATCGAGCGTAAATTTCAAACCAACTTGAGCCAAGGAGCGGGCGGATAGGTCATGCAGCACGGGGATCGGGACGGCATGTGACGGGACAGGGTTACAGACTCACAGGGGCTGGTGATGAGTGAGTGCATCAACTCGATTCAGGGGCGCACGAGGAACTGAGCAGCAAGGTCTTTGAGTCAGAAGAACGGAGGTGGCACAACAGATGGGGGGAATCGGTCGCACGACTGACTGACACCCTCCCTCACCTCCCTCACATCGCACCTCATTACGCTACCGCACTGTAAGCCCGTGTCTTGCATCCTCAACTTTCAAAACCTTCGCTAACCTTGATATGAAACGGTCCTGCGAAGGGTCGATCGCGAAGGAGGACACGATGTGACCCGTCCTCAGCGCACCGCGCACCAATTGCATGCATCGATACATCCATAGCGTCGCCACCGTCGACTTTGGTTTGGAAAGGTGAAGGATGGAGAGCCATTGATCTCCTAGAAGTGCCTGCCACAAACTTTGTCCACCATCAACTTCGTGGATCACCGCTCTAAATCGTAAACAGAACTATTTAAAACGTACCGACGCGCACTGAACTGCAGAAAGGTGAAGTCGTGTGAGCCACACCCATTGGAATTTGGTGGGGTCGGTCGGCGGGTGGGGTGGTGAATCTCGAGTCGTGAATTCGGATTCAAACCGAGTCGCTGTGCGGTGTGTGACTGAATCGAGTCGAGCTTGCATGAGCCAATTTGTAAAGAAGAAATATTAATCAGACATCATAGAACTAGCGATCAAAGAGACTAATTGATGAAGCAACTCTGCAAGTGAAGTAAATTGATATTGAACAAATTATTGTCATAAAAGGTGAGAACTATCGTACAGTTATATCATGATGAGGCGAGGATTTACAAAAGGAATTTCCATACTGGAATAAATGGGCAAATATGCTTTCGGAAGCGTCATGGAAACTTTTCGCACGCATTCACTGGTTGAAATATTTGCACTTCAAAAAGTAACATACGGTGTGAAAACCCACAAACAGTGCACAAAAACTTGGTCAGCAGCATTATATTATCCTCCAGACCTACATCCATATCAAACCTTGGGAGGCTTCACATGGCGCACAATTGAACCCGCCCCCTCTTTAGTCACAAGCACAGCAAACATATCAACCTTCTCCACATCCTCCGTGCTCACAAACGCATAGTCAAACCACCCACGCCTGTCCGTGTACCCATCCTTGTAAAACTCCGCCCCACCCCTCTCCTCCCCTGCACTGCCGCTGAAAAGGTAAGAAACCCCTCGCGACTTGGGGCGGAAGAAAACTTTCACATATGCCCCGGGCAGCGGCACCAAAGTTCCCTGAGCTGACTCCAGCCGGCCTTCCACTGCTCCTGCTTGCCCACTGCCCGAAGACCCATCGGCAGGTGCTGGCGCAGGTGTGGGAATGCGGCGAAGCACTCTCAGCTGACCCAGCCTCTCTACCACCTCTACCACAAGAGACTCGTGCACCGGCCTGTGGTGGAGGGGTTGGGAGAGAGAGGACGTGAGGTGGGTCGAAAAATCAAGGGAATGTGAGGTGAGAGCATGTGGCAGATGAGAAGAAAACAGTGTGCAGGACGAGCAGAGCAGAGAGGGCGCACAGGGAAAAATGAGGAATTATTTGAGTGAGGATATGCACCTGAGGAGAGTGGTGGAGAGAGCACCCGAGGAGACTGTGATGAGCACTGCCTCTGAATCGAACTCCGCTGGCAACGCCACCACCACACTGCCACTGCTGCCTCTGCTGCCACTGCTGCCTCTGCTGGAGCCTGTACCAGCAGCTGCACCACCAGTGCCACTTCTGCCGCTGCCAGTGCTGACAACTGTGGACCAATTCGGAGCCACGAAGATGGACGAGGGCCCGCCCACCCCATTGCTACCCTCTCCTCCTGCCGTCCCATCCCTGCCACGCCTGCTGTCCTTCACACTGCTTTCCCCAGCGGCTGCTGCTACGCCCGAGAGCAGGGAGAAGGGCGAGGAGGAGAAGAATGTCTCCTCGTCGAACGCAAACACGTCCACTCGGATGCTCTCCACGTTCGCATACCGCACCCCCACCACCGCCGCCGCCGTGACTGTACCCGGCGTGACTGTACCGAGTTTAGTGCTGGCTGTGCCAGAAGCAGCAGCAGGGGGCAGCAGCTTGGCGTCAAGGAAGGGCTCGTGGGAGGGTTTGGGTCCGGAGCTCTTCTTTAAGGAGAACGGGTCCACTGCTGCGCTGTCCCCCTCCGCTGCCTCCGCCAGCTGTGCCACGTCAGCAATGTCCTCGTCCGCAGCAGTGGTGCCTTCAACCGCTGCTGCTCCTGCCCCTTCTCCTGCTGTTGCTCCTCCTGCTACTGCTCCTCCTGCTGCTGCTCCTCCTGCTGCTGCCCCTTCTCCCACTGCTCCAATTCCTCCTCCTCCTGCTGCCCCTGCTGGGGGCTGACCGCCTGTGAGCACCCAGTCATCGTCCTCCTCCCACTCCCATGCATCACCACCCCCACCAACCCCCTCTCCTCCACCTCCTCCTTCCATTCTCTTATCACTCTGCGCCTGCCCTTCCATCCCAGCCACTCCATGCCCCTCCACACCACTCTGTGCAATGATACGCCCCCCTGCCCGGGCAGCCCGGGCAGCTCGGGCAGCCATCCAAATTTCATACACCTGCTTGCCCAGGTCAGCAAAGCGCTTTCTCCAGGAAACCACCGGGCAGCTTCCTCCACTGCTGCCGCCATTCCTATCCACAGCTCGGTACTTTTTCGCAACTGCCCGGGCGACCACAGGCAGGCGGTCGGTCGGGCAGAGGAGAATGTCGAGAAAGGCCGCCATGTAATCTGCTGCCAGCTGCACATTCACTGTAGCGGGGAGGTCAGTGAAGGGGACAGCGCTGCTACTGGTGCTGCTGGTATTGGTACCAACACCAGAAGCAGCAGACCTCTCGCCGCCCTCAGCACCCTCAGCAGGAGCTTCAGCAGGAGTCTCAGCACCAGCCCCAACAGGAGCAGCACTCCCATTCCCACCGCACAGAGCTGCCCGCCACGTGTCGGGCAGGGCGAAAATCTTTCTAGAGGCTGCCCGGAGAAACATGAGGTGGGCCTCTTTGATTCGGTCTTGAAGCAGCAGGTAGTATGCGGCTGCCAGGCACTCGTGTGCGCTCATGCCGCCCTTCCGCCTCGCACACACCTCCAAGCACCGACTGTAATGCTCCAATAGCTGCTCGTTCCATATGTCGTTCACCCCCGGTTCCTCCTCCCACCCTCCCTCCTCACTCCCTGCTCTCCCCTCTCCCTTGCTTTCGCCCTGGACCCTCTTCCCTCTCCTCTCCCCATCTGAACCACTCATTCCGAACCTGTGCGCCCGGGGGTTCAGCAGCGGCAGGAACTCCTCATGCTCGTACACCGGACCTAGCCCCAAACCTACCCCTGAGCCTAGCACACCGGCGCTCCCATTGAGCCGATACCGGAGCGAAAGCCTCGCCCCTGCCGCACCCGGCTCGATATGCAGCAGAGAGGAGAGGAGAACCGGGGAGGAGAGCCGAGCAAGGAAGGCCGGTTCATAAGCCAAATACTCAGACATCCCCCGAGGGTCCTGGTGCAAGAGCGAGTATTGCCAGATGGCGGGAGAGAAGAGCTTTCGGCGGCGGAGGAGGGAGGTGACGGAGTGGTAGAGGGGCGCGTGGGGCATGAGGGGGAGGAGGAGCGCGAGGTCGAGGGAGCGCAGGGAGGGGCCCTGCAGCATGCGGAGGATGTCAGGCTCGCTGCCCGACTGGCAGATCACCTCCCACAGCTCCGCTCTCTGCGCTGCCTCCTCTGCTGCTGACTGTGCCTTGCCTCCCGCTTGCTGCTTCTGCCTGTCTGCTGCAGCTGCTGTTGATTCTGCCTGCAAGTGTTTCTTGAGAAGGGATTCGCGTCTCTCCCTCTCCATCTTCTCGTATTCGGATGATGAGAGGACGGGGATGGATGCGGGTACCCCTGCTGCCACTGCCACCACCCCAACGTCTGCCCCGCCCTCCTCCTCCCTTGCCCCTCCCTCTCCCCCGCCCCCTCCGCCTGACCCAGCTTCAGGCAGCAGGTGCGCAGGGAAGAGCGAGAAGCTTCCAGGAAACGGGAAGTAGAAGAGGGCAGTGAAGACTCGCTTCTGGAAGGGCTGCAGCGGCGGCAGGCGGAGGCGCTGGGTGGGGCGGCCGAGAGGGGAAATAGGCACGGAACCCTGGGGAACTTGGAATAATAGCAGCAGCGGGGGGAGCGGGGCAGACTGGAGATTGACAATTACGATTTGAAGGAGGTAGCAGATGCCGGTGCGGTATGGAGGGGTGGAGGGGAGTGAGGAGGGGTGGATGGATGGGGTGGTGGAGAGGGCGGAGTGGAAGAGGGGGAAAGGGGTGGTGGATGAGAGGAGGGAGGAGGAGTGGGGGGTGAAAGGGGAGGAGGAGGAGGGAGGGGCGAGGAGAGTGTGGATGGACTGAGAGAGGAGGATGGAGGGGATTCCAGGAGCAACGGAGGGGAGGAGCGGGAATGGAGGAGCTTTTGCTTCAGTTGTTGCTGCTGTCGCCGCTGCACCACTCCCCACCTCACACAACTCCTGCTTGTACACCACCATGGGCGATGCTGGTGTGATTGTAACCGACGTGCCTCTAAACGAAAACCCATGCTCCTCCCCTTCCAATGCGCCAGCAGACCCACCTCCCCCGCCCACCCTCCCACCAGTCTCTTCGTTATTAACCTCCTCGTTATAAGCACATGCATGCCTGATTTTGCCGCCGAAGCGGAGCCCGAGGATGGAAAGGGCGGAGAGAGCAGCCGTGGAGGAGGAAGCAACATCGTGCAGCGATGCAGGGACGAAGGGAGGGAGGGAGAGAGCAAAGGCGCAGAGAGACGCAGCCGGGGAGGTGCTTCCTGCAGCAACATTGACTGCAGGTTCGGGTGCCGCGGCTGTGGCTTCGGCAGCGGCAGCAGGTTTGGCAGCAGCTTCGGCAGAAGAGAGTATGTGGCGCATGAAGTCGACCCAGAAGGGCGAGGCGGGGATGAGGTCCGGTGTCTGCTCGCTCAGTGCACGCTTGAAGTAATGTGTCTCCGCGTAGCGCTTCGTCACGTCCACCTTGTGAGGGCGCTGCACGGGGTGGCAGGGGAGACAGAAGGGCGAGGAGGGGATGAGGTCCGGTGTCTGCTCGCTCAGTGCACGCTTGTAATAGTGCGTCTCCGCGTAGCGCTTGGTCACGTCCACCTTGTGGGGGCGCTGGTAGGAGGGGAGAGAAGTGAGGGGCAGCAGGAGAATGAAAGAGGAGGGAGGCAGGATGGGTTAAATTGTGCGCTTCCGTGTAACGCTTCGTGACGTCCACCTTGTGGAGGCGCTGGGGTGGGTGGGAGGGGAGAGAAGGGAACGAAAGAAAGAAGAAGCAGAAGAAGAAGAAGAAACACTCTAGTTGGGTTCTGAGAGCTTTTAAAACAAATGGAGCGAGGAAAATAGCTTCAGCAAGAAAACAGAAGAGGGAAATGGCGAAGGGAGTGATTGCATTCTTGTTGCAGGACCAAAGCAAGGGCCAGAGTGAAAGCGGTCGTACCCATCCTCCCACCTGTTGCAATGGCAGAAGCTTCCTCCCCCCACAGCCGCTGTACTCTCTTCGGTGCGGAGAGTAGATTGAACTCTTTGTGTGCAGTCACCCCCTTTTCCATTTCCCGTGCAGAGAACGGGACAGATTGAAAGCGGTTAAAGCTGTGCTCTCACCTGCTGAGTTGATGGAACGGGCACAGCCTCCTCTGCTTCCCCAGCCGCTGCTGCTCCAAAGGAGGGGCCGGAGTCGAATCGCTGGTACTCGCCCGGTGTGCCCATGGTGGCGAAGCATGATGCACAGAGATCGTAGTCGTCCCGGCTGATGGTGGGGGGTGTGGGGGAGGGTTACGGGGAATGGTGGGAAAATGGTAAGTGAGAGAGGGATGGGACTGACAGGATTGGTACTCGCCCGGTGTGCCCATGGTGGCGAAGCAGGACGCACAGAGATCGTAGTCGTCCCGTCTGGTGGCGGGGTACGGGGGGGAGTTAGAGGGGATGGTGGGAAGATGCTAAGTGAGAGAGGGAGGGGATTGACAGTGTTGGTTGTCGCCCGGTGTGCACATGGTGGCCGGCAGGGCAGGACGCACAGAGATCGTAGTCGTCATGAATTGGAGGGAGAGGGGTGGATGGGTTACGGGGGGAAGGGGTAGGAGCTAGGGGTACGAATGAGAGAGGAAAACAGACAGTGAGACAGACAAGACAAGCAGCCGATAGGGTTCTACACCTGCTGGAAAATGTAACTGCGATCATGGGTACAGTGGGCCCCGGAGAGAGGAGACTTGGGGTGCAATGTGCTCTGATGTGAGCGGACAGCGAGGTAGAGAGGCAAAGAGAGGGATGCAAACAAACCAGCGGTGGCACGGTCCCATGTGTTCTGATCCAAGCAGAGCGGCAGGCAGCATAGAGGGAGCAGAGAGCGAGCAGAGAGAGCAGAGAGCGAGCAGAGAGAGCAGAGAGCGAGCAGAGGGAGCAGAGAGCGAGCAGAATGCAGCAGAGAGGGGAGCAGAGAGAGACGAGACATACACAAGAGAGCGGTAACGGGGTCCCCTGATTGGGTTGGTGCCACATCCATCGCAGCTGAAATGCAGCCCCCCTAGTGCTCCTCCTCCCCCTCCCCCTCCTGGTGCCGCTGACAATGACACTGCCTGCATCTGAGGCTGCAGGGAGATGGGCAGAGAGAGAACAAGACAGAAAAGTTTCTGGAACCTCTGCAACCAACAACAAATACCTTGTACCAACTACGCAGAGCATACCATTTCCCATACCTTGCTCCGCTTCTTCTTCAATTTTTCTTCCTCCAACACCAGAAAACCACCATCACCCTCGTATGTACCACCCTCTGTATCCTCATCACTCAGTCCGTTTTCCTCCTCATCTTCATCACTATCCTTCTCTTCCTCCTCGTCTTCATTGTCGTCGTCGTCCTCCTCCTCCTCCTCCTCTTCTAGTGACTGCACACAGCACAAGCATCACCGCGAAGCAGCCAGCGCAAGCAGACCCGCCAGGAGGAGGAAGCAGCAGCAGCGGCAGCATCAGCAGAAGGAGTAGGACGAACAGGAGGAGCAGTCAGCAGACTACGGAGTTTGAGTAGCTTCCCACGTAGCCCACTGCGGGACTGTACCGTACAGAACCATACACCACCACTTCACGTTCTATCCCTTCCAACCCATGCTCCCACCGGCCACCCAGAAGTGGCTCCGCAAGGCAGCACCCACCGCGCCACCATGAAGTGCGTCCACTGCTTGATGCGCCTGCTTGCCACCATACATGCTTCAACCTCTATACCTCTAAAACCTCTAAAGCTTAAAGCTCTAAAATCTCTAAGGCTTAAAGCTCTAAAGCTCTAAAGCTCAAAGTTTAAAGTTCTGAAGCTTTGAACCTCAAAACCTCTAAAGCTTAAAGCTCAAAAGCTCAAAAGTTCTGAGGCATCGCAAAACCTTCCTTTACTCTGAAATGGGTGCTGCTTGGCGCGCCTATAGCAGAATCATTAATGACTCACCTCCACCCCACCACAGATGCATTATACGCTGCCCCAACTATGCCTCACATCGTCTCACATCGTCCCACATCCCCTCACATCGCTTTGCATCATCCCAAATCGTCTCACATCTGCAATTAAAGCCCCTAGCTCAGCATCGTTGATGCCTCACCTCCCCAGGAGCACCATACGTTGCAGCAGGAACACCAGGGGCAAGGAGGCCAGGAGGAGGGCGTGTCACACTGAGGCTAAGCCAAGAAGAGTCACATTGAGGCTAAGTCAACATGCATAAGGCACACCAGTCCAAATCAACCTCGTTGGTGTTCTCACCTCCTCAGATATATCAGCATCAAATCCAATGCCAGAAGCAGCAGCACAGAGAGGAATGGGTACCATCCTCCCACTGCCCCCAAAAGAGGCACCGCCAGGGGGAGGGGGAGGGGGAGGGGGGGTAGCGCCAGGGGCAGTGGGAACGGGAGGGGGAGGGGCGCCTTTGGGTGCAGAGACGTGCTGGGATGCAGGTTCGGCGCCTGGTTTGGCAGGAGGTTCGGCGGGGGGTGCGGCGCGGGGGCGGAGGTCACTGCGACTGGCGAGGGCAGTGGTGAAGCGGCGGTATGAGGCTGCTGCTGCTTGCGCTGCTAGCGCTGGTGTTGTTGGTGCTGCCAGCGTGATAAGATCATCCAGGACTGGAAGGGGGAAGAAGGGGGAAGAAGGGGGGAGAAGGCGGGGAGAAGGGGGGGAGAAAGGGGGGAGAAAGAGGGGAGAAAGGGGAAAAGGCTGATGGTGAGTGGCTGGCGAGGGCTGTGGTGAACCACGTTAACACGCTGCTCCTGCCTGCGCTGCTAGCGCTGGCGTGGGTGGTGCTTCTAGGGTGATTAGATCGACTACGACTGAATGGGGAGGGACAAGGATGGGGGAAAGTGGGGAACAGAAAGGATAAGTGGCTGGCAAGGGCTGTGATGAAGCGACGATAGGACGCTGCTGCTGCCTGCATTGCTACGGCTGGCGTGGGTAGCGCAAGAGTTGGTGCGATCACTCATGAACGGCGCATCGCAAAACATGGAGAGCAAAGAGGTGCAGTTTCTCAGGAGTCAGATAAAGGGATTGAAGAAGAAAGTAAGGGAGAAGGCGAGAGAGGTGGGTGAGACGAGGACTCCAGTTTAAGGGGCTGAGAGGAGTGCTCTGAATGGTGCTAAGAGGAGTGCGCACAATCACGAGCAGCACATTCCAAAATATTGTGCGCATTCCTCTTAGCCCCATTCAGAGCACTCCTTTCAGCCTCTTTAACTGGAGTCCTCGTTTCACCCACCTCTTTCACCTTCTCCCCTACTTTCTTCTTCAATTCCTTTATCTAGCTCCTGAGGCTCTGCACCTCCTTGCTCTCCATGTTTTGCGATGCGCCGTTTGTGAGTGATCGCACCAGCTAGGTTGGAGAAGAGGGAGAAGCGGGGAGAAGGCGGAGAAGCGGGGAGAAGCGCGGGGAGAAGCGGGGAGAAGCGGGAAGAAGGGGTGAGAAGGGGTGGAGGGGGGAGAAAGGGGACAAGGACAAGGAACATAGCGAACAGCTGGTGAGGGCAGCAGTGAAGCGACAATGGGAGGCAGCACAGCCTTACCTTCACAGGGATGGATGATGTGGTTCTGGTACGGCCAGTCGAGGGGTCGCTGCCCCCTGTGCTGCAGCAGCATGTGGCAGCACACTGCAAGCCCCAGCAGGCACCTCTCGAGTGCGTTCAGATTGAGGTAGGCTGGCAGGGCACAGAACGACAGCACCTGGTGGGGTTGAGGGAGTATGGGCAGGATTCAGTGATGCGGATGGGAGGGGAACAGCGTCTCCCTAAAAGACATCTCTCGCGTCTCACCACGTTCACTCGGAACGCATTTCACCCCATTCCACCGCTCCCAACCGCAACTCACCCCGTCAAGGTCGCCCAGCAGCCAGAGGTCGAGGAAGGAGCGGTCGAGCTTGGAGGCAATGGCTGGGCGCACTGCCACACGGAGTGAGGGGGTGAGAGGAAAAGAAGGTGGGTGTTCAGAGCACGGTTGTAGAGACTCGATTACATACAGTGCCAAGAGATGTGCACGCTCAGCAGCGTAGGATGATGGGCATGTGGAAGGTGAAGCATGTGACATAAATAATCAGTAGGCATTGTCCTGAAACTTGAGAAGCTTGTGCTGTTAATGGCAGGAGACTACGATTAGCCACGAAGTGCAATGCCTGCTAAGTAACAGGCATACTGTGGCATACCGTGGCATAACGTGGCATACCGTGGCATACTGTGTTTCAGAAAGAAGGCATGGTCATGGAAGTACCGGAACAGGTGCAGCTCATACGAGCTGGAGAAGTGACCAAAAGAACAGAAACAACATAGAGCAACCACTGAGTAGCGTGTTTAAGAAAGGAAGCATGGTTGTGGAAGAAGGGGAAGAGGTGCACCTCGTGGCAGGAGGACCAAGCTAAGAGCAACCTTTGAGTGCCATGCTCGCAAACGACTAGACGTGCGTACCGTGTTTCAGAAAGAAAGCATGGTCATGGAAGAAGAGGAAAAGGTGCAGCTCGTGGACAGGTAGGTGGAATGGTGGCCAGAAGACAAACTTGAAACAAACTTGAAAAAGAAAACCACACGAACCGTGCTTAAGGAAGAAGGCATGGTCGTGGAAGAAGACGAAGAGGTGCTGCTCGTGGGAGGTGGATTAATGACGAGAAAACCATTTCAAACTTAGGAAAAGCTGGTAAGTACCGTGTTTCAGAAAGTAGGCGTGGTCATGGAAGAAGACGAAGAGATGCAGCTCGTGCAAGGCGGAGTTATGGCCAGACGAACAGAATTGTCAGACGAACAGAAACAAGCATAGAAAAAACTCTTAGAAAAAACTCTTAGTACCGTGTTTCACAAAAAAGGCGTTGTCGTGGAAGAAGAGGAAGAGGTGCAGCTCGTGCGATCCGAAGCGCTGCAGCTTGTCCACTTTGCCGCCCGCTGCCATGCCCGGCCACTGCAGCAGGAACGCCAGCTGCTGCCACGTGTCACGCTCTGACTGGCTGATGAAGCTGGCCAATAGGCCGTGAGCTCGCTCGATGGAGTCGAATATCTGAGGGAGTGAGGTTGAGGAGGGGGGAGAGCGGTGAAGAACGGTGAGGTGCGGTGAGAATTGGTTCAGGAGGGGATTGGGATCATGAAAAGAAAAGGAGTGGAAGAAGAGAGGGTGACGTTCCATAGAAGCAGCAAGAGCTGTGGTAAATGACATCATTGCACGAGGAAGATGAGTAACAACAACCACCAATGACTCACCGCCACCTGTGCCATTGCCACGTCAGCAATGCGGTGCACCTCTCCCCTCCTCCACACCTCCACCGCCCTCCTCTCATGGTAATGCTTAGCTGGATCTAACGCCTCCTGAACCACCCACTCCCTCCCTTTCTCCTCTCTCCCTTTCTCACCCTCACTCCCCTCCTCCTCCCCCCAGGCCTCCTCCGGAACGAGCAAATCACAGCGCGCCACCTGGCACCCCCACGCGCTCTCCCCCGAGTCCACAGCCACGACAGTCAATGACAGGCTGCCACGTGGCAGGGAGGATCTCGGCACCGCAACCCACCCATCCATCCCCCCCTCATCGCCCTCCCCTCCACCCCCCACTCTCTTCTCCCCTCCCACCGGCCTCAGATTAGCAATAAGAATGGGAGTCGGTGCAAAGAGAGGGGCATGTTTGGGAGGAGGGCCGGACTGGAACGAGGAGGCAAAGCCACAAGCAGCACCAACACCCCCACCACGATACCTCATCCCCCTTCCCCCTGCCGGGCCTGCGAAACACATGGCGGCTTGTGGTGCAGCAAAACCCATGGCCATGGATGCGCATTCTCGCCCCGCCATCATATCCTTGTCAATCCGATTGCGCTGCAGCATCACTCCCATCAGCTGCTTCTTCTTTGCAGCGGGGTCGGAGTGGAGCTGGCGTGGAGGGGGAGGGGCGCGCTTGCTGGTGGTGGCAGCGGTGACACGCGGGTGGATGAGCAGGGACGGCAGGGGCAGCAGATGCCCCACACGCTCTGCTGCTCCGCTGCTGCTGGTGAGGGCCTTCTGGCGGTTCTGTACATAGCTGGAGGAGAGGGAAGGGGATTGCATGGAAAGGGGTGCGCAGGGAGAGGAAAGGAGGGGTGGGTGGCACGCGGGTGGAGGAGAGGGGGCGGCAGCGGGAGCAGGTGCCTCACCCGCTCCCGCTGGCACCTGGTGAGCCAGGTGCCTCACCCGCTCTGTGGCTCTGGTGGTGGTCCTTACCTTGTGGCAATGCTTCTATACACAGCTGGGAATGAGGGGAGAGGAGGGCAAGAAAAGAGGTGGGTCACATTCCCATTCACCACCCTTATTCACACTCGCATTCATTTCCCCCGTTACACTCACATGATCTCTTCATCCATGAGCTGCTTCTCGCCATACTCACTCTCCACCTCCTCCAACCCCACCCTCCCCTCCTCCCCTCCTTCCCCTCCCCACCCGCCTCCCCTCCACACTCCCTCCACCCCCCCCTCCTCCTCCCCGCCTCCCCCCCCAAACACACTCAACTCAAACCCAGGCACAGCCTTGGCCACCATGCCTTGCCGCGCCACCACATGCACTCGCGTGCGCGTCCCACACCCCCCAAGCTTCACCCACAGAACCTTCCTCCCCTCTCCCCCGCCTGCTCCTCCCCCACCCCTCCTTCCCCCCGGCACCATCCCACTCCCACCAACAGCAGCAGCACAGATGGTGAGTGGGCTCTTGGGCGGCAACTTTCGGAGCTCTCTGCGCGCCGAGTCTACCGCCCAGCCGGGGCAGGGGAGAGAGGCGGGGGTGGATGCAGGAGTGGGGTGTGGGGAAGAGGGTGGGGGAGAGTGGGCGGAGGAGGAAGGGGGAGGAGGCAGGACGCGGATGGAGATGGTTTCGTTGTCCCATGGGAGGAAGAGGGAGTAGTCGCCTGGCGGCACTCTCAGTAGCTCCAGATAGCCCTGCTTGGGGCAGGACGAGCAGAGATAGATGGCGGAAGGTGGAGGTAAGGCGGGGAGAAAGCAAGGGGGAACGGGAAGGACGTTGATAGAAACTGTTAGGTTGTTACATGGGAGGAAGAGGGAGTAGTCCCCTGGTGGCACTGTGAGCAACTCCAGATAGCCTTGTTTGAGGGAGGGACGAGCAGCGAGAGATGGGAGGTAGACAAGGGAGAAAATGATTGAAGAAGGGTCGAAAAACGTAAGACACGGAAGAAGAATGCGAAAGGAGGCTTGGATTGGAGTAGGAGAGAGAGCTGGGACGGTGGAAAGAGCAGCACCCTCTCTCGCTCACCACTCTGTGTCTGTCTGTGTCTCACCTCGTTCATCCGCACTCGCTGCGTGCAGTCTGCCAGGAACACTTTCTCGACTGCGTATTCCGATGCAGCAGCCACGCGGAACAGACACGGGGACACTGGTGCGGCCGCAGCAGCTTCAGATGTTCCAGCCGCAGCAGCAGCAGAACCAACATCACCATCACCACCGCCACCGCCCGCAGCAGCAGCAGAACCAACATCACCACCACCACCGCCACCGCCCGCAGCAGCAGCATCAGCAGCAGCATGGGAGACATAAGGCAGTCGCAGAATCACTTTATCCGAGCCTGTTGCTGCACCATCACCAGCAGCACCGCCAGCAGCAGCAGCAGCACCAGCACCGGCAGCAGCAGCATCACCTGCCCTCTCCTCCCCGCCCACCACCACCACGTGAGACGGCAGCTTCCCTGCTGGACTCCCACCCACACTGCCACGTGGACCAATCACAGCAAGCCGTGGTGCATGCACATGCCACACGTGTTCCCACTCCTCCTTCATCCCCCCCATCCACTCCTCCCCTTCCTCTTCCCCATCCCCTTCCCCACCCCTCCACTCTCCCCATTTCCCCAAGCCCGCCCTATACCCTCCCCCTTCCCCATCCCCCCGTTCTTTCCCCTTCCCCTCTCCCCCCCACTCTTCCACCCGCCTCGCCCCAACCGTCTCCACCCCTTCCAACCACCCCAAATACACGCACCCTTCATCGTCGCTTCTCATCACGACACCTGGCGACCATTCATTGGCCAGCCGGTGCCGCAGCCGCACCACCACCCGCCTCCCCCCTTTCCCCTCCCCCGCTTCCCCCACTACCCGCAACACATACCCCCCCATGCCCCCCTTCCCTGCTCCTCCCCCTTTAACCTCCCCCATCCCTTCCTCCCCCTCACCTCTTATCTCCAAAAACAAAGATTCCACTTCCACAGGCCTCTGCTTCCCCCCCCCATCCCCCCCCTCCGCTCCCCCTACTTCCCCCAGGACCATCCCCCCTCCGCCCCCTGCCCCTCCCCCTGCCCCACTCCCCTCCCACGCGCTCCCATTCGCTGCCGCCCTTCCCCCAGGCTCAAATGGCGCCAGCACCTTCCAGGAAGCTTCTGCACTCAGTGCCTTCTCCTGCCCGCCCTTGCTCTGCAGCACCACTGTTCCCCGGAGGGCCACTTCCAGACAAACTGCGCCGTCCGGGACTTTTGTCCTATGCGTTAACTCCGAATCCGGCCGGAGGGAAATGTTGGGAATGCGAACGGTCACATCCTGGCCTTCCAGAAGCTTCCAGGAAATTACGAGCTCAGGGGAGCGCAGGAGAGAGAGGGGGGCGGCTGGGACAGAGGAGGAGGAGTGCCAGTGAGAGGGGGAGAGAGTGAGGGAGGGGCGGAGGAGGATGGTGACGTCAGCAGAGGGGCGGAGGAAGGGCTGATCGAGCCAGGCATGCAAGTTGAGGTTGTAACTGGGGGAGGTGGGGAAGGGGAGTAAAGCGCAGGAGGAGGAAAGGGGGAAAGTTGACAAAGAAAACGACAGAAGTAAGAGAACCATTTAATTCCTCTTGGATCGCTCCTTTATTCCCACTGTTCTGCAGGCACTTGTGTGAATGCATAATGCACCCACAGCAGCCAGGCAGGCGTCACAGAGCACAGGAGAGAGCACGGCCCAAAAGAATACCCGCTAACAGCAGTAACACGCACACCACCTCCCCCTCTCCCTCTACTCACCTTTCTTCTGGAACTTGCACGGATGAACCCACAACAGCCAGGCACCCGTCAAAGAACATGCGAGAGAGAGCACCCAATAACTGCAGCAAAAGGCACACCGCCTCCCCCTCTCCCTCTACTCACCTTTCTTCTGAAACTTGCACGGATGCACCCACAGCAGCCAGGCACCCGTCAAAGAGCACCGGAGAGCACTCCCTGCTGCTGGCAGTGAACGGCAGCAGCACCTCTCCACCGCTCCCCACCGCATACTCCACCCCCTCCACCCACACACTCGCCGCCCGGCCCCCCAGCACTCCCTGCTGGATGCTCGAGCCAACCAGCACACTAGGCTCTCCCCCCACCGAGCTTTGGTCCAGACCTCCACCCAAGGCTGTAGCCGAGCCTCCATTCGAGCCTCCAGTTGCAGTGGTGGGCAGCACGAGAGCGCCGTCTTCGTTGAGCATTCGGATGGAGAGTCCGCGAGGGGTGAGGGTGGCCGTGTGGCTGATTGCAGTGGGGGAAGAGAGGGTGTGACGAGGTGTGAAAGAATGTGAAAAAGTGTGACGAGGGGTGTTGTGAAGGCATCAACTGAGAGCACAAGAGCACCGTCTTCATTCAGCATAGCATACATATGGATAGAACGCGAGCGGTGAGGGTGGACGTGGTAGGCAGGCCAGGCGCACTTTGAGGCGCCTCAAATTTGCGGGTTAAGAGACGACTTTCGAGGTGCCTCAGAATCGCCCCTTTCCACTGATAGCCCAGGCGCACACTCGGGTAAGCTTTGGACTCCAACGCTCACACAACAGATACGAAATAAGGATTGCCGGATACGACTTTTAGCATTCTCAAGATTGACTCAAATCGGTCTGAGTTGGCAGCTCTGTGGGACAAGGATTGCAACATAAATGACACAAGGGTGGAAACACCTTTGTGGCGCCTCAGACGACATGCAAGACACAAGGCTGGTAACATGCGCATAGGCATTCCTCCTATGCATGCATGACACTTGTCACTTGTTAGCGTCCACTCACACTAGATTGCCCTTTCGAATAATCGCCCGCGCGCACAGACCGCCGCCCTCCAGCTGCACTACAAACACGCCCCGCCGCCCGGCCAGCTGTGGCAGATCCACACTCAGGATTCGCCTTATGAGGGAGAAGGGGCGGGAAGGGGAGGCGGAGGAGGAGGAGGAGGAGGTGGTGGTAGTAGTGGTGGTGGTGGGGAGGTGAGTTTGTCGTTCCTGTTCCTGCTGCTGCAGATGAATCTCTTGCTGATACCTGTTACAACAAAGAGAAACAAAAAAGGGGGAAAACGATGGCGAGAATACAAATCAGGAAAACCTTGAGAGAGTGTGCAGGTCGGAAGGAAGAGAAGATAGACATTAGATGGGAGGGTGTAGGGCTTCAAAATCTAGAAGGTTATAAAACAAAGTCTGACAGTCTGAAACTGATGGTTCCAAAATTGAAACAAGAAAAGAAGGATGGAAGGAAAGAAAACAAGAATCAAACAAGCATACCATGGTTTGAGGCCGTGCAGTGAACCCAGGTTGGAGAATTCGGTGTCACGAGGCGAGGAGAGCAGATAGCGCAGCGAGTCCACCTCGAATAGCTTCATCTGCAGCGCAGAGGGAGGAGGGGGGAGGAGAGCGTTGAAGGGGGACTTTAGAGCAGTGACAAAAAGGAGGGGGCTGATTAGAACGTCAAAGGAGAGGAGAGCAGATAGCGCAGCGAGTCCACCTCGAATAGCTTCACCTGGAGGGAGGGAGGGAGGGGGCATTGACAGGCGAGATTCAAAGATTTGACAGGAAAACGGAAAAATGTATACGAGTGTCACAGGGGAGGAGAGCTGGTACCGCAGTGATTGCACGTCTGCACGTCGAATAGGTTCACCTGAAGAGAGAGGGGGAGGGAGGGAGCTCTGAGGGGAACTTCAGAGAGTGCTGACAAAAGAAAGGGGTTTGACTAGCCCAGAGTGTCAAAGCGGAGGAGAGCAGATAGTGCAGTGGGTGAGCTTCACCTGGCAGGGAAATTGAAGAGACGAAGAGGGGGTAGAGGGATGGGGAAGAGGGGCTGTCAGGGAGTCCGGGGAAACAAAGAGATGAAAGGATGAGACGGATTGAGTGAGGTATGCAAAGAGAAGGGGAGAAGGGTGGGGAAGACAGGTGAAGAGGCGAGAGTGGGGAATCTGCTATCACGCTATGTGGCAAGGGGCTCAAACATTACGAGGAGCAGGAGTGAGATACAGGACGAGAGAGAGAGGCGTGAGGAGGAGGGGGAAGAGGAGAAAATAGCGAGAAGCAAAAGGCAGCTCACAAATGGAATGAGAACTTTCAGACACCATCCAAGTGGAAATGCAGCTCACAGTTGGAACCAAAGGCCGGAAATCACACCTTGTATGTATGCACTGCACTCACTCTTACAGCTCCGGCTTATACGCTCCTCAAAGCAGTCTATAACGAGGACAAACAGCTTACAGCGAGTACAGGCACGTTCTTCACAATCACGTCCAGATGCACCGAATCCGCCGCCCGCCACACCCGCCGGTTGTGGGCGGCAAAGTCCAGCTGGCAGCGCCCCGTCAGCTCGGCCAATGCGCTGCTGCCAGCTGTCGGGTTGTCAGGCGTGTGCTGGCGCTGATAGGACGTGAGATAGAGGTGAACCCAGCTGTGGAGGGGACGGGGGTGGGGGGAAGGGGGAAAAGGAGGGGGGGAGGGGGAAGGAGGAAGGGGGGAGTTGAGGGCGAGCAAGGGGGTTGTGCCAGCAGCAAACAGCGACTGGAATGAGACTCACACGGGGTAGTAGGGGTCATCCGCGCAGCACAGTATGCTCTCAGCCAAGAGTAGCTAAAAGGGGGCATTCCACGGCACAGGAATAGCAGTCAGCGGACAGAGAGGTTTGGGAAGCATGGAGAGACGAGAGACTCACACAGGGTAGTAAGGGTCGTCCGCGCAGCACAGCCGGCTCTCAGCCAATAGCAGCGCCACGTAGCTCCAGTCCAGCTTGCCCTGCCCAATCAGAGGCTGCCACGTCTGCATGGCCCTCTCCACCAGCGCCGCTGCCTCCGGCGAATCCGGTGCAAACGGGAACTGCGCTGAGGCTGCCACTGATGCTGCTTCTGCTGACGTGGCAGATGCTGACGTGGCAGGAGTTGAATGGAACATAGAGCGAGAGGTGATACTCGTAGGAAGAGCGAAATGGGAGGCAGAGGAGGAGGCGGAGGGAGGGGAGGTGAGGGAGGAGGAGAAGGAGGGCGAGGAGAAGAGGTTTCGGAAGAGCTGGGCTACGAGCTCCTTGACATCGGATGGTGAGGGGCAGGAGGCGAAGAGCGGGAAGTAGGCGAACGCCTCCTCCTCGTGTGGCCTGGTGGGGTTGGGGTGGGGTTTGTGCAACGAGGTTGGTGTTTCAACCCTTCCTCGAACAGAGCAGGCAGGCAGGCAAGAGCTTGAAGCAATGAAAAGGGCCAACCCAGCTCAGCTATCAGCCTACTGTGCTGGAGGGAAGCCGCTGCAAGGACCGTTGCGGATGAGTGAGAGAAAGGCGTGGAGGACGGAGAAATGGGGAAATGGGGAAAAGAAGATTCTGAACGAACTCAACCTACCTTGCAGGAGGAAATACACCTAAGGACCGTTGTGGATGAGCGAGAGGAAGGCGAGGAGGAGGGGTAGGAAGAAGGGAGGGAAAAGGAGCTGAAAAGCTCATTTGAACCTATCTTGCAGGAGGGAAGACACTGTAAGGGCCATTGTGGATGATCGAAAGGAAGGCGTAGAGGACGGAGGAAGGTGAGGGGGGGGAAGAGGAAGTGCTGCTCTGGTTTAGCCTACCTTGCAGGGGGGAAGATGCCGTAAGGGCCGTTGTGGATGAGGGAGAGGAAGGCGAGGAGGAGGGCAGCTTCCGCCTGGCCGTTCACAAGGCTGAGCGTGAGGCGCGCAAACAGCAGCTTCGCCTTCAGGTGGTCGCTGGTAAGGAGCGGTTGGATGCGGTCCAGGTAGCTGGTGGGCATGGGAATGGGAGGAAGGGAGGGTGAATTTCTCTGCCTGGCCGTGCACGGGGCTGAGCGTGAGGCACGCAAACAGCAGCTTCTCCCTCAGGTGATCACCGGTTAGCAGTGGTTGTATGCGGTCCAGGTAGCTGGTGGGCATGGGAATGGGAGGAAGGGAGGGTGAATTTCTCTGCCTGGCCGTGCACGGGGCTGAGCGTGAGGCGCGCAAACAGCAGCTTCGCCCTCAGGTGATCACCGGTTAGCAGTGGTTGTATGCGGTCCAGGTAGCTGGTGGTGGGTGAGGAGGAAGGGGAAGAGGGTGTGATGGGAAGAAGGGACGTTTTTTCGCTGATCCAGATGGCTGGTGGGTGGAAGCAAGGGGATGAAAGGCGCAGAAAAAGAATTGAGTGAAAGTGAGGCGAGCACAGAGGGGCAGCACAGAGGTAGAGGCTGCAAGGTAGTTAACCTCTGTATTGAGGGGCATTGGCTGCTTTAATTATCTCAAAACGTCTCAAAAGACAAGTCAGCACGGTGAAACAAACTTGAATAATAATGCTGATAGGTAGGCAATAGTAATAGCACTCGTGACAATCAACAAACCTCAGTATCTGATCGACGCTTTCTGGGGTTGGTGCGGAGGTGCCCTGAGACATGCCACGTGGCAGCATCTGAATGGCTCGCAGCGCCAGCATGCGCGGATGTGTGGCGATGGACGGGAAGCGGGCGGCAAGAGACTGTAGCTGCGGGGGAGTGAGGATCTGCAAAATCGGGAGGCTGGCGGGGGGAGGGGCGAGGCGTGAAGGGAAAGGGGGGGAGGGGGAGGAGGAAGAGGGGAGGGATTGGGGAGAGGAGGAGAAATGAGAAGCGGGGGGATGAGGGGAGACATGAGAGGGAAGGAGGCAGGGAGAAGCGGGCAGGGAAGGAGGGGAAAGAGAACACAGGTGGGAAACGCGATTTGAAAGGGTAAAGGACTGGGGTAATGGTGCTACAGAGGAGGAGGATATGAAGGAAATAATGGGATGCAAAAGCAGAATAGGAGACAACGGCACACATTTCAGCATATCAGTTTTGGAAGGAGTTAAAATAGAAAAAAACAAACAAAAGGATCGACACAGTTGAAACGCCTGTGGCAAGTTATTGCAGAAGCCGATGCCCCTTGATTAGAGCTGAGTTGGGCCTACGGTCTACCTGAGTCGGCTGAAGGCGTCCGGCTCATCGCGCTCCAATCGCTGCAGCTCCCATGCCACGGCGTCCTCCAGTCGGGGCAGCGAGGGGCAACGCACATGCTGGGGGGGAGGGGAGAGGGAGATGGAAAAAGGCAGACGAGAGAGGAAAGTCGGCTCATTGTCCTCCCATCGCTGCAGCTCCCATGCCATGGCGCCCTCTAGTCGGGGCAGCGAGGGGCGACGCACATGCAGGGCGGAGAGAGGAAGCAGGGTACGGGGGGGGGGGGGGGGGGGGGGGCAGGGGAAATCGAGGAGCACAGGCTCGGTCGGCTCTCATCGCTGCAGCTCCCATTCCATGCGGGGCAGTGAGGGGCGCCGCACTTGCTGGTGGAGAGGGAGAGAGAGGACCGTTTGAGAGAGGAAGCGGGGTCGGGGACAGGAAACGGAGGAAGCGAGAGGAGGCCAGGTTTGGTCTTCTCCCATCGCTGCAGCTTCCATGCCAGGGGGTCCTCTAGCCGGAAGATGGGGAGATGGAAGAGGGGAGAGAGCACAAGGAGGGGGGATACGGAGGCATCGTTGCAGCTGCTATGCATGCAGTGCAGCCATGGGGGGAGAGAGGCGTCTCCTATGCCGGGTCATGATGGGCGACACACCTGTTGGGTAAGAGCAACAGGGGAGGAAATTGGTGGGGGGGGGAGGGAGAGCGAGGGTTCAGGAGGGGAAGAGAAGGGAGGGACAGGGCGAGCACATGCTGACGTGGACAGGCGGGAGACAAAGCGGTCAATGCAAGCAAGGGAGGGAAGAGGTCGAGTAGCCCCATCCCATCTTCCCCTCCATCCCCCTCTCTTTATCCTCTTCCTCTCAATTCTTACAATCCCTCACCCCCCCTCTCCACTCCCCCTTTCCCCCTTCCCCCACCCCCCTCCCCTCTCCTCTCTCACCATCAGCAGCTGCTGCACTGACTTCTTGTCACTTGGTTCTCGCAGCCAAAACGGAACCTTCTGCGTACCTTCCCCCCTCCTCCAGCCTCCCCCCTTCCCCTTTATCCAACCAACCGCTCCCCCCACCCACCCCGCAGCTTCCCCCACCAGTGCCCCCACCCCCACCCCCCGCCCAGACGCTCCCCCAAACCCTCCCCCCGACCCTTCCCCCTGCCCCTCCGCCTCCCCCTTTGCCAGCAGGCGCGCCAGCACTGGCGCAAGCCCGCCCTCCTTGAGCCCCTGCCACCCATGCCGCTGCCACGTCAGCTCCAGAAGAGACAAATGGTCAGCGAACTCGGGCGGCAGAGTGGAGGGGAATGAGGAGAGGGCGGATGTCCCACTGGCACCAGAATCACCTGAAACACCACCTGAACCGCCTCCTGCAGCAATTGCTGTTGCCACACCAGCTGTTTCAGTCCCCGCTGCAGCTGTGGCGGGTGCTACAGCTGGCGCTACAGCCACCACTGCCCCCTCCGCATCCTCTATTGTCACATCAAAAGCGGGCACTATAGCGGGGGCAGCAGGCTCTGCGGCGATGCTAGCAGGAAGGGCGGTGTTGAGCGTCACATTCAGCTCCTGATTGGTCGCCAGCCGGACGAGGGGTGGAGGGCGGGAGGGGGGTTGCGGAAGGGGGAGGAGAGAAGGGGGGCATTTGTGAAGGGTTGGGCGGGGGTAAGGGCGGAGGGAGGTGGCGGACAAGGGGGGAAGTGTGGGCGGAAAGGGAATGTAGCATGAGCGATGCGGGTGTGTGTGGGAAGGGATGGGGGAAGCCTTGAACTGATTGAAAAATAGACACGTCAAACGTTAACAAAATCCAGCAAGAAAGGAAGAAAAAGGCAGAAAAAAACAACAAAAACAAGCAAACAGACAACAAACAACAATAGTCCATCACCATTCACCGTAATAATGTCAATGCCGCAAGTTACCTTATAAAAATACGTCAAACCAGCAATACCATTACAGTAATGTCAACACAGCGACAAACCTTTTAAACAAATTTCAGCGCAGCAATACCTTCTTTATGATGTCAACGCACGAGTCGCGCTCTCCAGAGTCCCAGAGGGCCACAGCGAGCCGCAGCTCGAGCTCCTGAATAAGACGAACGAGGCCGCCCGGCCCGAGAAACGCGGCGTCCGCCGTCACGCTCGAGAGCTTCGGCGGCGCGTCGCGCGATTTGAACGCCGACTTGCGCGGAGGCGCGGGGGAGGGGGAAGCGGGGTCCCCGGACGCGGGCTTGAGACCCGCGGCTTCGCGGAGAGTGGCGATAAGGGCGCGCGCCTCCGCAGTGTCCCCCGCCTCGATGGCTTGCAGCGCTGGTCGGAGAAAGCACGAAACGGGGGAGGCCGAGGGGATGGGGAGGGGCAGCGGGAAGGGGACGGCGGAGGAGGGCGGGAGCGAAAGTATGATTACGCACGAGGAAACGCGGAGTAGGTATGTGAACGGGGGTGCGGAGACAAAAGGGAATAAATGGAACGAGGGAGGAGCGAGCAACAATCGTCGCATAAGGGACGGCAGGGACTGTACCGCTGAAAAAGAGGTGCAAGAACCTTCCGGGAACGAGCGACGAGACAACCGCGGCACGGTCGGGCGAGAACGCGAACCGCTCGAGGGTCTCGAGCCACTGATGCTTCGCCGCGTGCGACTCCATTGTCGACCGACGCTCGCGAAACGAGTGTAACAACTACACAGACTGTATCGAGCACGAAAATAAGGTTACGATTTCTCAACACATTAAACGGTTCTATCAGAAACCTAGCAAACAGCGGAACCCAGACTACGCGACGATGAGCATATTCAAGATCCTACTCCCTGGCTTGAATAACTAGCAAATAACACATTCAACAGAATTTGTACTAGCTGCCGAATGTTCTCCATTCATTGCTCCGTTTGTACGAGGTTTCGTTGCTACAATGCGCGATGCAGAGAACTACAGCGCGGTAATCTCACATTTTCTGCGCGTGTCAGGAATCTGCATGTTTTCACTTTCCCCCCCCAGCAGCTCCGGAGCTAACAGAAACTTGAGACGAAATTCGGATTACCAACTCATGGGACTGGCAGAGCCCGTGGAGGAGACGACAATTCTCGACAATAATTTCGTCGAGCTCGCATCTGACTATGGAGGATATTTGTGGCGGGGCGGAGAGTGGGAGGCTGACTGACAGACCGGAGAGTCTGGCGGAAATATGAACCGTAGCGCGCATGCGGGGAGGTTGCGTGTGGCATGACGTGGAGGAAGGTGCGGTGCACTTACTGAACAGGTGTTGTAACGAGGACACATTTTCGTGAAGACCACGCATGACCCAATGAATGGCACACATTATAAGGTACCTGCATTGCAAACATAAGAAAGCTTACAGTAATTTGAATCCTGACTTTCACCTTTAGCTGCTTGAGCTGAAACATAAATTTAGAGAATGGACATTGACATTTCAAGCCGCCAGCGCCTCGGCACAAGGATCCACGTCAGCTGCGCCACGCGCGCCGTCATCCATGCCCGCTTGGTTTCAGCAGCGAAAGGGGCGGGTGGGTGGGTCTGGAGGCGGACAGGTTGTCACAAATGTTCCTCTTTTTGAACCACGTGGCAACTCAACAAGCAGCATTCGCGACGCACATTTCAGTTACCGACGCCTTTGCGAAGGAGTTGTTGTGCTTTTGCAAAGCCCTGTCCCCTCAGCCGTCCCCTACCCCTGATTTCAGTTTTCGGTACTTCCTACTGCCACTCAATCGCACAGTTTCGATTTGTTTCTGAGACAAGAACACCACCAAGATTCCATCTCGAACAACAATGATGCGGAATGCTTGCCCAACCCGTATCAAGCAGAAGTATTTATTGCTTTGAAATACGCCCTCCAAAAACTTCCCAATGCATTTCAGTGTCAGCAGAAATGAGCTTCGTTGTGGGTGAGCCTGCCAGTCCCGCAGTGAAAATCGAGCTGCGCCGCCAGCTCCATGCCTTTCGCGCAAAGTATATAACACTGACGACTCTCTCCTTTCCCAGCATCGACTCTTAGCGACACAACTTTCCTTTCCACCACCAAACAGTAAGTCCTAATATAAATCTTTCGCCGTTAAGCCTCAATCTAAGTATCAACACAAGCTGAGCCTTGTTCCTTCGTTCTCTTAAAAAGCTAGAATGGCATCGTCCTTGATCGCGCGCGTTAGCCTGCTACTCTCACTACTTGCATTCGCTGTTCTTCACTCCAACGCCGTTCGCCTTATCCCCTCGCAAGAAAACGCTCTACTTTCCTTGAAAACCGCATGGCGTGACTGTCCGATAATCAATACGTGGGCAGCCGGCGCCGACTGCTCTGAATGGTACGGCGTCGGGTGCGACAAACGCGGAATGGTTACCGGTCTATACATCTCCAGCTACCTCGCAATGGGAGTAGCATGCACCGGCGAGTTGACGGAATCCGTTGGGAAGCTGACGGAGCTGACGTCGCTCGGTGTGTCCGGCATTTGGCGCATCTCTGGCAGCCTGCCCAAGAGCCTCGCGAAATTGAAGAAGCTCGAGTCGATCGCGATCGACTACAACAGACATGGCGTCCTCTCCGGTAACCTCCCAAATTATATCATCAATTTCATCCGCCTGACGGAGCTCGTGCTCCAGGGAACGGGGCTCACAGGTAGCATCCCACGCGGGATCTCGCAACTCAGTCGCCTCACGCGCCTCGACCTCCAATGGAACCGTCTCAGTGGCGAAATCCCTCGGGAACTGTCAGCGCTGGCGGCTCTCAAGACACTTGAATTGAGCGGGAATCGGCTGACGGGATCGATTCCACCGACCCTCGGCTACCTCACGGGTATGACGAGCCTGCGTCTTGGGAGTAACAAACTCTCGGGCGCACTCCCCGCAAATGTTATACTCTCTATGCAGAGCCTCGAAGAGCTGAATATGCAGAGTAATCGTTTCACTCAGCAAGCAGCTTCGTCTATCGCCGAACTCGCGAGCCATCCGTCTTTGACAAACATTGACCTCAGTTGGAACACTCTTTCGGGCAGTGTGCCGTCCCAGCTCGGGCAGATGAAAAAACTGGAGTACCTGTACCTGACTGGGAATAAGCTGAAGGGATCCGTGCCCGCGGCTGTAATACAAAACATGCCGAAGCTGTATGACTTGGACCTTTCGTATAACAAGCTAAACGGAGAATTCCCCTGGTACGCCTTTAAAACCGCGCCAGCGTTAGAGTTCGTGCGGCTCCAGCGCAACGCGTTCGTCGGCGCGATTCCTGCAGATGCGTTCAAGAAAAGCCACGTGGCACATTTCAACATCTCCTTCAATCTCTTCTCGGGGCCCATGCCGAATTTCTGGTTCATGGGCGGGGAGGAGGAGCCGCCGGTAGACGTGCGCTGGAACTATTTCTGGGGCAGCCCGGAGTTTACAATGTATAATTACAAAGTCTGCCCGGAGGAGGGGCAGGAGGATCCCGACTCAGGCGATGACGAGTATCTCGCGGCGCTGAACTGCCTCGGAAAGAGCGCCACGTGTAACATGAAACAGCAGCGGAGTGCGTCAGCGTGCAGGCTGTTTTGCGGGACGAGTAAGACGAATGGTCCGTGCTCGGGCCACGGCGTGTGCGTTCCGGCAGGTGGGGGACAGTTCAAGTGCAGGTGTGCGAGTGGGTACAAATCGGTGCAGGGAAAGCCGCACGAGTGCGTCAAGGCATGAAGCTTTTAGATGCGTGGGCTGGTGGTAGTAGTTTTCAGATGCGTGTTGTGTGCTTGCGCGTGATTTTTTCTTAGGCTGTGAAGCGGGTTCAGACGTGGTTCGGGGAGCATACGATTGTCCAGTGCATGTATGTCAATAAAACATATGTTTCTCTGAAAGGAACAGCGTGCAAGTGGCACCAGCTCTAAACAGTTCGCTGTGCTCACCAGGAATCGAGGAAGCATCCGCGCTTCACCAATACAGCTTTCGTAAAATTCGAGTCTGGCTTGGGTCACGTTTCCTCCCTCAAGTAGTACTAGAAGTCGAGAGTTCACATATGTGTTAGCATCAGACAAGACGTTTCCCAGCTTGTGGACCTACTTCGGGGAAGCGAGACATGCGAGAACCCGTCCCTGGTTTATATGGACATGCGCAAAACGCAAAATCGCTTGAGTTGTGGCTGTGCAATGGGTTCGTGGTTGAGCAGAAAAGCTTGCTCCTACTGTCAGCGCCTTGTGCGGGCTGTGACACACTTGATCCCAAATCGTAGCTTCACAATGGAGCGAACAATGTACAGAGAGCGACAGTTATAGCGTGTGCAAAGTGCGCAAAAACTCGACGTCGAGCAACGTCGGTGAATTTCCACCCTCGGATCAAAGGTTCCAACCGTCAGGATTCACCGACGTTCCTCGACGTCGAGTTTGTGCAGCACTTTGTACACGCCATTAGCGAAGAGGCACGAGAGACTGGAACCGCTGTAAGGAAAATTATGGTAAGGGCGGGTCCAGCGCGTACGTTTTCCGTACATTACAGTTCATCCAGTACGGTAATCTGTACTGCGTCACGGTTCAAAACGGTGCAATGTTTATACCGCTGTGCACCGTTTGATATCGTTTTTAACCACTACGAATGAACTCTATAGTACCTGGAAACGTACGCGCTGGACCCGCCCTAACACGCCAAAAACTCGCAGAAGCTATTCGCGGAAGTCGAAGATGGAAGGCTGACTTGGGGAAATTATTGGAGGATCAGACAATTATTGCAGGCTCGTCGGGGTCAACGACGTCGTAGCCTTGCGCATCGCCGGAAGGCGGTTGTCAGATATAATGCAACCCAAACAATGTATACAACGTTGTGACTAGTTACACCTAGTAATGCAAATTCGTACGGTATGCACTAATATGTTTGTAGTTGCTCTGTGGTGCGAACCCTTATCCAGTCCCTCAGCCAGGTAACAACCTGCGTGAAAAAAAACGAAAAACGGGATTGAAAGAGAGGGAAATATGAGTTAGTTTAAATGAAAGACTGAGAGTAAGATAAGAGTCTCTACTGCCTAAAGCTTCCTAAGAGAATTTACCCTTTTGCCAGGGCACCTCCCAAGACCTATCCAGTCCTGAAGCAACTCTGCACACCTGCTGACCGCACATGCGGTTCACCTGGTCCATGGACGGCCTGTGCTTGTGGTTGGGCGCAAGGCACAGCAGGAGCTCACCTGAAGCCAGTGAACCGCTCTACACACCTGCTCACCACACATGCAGCTCACCTGGTCCATGGACGGCCTGCACTTGGGGTTGGAGGCAGGGCACATCACAGCATGGACACTGCCTGCAGCTGCGCGGTGTCAGACAAGCCCCTCAATTCCTCTTTCCTCCTTGTGCAAGTAACGCACCTGGTCCATTGTCAGTCTGTGCTTGGGGTTGGAGGCGAGGCACAGCACAGCCAGCATGGACACTGCCTGCAGCTGCGCGGGGTCAAAGCGGCCCTCCAGGCGGTAATCTACGAGGCGAGTGAACTCCTCATTGTTGGCGATGGGGATGGCCTGCGAAGGGAGGAGGGAGGAGGGAGGAGGGGGAGGAATGGCAGTAAGAAATGGTCCTCTATTGGCCTGCAGGCACACAGAAAGGGACGAGGGGCGTTGAGGGCTTGATGCATCGTGATTGGCAGGCGTGGGATCCAGAGTCGCCCTATACGAGGGGGTCAAAGCGCCCCTCCAGACGGCGGCCCACGAGGCGAGGAAACTCCTCATTGTTGGCGATGGGGATGGCGATGGGGATGGCGATGGGGATGGGGATGGCGATGGGGATGGGGATGGGGATGGCGATGGGGATGGGGATGGCGATGGGGATGGGGATGGGGATGGCGATGGCGATGGGGATGGCGATGGGGATGGCGATGGGGATGGGGATGGCGATGGGGATGGCGATGGGGATGGCGATGGGGATGGGGATGGCGATGGCGATGGGGATGGCGATGGGGATGGCGATGGCGATGGGGATGGCGATGGGGATGGCGATGGGGATGGGGATGGCGATGGGGATGGCGATGGGGATGGCGATGGGGATGGGGATGGCGATGGCGATGGGGATGGCGATGGGGATGGCGATGGGGATGGGGATGGCGATGGCGATGGCGATGGGGATGGCGATGGGGATGGCGATGGGGATGGGGATGGCGATGGCGATGGCGATGGGGATGGCGATGGGGATGGCGATGGGGATGGGGATGGCGATGGCGATGGCGATGGGGATGGCGATGGGGATGGCGATGGGGATGGGGATGGCGATGGCGATGGCGATGGGGATGGCGATGGGGATGGCGATGGGGATGGGGATGGCGATGGCGATGGCGATGGGGATGGCGATGGGGATGGCGATGGGGATGGGGATGGCGATGGCGATGGCGATGGGGATGGCGATGGGGATGGCGATGGGGATGGGGATGGCGATGGCGATGGCGATGGGGATGGCGATGGGGATGGCGATGGGGATGGGGATGGCGATGGCGATGGCGATGGGGATGGCGATGGGGATGGCGATGGGGATGGGGATGGCGATGGCGATGGCGATGGGGATGGCGATGGGGATGGCGATGGGGATGGGGATGGCGATGGCGATGGCGATGGGGATGGGGATGGGGATGGCGATGGGGATGGCGATGGGGATGGCGATGGGGATGGGGATGGCGATGGCGATGGCGATGGGGATGGCGATGGGGATGGCGATGGGGATGGGGATGGCGATGGCGATGGCGATGGGGATGGCGATGGGGATGGCGATGGGGATGGGGATGGCGATGGCGATGGCGATGGGGATGGCGATGGGGATGGCGATGGGGATGGGGATGGCGATGGCGATGGCGATGGGGATGGGGATGGGGATGGCGATGGGGATGGCGATGGGGATGGCGATGGGGATGGGGATGGCGATGGCGATGGCGATGGGGATGGCGATGGGGATGGCGATGGGGATGGGGATGGCGATGGCGATGGCGATGGGGATGGCGATGGGGATGGCGATGGGGATGGGGATGGCGATGGCGATGGCGATGGGGATGGCGATGGGGATGGCGATGGGGATGGGGATGGCGATGGCGATGGCGATGGGGATGGCGATGGGGATGGCGATGGGGATGGGGATGGCGATGGCGATGGCGATGGGGATGGGGATGGGGATGGCGATGGGGATGGCGATGGCGATGGGGATGGGGATGGGGATGGCGATGGGGATGGGGATGGCGATGGCGATGGCGATGGCGATGGCGATGGGGATGGCGATGGCGATGGCGATGGGGATGGGGATGGGGATGGCGATGGGGATGGGGATGGCGATGGCGATGGCGATGGGGATGGCGATGGCGATGGCGATGGGGATGGCGATGGCGATGGGGATGGCGATGGCGATGGCGATGGCGATGGCGATGGCGATGGCGATGGCGATGGCGATGGCGATGGGGATGGCGATGGCGATGGCGATGGCGATGGGGATGGCGATGGCGATGGGGATGGCGATGGCGATGGCGATGGCGATGGCGATGGCGATGGGGATGGCGATGGCGATGGCGATGGCGATGGCGATGGGGATGGCGATGGCGATGGCGATGGGGATGGGGATGGCGATGGCGATGGGGATGGCGATGGCGATGGCGATGGGGATGGCGATGGCGATGGCGATGGCGATGGCGATGGCGATGGCGATGGCGATGGCGATGGGATGGGATGGGGATGGGGATGGGGATGGCGATGGCGATGGGATGGCGATGGGGATGGCGATGGCGATGGGGATGGCGATGGGGATGGCGATGGCGATGGGGATGGCGATGGCGATGGGGATGGCGATGGGGATGGCGATGGCGATGGGGATGGCGATGGCGATGGCGATGGCGATGGGGATGGCGATGGCGATGGGGATGGCGATGGCGATGGCGATGGCGATGGCGATGGCGATGGCGATGGCGATGGCGATGGGGATGGGGATGGGGATGGGGATGGGGATGGCGATGGCGATGGGGATGGGGATGGCGATGGCGATGGCGATGGCGATGGCGATGGCGATGGGGATGGCGATGGCGATGGGGATGGGGATGGCGATGGCGATGGGGATGGCGATGGCGATGGCGATGGCGATGGGGATGGCGATGGCGATGGCGATGGGGATGGCGATGGCGATGGCGATGGGGATGGCGATGGCGATGGGGATGGCGATGGCGATGGCGATGGCGATGGCGATGGGGATGGGGATGGGGATGGCGATGGCGATGGGGATGGGGATGGGGATGGCGATGGGGATGGGGATGGCGATGGCGATGGCGATGGCGATGGCGATGGGGATGGGGATGGGGATGGCGATGGCGATGGGGATGGGGATGGGGATGGCGATGGGGATGGGGATGGCGATGGCGATGGCGATGGGGATGGCGATGGCGATGGCGATGGGGATGGCGATGGGGATGGCGATGGGGATGGCGATGGGGATGGCGATGGGGATGGCGATGGGGATGGCGATGGGGATGGCGATGGGGATGGCGATGGGGATGGCGATGGGGATGGCGATGGGGATGGCGATGGGGATGGCGATGGCGATGGCGATGGCGATGGCGATGGCGATGGCGATGGCGATGGCGATGGCGATGGCGATGGGGATGGGGATGGCGATGGCGATGGGGATGGCGATGGCGATGGCGATGGCGATGGGGATGGCGATGGCGATGGCGATGGCGATGGCGATGGCGATGGCGATGGCGATGGGGATGGCGATGGCGATGGGGATGGGGATGGCGATGGCGATGGGGATGGCGATGGCGATGGCGATGGCGATGGGGATGGCGATGGCGATGGCGATGGGGATGGCGATGGCGATGGCGATGGGGATGGCGATGGCGATGGGGATGGCGATGGCGATGGCGATGGCGATGGCGATGGGGATGGGGATGGGGATGGCGATGGCGATGGGGATGGGGATGGGGATGGCGATGGGGATGGGGATGGCGATGGCGATGGCGATGGCGATGGCGATGGGGATGGGGATGGCGATGGCGATGGGGATGGGGATGGGGATGGCGATGGGGATGGGGATGGCGATGGCGATGGCGATGGGGATGGCGATGGCGATGGCGATGGGGATGGCGATGGCGATGGGGATGGGGATGGCGATGGCGATGGGGATGGGGATGGGGATGGCGATGGGGATGGGGATGGCGATGGCGATGGCGATGGCGATGGCGATGGGGATGGGGATGGCGATGGCGATGGGGATGGGGATGGGGATGGCGATGGGGATGGGGATGGCGATGGCGATGGCGATGGGGATGGCGATGGCGATGGCGATGGGGATGGCGATGGCGATGGGGATGGCGATGGCGATGGCGATGGCGATGGCGATGGCGATGGCGATGGGGATGGCGATGGCGATGGCGATGGCGATGGCGATGGCGATGGCGATGGGGATGGCGATGGCGATGGCGATGGCGATGGGGATGGCGATGGCGATGGCGATGGCGATGGCGATGGCGATGGGGATGGCGATGGCGATGGCGATGGCGATGGCGATGGGGATGGGGATGGGGATGGGGATGGGGATGGCGATGGCGATGGGGATGGGGATGGCGATGGCGATGGCGATGGCGATGGCGATGGCGATGGCGATGGGGATGGCGATGGCGATGGCGATGGCGATGGCGATGGCGATGGCGATGGCGATGGCGATGGGGATGGCGATGGCGATGGCGATGGCGATGGCGATGGGGATGGCGATGGCGATGGCGATGGCGATGGCGATGGCGATGGGGATGGGGATGGGGATGGCGATGGCGATGGGGATGGCGATGGGGATGGGGATGGCGATGGCGATGGCGATGGGGATGGGGATGGGGATGGCGATGGGGATGGGGATGGCGATGGCGATGGCGATGGGGATGGGGATGGGGATGGCGATGGGGATGGCGATGGCGATGGGGATGGGGATGGGGATGGCGATGGGGATGGGGATGGCGATGGCGATGGCGATGGCGATGGCGATGGGGATGGCGATGGCGATGGCGATGGGGATGGGGATGGGGATGGCGATGGGGATGGGGATGGCGATGGCGATGGCGATGGGGATGGCGATGGCGATGGCGATGGGGATGGCGATGGCGATGGGGATGGCGATGGCGATGGCGATGGCGATGGCGATGGCGATGGCGATGGCGATGGCGATGGCGATGGGGATGGCGATGGCGATGGCGATGGGGATGGCGATGGCGATGGGATGGCGATGGCGATGGCGATGGCGATGGCGATGGCGATGGCGATGGGGATGGCGATGGCGATGGCGATGGCGATGGGGATGGCGATGGCGATGGCGATGGGGATGGGGATGGCGATGGCGATGGGGATGGCGATGGCGATGGCGATGGGGATGGCGATGGCGATGGCGATGGCGATGGCGATGGCGATGGCGATGGCGATGGCGATGGCGATGGGGATGGGGATGGGGATGGGGATGGCGATGGCGATGGGGATGGCGATGGGGATGGCGATGGCGATGGGGATGGCGATGGGGATGGCGATGGCGATGGGGATGGCGATGGCGATGGGGATGGCGATGGGGATGGCGATGGCGATGGGGATGGCGATGGCGATGGCGATGGCGATGGGGATGGCGATGGCGATGGGGATGGCGATGGCGATGGCGATGGCGATGGCGATGGCGATGGGGATGGGGATGGGGATGGGGATGGGGATGGCGATGGCGATGGGGATGGGGATGGGGATGGCGATGGCGATGGCGATGGCGATGGCGATGGCGATGGCGATGGGGATGGCGATGGCGATGGGGATGGGGATGGCGATGGCGATGGGGATGGCGATGGCGATGGCGATGGCGATGGGGATGGCGATGGCGATGGCGATGGCGATGGGGATGGCGATGGCGATGGCGATGGGGATGGCGATGGCGATGGGGATGGCGATGGCGATGGCGATGGCGATGGCGATGGCGATGGCGATGGCGATGGCGATGGGGATGGCGATGGCGATGGCGATGGCGATGGGGATGGCGATGGCGATGGCGATGGGGATGGGGATGGCGATGGCGATGGGGATGGCGATGGCGATGGCGATGGGGATGGCGATGGCGATGGGGATGGCGATGGCGATGGCGATGGCGATGGGGATGGGGATGGGGATGGCGATGGCGATGGGGATGGCGATGGGGATGGCGATGGCGATGGGGATGGCGATGGGGATGGCGATGGCGATGGGGATGGCGATGGCGATGGGGATGGCGATGGGGATGGCGATGGCGATGGGGATGGCGATGGCGATGGCGATGGGGATGGCGATGGCGATGGGGATGGCGATGGCGATGGCGATGGCGATGGCGATGGCGATGGCGATGGCGATGGCGATGGCGATGGCGATGGGGATGGGGATGGGGATGGGGATGGGGATGGCGATGGCGATGGGGATGGCGATGGGGATGGCGATGGCGATGGGGATGGCGATGGGGATGGCGATGGCGATGGGGATGGCGATGGCGATGGCGATGGCGATGGGGATGGCGATGGCGATGGGCATGGCGATGGCGATGGCGATGGCGATGGCGATGGCGATGGCGATGGCGATGGCGATGGGGATGGGGATGGGGATGGGGATGGGGATGGCGATGGCGATGGGGATGGGGATGGCGATGGGGATGGCGATGGCGATGGCGATGGCGATGGCGATGGCGATGGGGATGGGGATGGCGATGGCGATGGGGATGGGGATGGCGATGGCGATGGGGATGGGGATGGCGATGGCGATGGCGATGGGGATGGCGATGGCGATGGCGATGGGGATGGCGATGGCGATGGCGATGGGGATGGGGATGGCGATGGCGATGGCGATGGCGATGGGGATGGCGATGGCGATGGGGATGGGGATGGCGATGGCGATGGCGATGGGGATGGCGATGGCGATGGCGATGGGGATGGCGATGGCGATGGGGATGGCGATGGCGATGGCGATGGCGATGGCGATGGCGATGGCGATGGCGATGGGGATGGCGATGGCGATGGCGATGGCGATGGGGATGGCGATGGCGATGGCGATGGCGATGGGGATGGCGATGGCGATGGCGATGGGGATGGCGATGGCGATGGGGATGGCGATGGCGATGGCGATGGCGATGGCGATGGCGATGGCGATGGCGATGGGGATGGCGATGGCGATGGCGATGGCGATGGGGATGGCGATGGCGATGGCGATGGGGATGGGGATGGCGATGGCGATGGGGATGGCGATGGCGATGGCGATGGGGATGGCGATGGCGATGGGGATGGCGATGGCGATGGCGATGGCGATGGCGATGGCGATGGCGATGGCGATGGCGATGGGGATGGGGATGGGGATGGGGATGGGGATGGGGATGGCGATGGCGATGGGGATGGCGATGGCGATGGCGATGGGGATGGCGATGGGGATGGCGATGGCGATGGGGATGGCGATGGCGATGGGGATGGCGATGGGGATGGCGATGGCGATGGGGATGGCGATGGCGATGGCGATGGCGATGGCGATGGGGATGGCGATGGCGATGGGGATGGCGATGGCGATGGCGATGGCGATGGCGATGGCGATGGCGATGGCGATGGGGATGGGGATGGGGATGGGGATGGGGATGGGGATGGCGATGGCGATGGGGATGGGGATGGCGATGGGGATGGCGATGGCGATGGCGATGGCGATGGCGATGGCGATGGCGATGGCGATGGCGATGGGGATGGCGATGGCGATGGGGATGGGGATGGCGATGGCGATGGGGATGGGGATGGCGATGGCGATGGCGATGGGGATGGCGATGGCGATGGCGATGGGGATGGCGATGGCGATGGCGATGGGGATGGGGATGGCGATGGCGATGGCGATGGGGATGGCGATGGCGATGGGGATGGGGATGGCGATGGCGATGGCGATGGCGATGGGGATGGGGATGGCGATGGCGATGGGGATGGGGATGGCGATGGCGATGGCGATGGCGATGGGGATGGGGATGGCGATGGCGATGGCGATGGGGATGGGGATGGGGATGGGGATGGGGATGGCGATGGCGATGGGGATGGGGATGGCGATGGCGATGGGGATGGGGATGGCGATGGCGATGGGGATGGGGATGGCGATGGCGATGGCGATGGCGATGGGGATGGGGATGGCGATGGCGATGGGGATGGGGATGGCGATGGCGATGGCGATGGCGATGGCGATGGGGATGGGGATGGCGATGGGGATGGGGATGGCGATGGCGATGGCGATGGGGATGGGGATGGCGATGGCGATGGGGATGGGGATGGCGATGGCGATGGGGATGGGGATGGCGATGGCGATGGCGATGGCGATGGCGATGGGGATGGGGATGGCCTGCAAGAATAGTGGCGATGGGAAGTTTGAGACAAGAAATCGAGGAGAGTTAGAGGGGCGAGGGAGGAGAGCGATAAGAGGGAGGAGAGCGACGAGAGAATGAGAGGTAAGACAGGAGAGGGAGACGAGACAGTACGAACAGACAGAAGAGAGGTAAGACACAAGACGAGGAGGAGGAAAGAGAAAAGATACAAGGGACAGAAGGGGAAGAATTGGCTTACCCAGGCAGAGAGGTTGGGTGGCTGCCTGCCGGGATGGAAGGGCACATGACCCGTTATAAGCTCCAGGAGAATGACTCCAAACGCGTACACATCAATTGCTGCTGTTATGAGGCCCGTTTGCACGTACTCTGGTGCCACGTAGCTGGCAAAAGGGCAGCAAGTGGAGAGGTGGGGAGAAGACGAAGGTAGAGTTGACGCCTTTCTGTGGGGAATTTTGCCAAAGGGCACACCAAGGCACGTCTATTGCTGCTGTTATGAGGCCTGTCTGCACGTACTCTGGAGCTACGTAGCTGTGATGCGAGGAACACGAGGGGCAGGGAGGTGCATTCGCAAGGCGACAGTGTCTCAAGGCACATCAAGGCACGTGTATTGCTGCTGTGGCGAGCTATGTTTGCACATACTCTGGTGCCACACAGTGTTAAACGAAACAGCCGCTTTTTATGCTTCTGTGACTATATGGAATGTAACAGTGAGGCTCACCCTCGGGTGCCCACGATGCTGGTAACCGCCATTGGCTGGGTGTACTGGTCTGAAGCTACCTTGGCTGCAAGTCATGCTAGTAGCAGCAGCGTGACTGTAGCGAATGGGCGGTACCGGTAAGAAAGAATGATGTGACAAGAATGAAGGCTCACCCTCTGGTGCCCATGATGCTGGTAACCGCCATTGGCTGGGTGTACTGGTCTGAAGCTACCTTGGCCAGCCCAAAATCGGAGACCTAACGACCCAGGAAGGGAGGCGAAGGAGGGGAGGAGAGGCACACAGAAAGAGAACGGCACTTGAGTGAGAATGGGTGAAAGTGCGGGGGAGACTGCATTGGAAACCAGAGTTGACTAGCGTTGACTGGGCACTCATTTTATTGATGTTGACTAGCGTTGACCAGCGATGACCAGCCTTTGACTGGCGTTGACTCACCCGGGCGTGGCATCGAGCAGCACGTTGGCCGCTTTCACATCTCGATGGATGATGGGCGGCCGGCATGCGTGCAGGAAAACCAGCCCGGTGGTATTGACCACCTTTGACCAGCCTTTGACTGGGTTGACTGGGTTGACTGACGTTGACCAGTGTTGACTCACCAGCGCGTGCATGTTGGCATCCAGCAGCACATTGGCCGCCTTCACGTCCCGATGGATGATGGGCGGCCGGCACGAGTGCAGGAAGGCCAACCCGGTTGCCGCCTCACACGCGATGCGCATGCGCAAATCCCAAGGTAGCGGGGGCTTTGTGTGGTCTGCGCACAACCAAAAAGGGAATGCAAGGGTTCGATTAGGCAGCAGCACATAGAAGCGCATGAATCCCGAGGCAGCAGGGGCTTTGTGTGGTCTGGTGGGAGAAAGAAAAGGGAGTAGAGAGGTGGGTGGGGTAGATTCAGTAAAGTCTGAAAGGGCGGCCTCATCTCGAGCGACTCATTGGGAAAGCCACTCGCAAGGAGTTGGAAGTCACACACACCATCAGCAGCTCCTCACTTCAGTTGCACACACACGGGCAGCACCCTGTGCTTCCAAGTCCTTGCCTGGCACCCCTTCAAACCAGCAAAAACCCCACCCAAGGTTCCCTCACGTCTCAGCCGTGTCTCCAGGGAACCATAGTGCAAAAAGTCAACCACCGTGATCAGCACCTTTCCCTCCATCGCACACCGTCACCCTTACCCAGCATCTACTGATACCGCCCCATGCTTCCCACCGCTCACCTCTCAGCCAAACGTCGTCTTTGGAGATCCATTGGGGCCAGAGGAGGCAGGAAGTCAAACACCATCAGCAGCTCCCCTGCCGTCGCTCGTACACACGCCCATCACCCTGTGCTGCCCAGTCCCTGCAACCCAAATACAGTCACCCCCTGGGAGTTTCTTACCTCTCAGCCTCGTCTGCAGCGACCCATTGGGGAGGACGTCAAACACCATGAGAAATTCCCCCACCGTCGCACACACACCCAGCGGCCCCAGCAGGCTCGGGTGCCGAATGCGCCTCAGCACCCTGAGGTTCCCTTAGCTCTCAGCCTCGTTTCAAGAGAACCATTGGGAAGGAAGTCGAACACCATGAGAAGCTCCCCTGCAGTCGCACACACGCCCAGCACCCTGTGCTCCCACCCAGTCACTGCCTAGTGACCCTTACCTCTCAGCCTCGTCTGCCGCGACCCATTGGGAAGGAAGTCGAACACCAGGAGCAGCTCCCCTGCAGTCGCACACACCCCCAGCAGCCCCAGCAGGCTCGGGTGCCGAATCCGCCTCAGCAGCCTGCAGGTTCCCCAGAAACTCTCTCCCCCTCCTTACCTCTCAGCCTCGTCTCCAGTGACCCATTAGGCAGAAAGTTGAACACCATCAGCAGCTCCCCCGCCGTCGCACACACCCCCAGCAGCCCCAGCAGGCTCGGGTGCCGGATGCGCCTCAACACACGCAGCTCCGCCAGAAACTGCCGAGCGTTTGCCGCCCCCTGCACGTCCGCTACAGCCGGCCCCCACCATCGCAGTCTCTTCACCGCTACCTTCCGACAGCCCCCACTGGCTGCACCACTGCCGCTTCCCCCTCCTGCAACCCCCCCTGCTGCGCCCCCCCCTGTTCCGCCCTCCCCCCATCCCCCTCTCCCCCACCCCTCGCTCCCCCCACCCTGGGATTCCACCTGAGGGCACCTGCCAGGTGGAAGCATCCCCACAAACACCTGACCACTGCCGCCCTCCCCGATCAATCTCTGCGGGGAGAAATTATCCGTGGCCAATAGGAGCTCGTCCAAGTAAAATTCCTGCTGCCCGTACTCGTCCTGCCCGTAAACTTCCCGAATGATTTCAGTCGGCGGGGCAGGAGGGACTGGGGATGGGGGAGGGGCGAAGAAATCCTGGCCGTTGGATTGGGATCGGGGAGATCTGGGACATTGCTGCCAGCCCCCACCACTGTCCCCTCCCCCTCCACCCATAACCCCCCCTCCCCCCATCCCTCCCCCCAATGCTCCCCCCATTGCTCCTCTGCTTCCTCCCCCATTCGGTACCCCACCACCCCCATCAGACCCCCCTCCATATCCCCCTGACCCCTGCCCCACTCCCCCTCCCCCCAAGCCACTCCCCCCTCCCCCTTCCCCCATGCCACTCCCCCCTCCCCCTCCCCCTGGGTCTATCCGCGGAGATTGGGGGGAGGTAGGCGGAACAGGCACTTTCCCTGTGCGGGGTTCGGGGCAAGGGCAAACGGAAGTGGGGACGGGGGAACAGGCAACAAGGAGAGGGAGGGGAAAGGGGGAAGAAGGGGATTGAAAGAAGAGACGAGGAGTGAAAGGGGGAGAAACGGCGAGGATGGTTAGTGGTATGCATGTGAAGAGGAGGGCTTTAAGACAGTTTCAAACGGGGAGGAACAGTGAGGATGCTTAGCGGTATGCATGATGCATGTGGATGGGTGCATGCGGAGAGGAGAGGAGGATGGTTGTGAGCATGGAGGTGAGTGGGAAGAAAGAGGTGTGGAAGGGAGTAATAACACACTCAATCTCATCATGGTTGCCACGTCAGCAAACCTGCCTTGTCTTGTAGCGGAGCAGGCGTTATTTGAGACGAGCATGATCTTGCAGCTGGCAGACAGCCGGTCGGCGAGAAACGTCATCATGTCCACGTCAGAACCGGCACTGCCACTGAAAGGGGAGAAGTATAATGTGAAGGGGTAAGAGGGGGAGAGCTCTGAGACGCAGGGGAAGGATTAGGAGAAGGGGCGCATAAAGAGTGATATGATACCAACAAGAAAACTCGCCCACCCTATAACACTGATGGTCTGCGCCACTCGTTATAAAGCACCAGCTCTCTGATTCCACAAACTTTGCCTTGTGTACCAGAGAATTCCAAGGCAATAATTCTCGTCATTTACACTCACTCACCCAATGAGAGCGATGGTGCGTCACACAGGCCCAATAACCACCAGCCCCGCCTTTAGCAGCTTTGCCTTGTATAACCCGTAACCATTCTCGTTATAAGCACACTCACCCTATGAGCGTGATGGTGCGTCGCACGGGCCCGATGACCACCAGCCCCGCCTTGAGCAGGTTTGCTTTATAGAACAGGGAAGCCCATTACCACCATTCTCGTTTTAGGCATGCTCACTCACCCAATAAGCGTGATGGTGCGTCGCACGGGCCCTATGACCACCAGCCCTGCCTTGAGCAGGTTTGCATTATAGAACAGGGAAGCCCATTACCACCATTCTCGTTTTAGGCATGCTCACTCACCCAATAAGCGTGATGGTGCGTCGCACGGGCCCTATGACCACCAGCCCTGCCTTGAGCAGGTTTGCATTATAGAACAGGGAAGCCCATTACCACCGTTCTCGTTTTAGGCATGCTCACTCACCCAATAAGCGTGATGGTGCGTCGCACGGGCCCTATGACCACCAGCCCCGCCTTGAGCAGCTTTGCCTCGTAGAGCAGCGCGTCTCGCACGCGAGGGGCCGAGCGCACGACAACTTGGAGAGTGATCTGGTGGAGAGGGGTGCAGAGGGGTGGAATGCGGCGCCGGACACAGACGATGATGCTTCAACTCAGCCTGCTAGCCTGCCCCCCTTGAGCAGCTTTGCCTCATAGAGCAGGGCATCTCGCACACGAGGGGCTGAGCGCACCACGACTTGGAGAGCCATCTGATGGAGCGCGGTGGAATGGAGTGTGGGAAACAGTGGATGATGCTTCAAACTCAGTTACCCTGCCTGCCTGCCCGCCTTGAGAAGCTTTGCCTTGTAGACCTTGGGGTGTGGGGATGAGCGCACGACGACTTGAAGAGTGATCTGGTGGATGGAGAGGGGTGGGGTGCGGTTCCAGACACAGTCGATGATGCATCAAGTCAGCCTGCCCGCCTGCCTGCCTGCCTTGGGTGCAGCAACGCGCATCGCGCACGCGAGGAGACAAGCACACGACAACTTGTGGGAGGAAAAGACGCCTTAATCCGAAAAACAGGGCATGACGCCCTCAAGGAGATGAACCGCCTCTGCCAGCACCTTGTGCAACCGAATAGCTACGTGTAGACCACAATCGCCTCACCTGCTTTGCCGCCGCCACCTCGATCTTCGGGTGCAGGGCTGCCAGCATTCTCTGGCTCGCGTCCTCCTCCTCCTCCCCGTCCTGCTCTGAGTTGAACCGTGCCTTGCGCGACCCTGGTGCATGCAAGCAGGACAAACGGCAAAAAGGAGAGAAATGAGCGCGCAACCCTCAACACGGTTCCTCTATTTCCACCTCAACCCCCCTTACCTCCTCCTCCCCATCCTGCTCTGAGTTGAACTGTGCCTTGCACGTCCCCAAGAGAGAAGGGGCCTTTGTGTCGCGTTTGACAAGTCTTGAAAGTGACAGGAGAATCAAGTCAGCTAGCTCCTGTGCATTCACTCGCTTCCCTTCATCTACGCTCACTCCACTCCTCCTCTACTCCCCCCGGCCTCCCCTTCCCCCTTCCCCCCGCGCCTTGCTCTGAGTTGAGCCAAGCCGTGCGCTACCCTGGTGGCGGCAGGGCGGGTAAAGAACGACGTGAGGACAGCGGGGATTCGGGCGATCGCCAGGCACCTCCACGCTCCAGCCCTGCCCCTCCCTCAAGATTGCCGCGCCTCAGGACTGAGGGGCAGCACGCACCTGAGGTGTGCGGGGCGCGGACTATCCGGACGGCCATGGCGACAATACGATCGCCGGGCACCACTAGCCGCGCGAGAGTGAATTCCACCAGCGCCTGCCCCTCCCTCGAGATTGCCGCGCCGCCGCCGCTGCTGCTGCTGCTGCCGCCGCCCCACAGGAGGTTCGCGTTCGGCTGGTGCAGTCGCACCCCCACCAGAACCACCTTCCCCCCGCCGCCGCTGCTGCTGAGAGCTGTCGGGAGTGAGGTCATGCTGACGAGAGGCAAGAGTGGGAGGGTGGTACGACTGCGGGTACGTGTCGAGAGGTATGTAACGTCACGTGACGTCAAGTGACGTCAGGCTGCTGGAGGCGAGACGTGAGGGGGAGCGGGTGCTATTGAAGGGGGATGATTGACGTCAATTGCATGGGACGGAAGAACAATTTGCCTCTTGAACGAAGGTGATTATGACGAGATTCGTTAGCCGCCGATACCAGTCACAGCGAAAGAGTCGAGGCACGAACGAGGGTGATTGTAACGAAGCCGCGGCGTCGCTAATTTCTTTTACCGAACGACGGCGCTATGGATGGACCAGACAAAAAATGTCGAAATCCACCTTGCGACGAAGATGCTTGACGGTGCAAACACTGGACACGACTCGGTCAACGTTGCCTATATCCTTCCGTCTATTCACGTTTACTAGTGTTCAGGAAATAGTTGCAACTGAAATGGCGTGTCTGTACAAGTGTCACCACCATTTTTGGTCTCAGACACAGCAGGTGCTGTTGGCCGTGTGCGCGCGGGAAAGGTGTCAGGTGAAGGGCGGGTGCAGATTCGCACTAGCCCCGAGAACTACAGCATTTGTGTGTTTGTACCTCGATGAGAAACAAGGATCGAGTCTTTGAGTGTAACAAATTTCGAACCTGGGGTCGCGTTGATCCTCGCCAAACCATGGTGTTGTCTTGTGCGACACAGGCAGCTTAGACTCAAAAGGTTTCGTCACTATTCGTGAAGTATGACGCTGCGAACCCTGACTGGTTCGTACTCAAGGCTTGATCACTGCAGTTTCAGCCCTTCCCTCGCGTCTATCACCCTTCATCGACGGCTAGCAATTGCTGCTGATTAGCGGCACACGTCAGCAAGCACACGACCCAGTCATCCAGCAGTCAGCTGGAAACTCGCTGTGTGTAAATTACCATCGTCAGTGTATATGTACCGAGCAGCACCGTGGTGAAATTTCAGCAAATCAAGGAGCTGATCTGGAACCTCCAAGGACATTCGCCTCTGGACTGGAGTCTGGACACGGCCTGAGTTCGCATAACGTCAGGTGACAACCCAGAGATGGAAAAAGCCCATTGATATTTTCTCCCACCATGGATCCTGACTGGAGCTGACGCGCGAGGTACGCCATCTCGCAACCCGAGCCGTCGGTTTGGGAGAAATCTATCGCGTTTTTTTCACGACTCGCTTCTTAGTTTGCAAAGTTCGGCTTCATGGCGGACCCATAGGATTTTCTGGGTGATTAAATGTTCCATATTCCGGCTCGGAAAATTAGGGTTTCCTCATGACGACAACCAGCACAGCCAGTGACGGCTGATCTTTTAAAAAAACCGAAACGGGTCGGTCCCGCTATAAGCGTTTACATTTCTAGTGCAGTTTCTCTATTTCAACTACCGAATCGATTAGCGGAGCTTTCCCAGGCCTGGTTGGCGTCGTAGCAACTTTGTCGCCACTTAGGTCAGTGCTCTACCGATCTGAGTTCGAGCTCTCGTGGTTAAGTGCGGTCTAGCTGTCTTTCTCAGTTCCCGTCTCCGTTTCGGTCTGTCACAACCGAACCTTGCATGAGGGCCGGGCGACGTCGGGCGACTTAGGCGACGCATGCGACGTAGTCGACGACGGTAGAGAGCGATGCTGAGCGTGCTGCGAGTGCATCTGCCGTCGGACATCCCGATCGCGGGGTGCGAGCTGTGCCCGTACGTGCTGCTACGCAAGCCCGATGGCACCATCACCACGGAGGACATTCCCGAAACCAACCCCATCGATGGCTACTACATCCGCTGCCGCTGGTTCGTTGACCTCGTTGACTGCGTTGAATGAATGGAATGCGTTGACTGCGATGAATGAATTGACTTTGAGTCGACTAAAAAAACCAAGGCGTTCCCGACACCAACTCTGTCGATGGCTTCTGCATCCGCTGCCGCTGGTACGGGGATTGTGATGAATGCGTTGATAGCGTTGACTCCCAGGTGCTATTATCAACCCCATTCCACCGCACCACCCCATCTCCCCCTCCCCATCTCCCCCCTCCCCTTCCTTCCTCCCAGGTACCGCGTGCAGAGCGACAAGCGAGTCGCCGTGTGTTCAGTGCACGGCAATGAACCCGCCACTCTCCAGTGCCTGGGGTGCGTGAAGGCGAAGCTGCCCATCGCGCGCAGCTACCACTGCTCGCCGCTCTGCTTCCAGGCCGCCTGGCCGCGCCACCGCGCGCTGCACTCGCGCGGACTCGGCGGAAGCACCCATGGCAGCAGCGACGGGACGCTCCCGGGGGAGATGACCTCGGGGGGGGCTGCTGTGGGGGGCGCGGGGGGGGTTGGCGGGGCGCAGAGGCGGGAGAACGGCGCGACGGCGGAGGAGGAGGAGCTATTTGGGAAGTTCAACAGCGGGAATGGGACCACGGGGCTGGCGGGAGCGGGGGGAGCACAGGGGGGCATGGGGAACGGCGCGCCTGGAGGGGGGTACGGGCAGGGGGAGCAGCAGCAGGGGGGGCAGCAGCAGGGGATGCAGGGTATGCAGCGGCCGATGGGGGGGGGATTCGCGCACAGGCCGCCAGGGGGGCTCGCGTACCAGTCAGACAACACCGGAGGAGGGGGTTCCAATCTCAACTCCAGTGGTGGTGGCAGTGGGGAGGTGTGGTTCGAAGTGGGGCGCGGGAAACCCTACACGCCCACCACAGACGACGTAGGCCACGTGCTCAAACTCGAATGCGTGCCCATTGAAGCCGCCACTGGCCTCCCCGTGGCGCCCCCCTCCACCCTCCTCACCTCCCGGGTCATCCCCGCGCCCTCCCCTACCCCCCGGCGGATGGTCCCTGTGGGGGGCGCGGAGGGGGAGATGGGGGGAGGCACGCGCGGAGGGGGAGGGGGGGGCTTCACGGTGCTGTCATACAATGTGCTGGCGGACCTGTATGCGACGAGTGAGATGTACAGCTACTGCCCGCCCTGGGCTCTCTCCTGGGCGTACAGGAAGCAGAACTTGCTGAGGGAGCTGCTGGGGTATCGGGCGGATATCATGTGCTTGCAGGAGGTACGTGTGGTTCCTGCAACGAGTGTGAGTGTGCTTGTAACGAGAGGACCTGTATGCGACGAGTGAGATGTACAGACTACAGCTACTGCCCGCCCTGGGCGCTGTCGTGGGCCTACAGGAAGCAGAACTTGTTAAGGGAGCTGCTGGGGTATCAAGCTGACATCATGTGCTTGCAGGAGGTGAGTGCGTGTGCTTGTAACGAGAGTGGGGGCAGTGGGCACGGAAGGGCTTCATGGTGCGGTGCTGTCATACAATGTGCGACCACTTTTAGGAGTTCTCCAGGCCTGAGCTCAATGGCGCGATGAATTCAAACTTTCTCATACAATCACTTTCCCCGCTCCCCGCTCCCCTCTCCCCTCCACCCTCCTCCCCTGTTTACGATCTGCAAGTGCAGAGCGACCACTTCGAGGAGTTGTTTGGGCCCGAGCTGCCCGAGCTCAATGGTGCTGTAGTGTGCACCGCACTCCACTCCACTCCACTCCACACCTCTCATGCAATCCGCTCCTCCCTTCCCCCCCCTCCCTTCAACAACCTTCAGGTGCAGAGCGACCACTTGGAGGAGTTGTTTGGGCCCGAGCTGGAGAAGCAGGGGTACGCAGCGAGCAGGTGTTTGGACGGCTTTGTGAGGATCCCAATGGCAATCCAAGTCTCTCACACAATCCCCTTCCTCCCGCAATTCCACCTCCCCTCTCTGCCCAATCGAACCAAGTGCAGGTGCAGAGCGACCACTTTGAGGAGTTCTTTGGGCCCGAGCTGGAGAAGCAGGGGTACGCGTCCGTGTTCAAAAAGAAGACCGCCGAGGTGCGTGGGTGGCGTGCTGCTTGCTCCCTGTGGTGTGGTGTGTGTGGCATTCGGGCTTGAGTAGTCCAGACACAGCGAGGTGGAGAAGCAGGGGTACGCGTCCGTGTTCAAGAAGAAGACTGCTGAGGTGCGTTGCTTGCTGTGGCTGGCTCCCTGGTGTGTGGTGAGTGGGATTGGAGCTGGAGTGTGAATGCAGCGAGCTGGAGAAGCAGGGGTATGCGTCCGTGTTCAAGAAGAAGACTGCTGAGGTGCGTTGCTTGCTGTGGCTGGCTCCCTGGTGTGTGGTGAGTGGGATTGGAGCTGGAGTGTGAATGCAGCGAGCTGGAGAAGCAGGGGTACGCGTCCGTGTTCAAGAAGAAGACTGCTGAGGTGCGTTGCTTGCTGCTTGTGATGGTGTGGTGTGGTGTGGTGCGGTGCGGTGTAGTGTGGTGCGGTGTGGTACCGACTGCTGCTCATGGCCTTGAGGAAGGACCTGAACGCGCAAGACAAGAGAGGCTGTGTTGAGTAGGAAGGCATTCGAGGTGTTCTGCTTCTTTCACGGTGAGAATGGAGTTGTGGTGTTGTGGTGTGTTGTGGTGTGTTGTGGTGTGTTGTGGTGTGTTGTGGTGAGTCGACTCAACAGCTACCATGCCCCCTCCCTGTCGCATCCTCCCCTCTCCCCCCCCACACCCCAGGTATACACGGGCACGGCCTACGCCATAGACGGCTGTGCCACCTTCTTTCGCCGCGACCGCTTCTCCCTCGTCAAGAAGTATGAGGTGCGTGGCCGAGTGGGGGGGAAGGTGGGGATGAGTGCTGGGGGGAGCCCTGTGTGTGGTGTGAGTGAGGGGGGAAGAGACCGCTTCTCCCTCGTCTAGAAGTAGGAGGTGCGTGCGTGCGTGCTGAGGAAAGGGGGCGGGGTGAGAGGTGCGTGTCGCCCGCGCCTCTGGGGACGGGGGAGGCAGAGGGGTGAGTGAGAGGTGCACAGCCGGGGGTGAGAGGTGTATGAGGTGCGGCTTTAGGGGGCGGGGGGTAATGGGGGGCAAAAAGAGGTGCAGAATGAGCGAGGGGATGAAATGCTGCCTCTCGTGTGATGTGCGTGTTGGTTTGTGATTCGACTCAAACATTCCGCTTCTCCCTCCGCAAGAAGTATGATGTGCGTATTGTGGGGGTGCGTGGTTGTCACGAGTGGCTGTTGTTATGAACGCTGGCTGGTTGGTTGAGTGCTGGGAGGGGTTGAACGCTGGCTGGTTGGTTGAGTGCTGGGAGGGGTTGAACGCTAGCTGGTTGGTTGAGTGCTGGGAGGGGTTGAACGCTGGCTGGTTGGTTGAGTGCTGGGAGGGGTTGAACGCTGGCTGATTGGTTGAGTGCTGGGAGGGGTTGAACGCTGGCTGGTTGGTTGAGTGTTGGGAGGGGTTGAACGCTGGCTGGTTGGTTGAGTGCTGGGAGGGGTTGAACGCTGGCTGGTTGGTTGAGTGCTGGGAGGAGTTGAACGCTGGGGTGAGGTTGGGTGAGCGCATTCCTCTCATCTCTCCTTCACATCTCTCCCTCACCTCTCTCTCACTCTCTCTCTCACTCTCTCACAGGTGGAGTTCAACAAGGCAGCGCTATCGCTCTCTGAGGCCCTCGCACCTCCCACCAAGAAGGCTGCTCTCAACCGCTTGCTCAAGGTACACTTGCTGTTACGGTGTTACCTCTCCCGTCCTTGCTTCTTCCACGATACACCTGCATCCCTGTACCACACACCCACCGCCCACCCACCCACCAAGAAGGCCGCGCCCATCCACCTGCTCGGGGTTGGGGGGACAATGATATCAATGCGTGCACTCCTTTCTTTCCTACCACCCCACCTCCAACCCCACACCCACCCTCACCTCCGCCCCTTCCCGCCAGGGCAACGTGGCACTGATAGTGGTGCTAGGGGCGCGGGACGCGGGGGGGCTCACATGTTGTCACCACATGAGCTCCTGTCACTCATGCTCCCACCACCCCCACTCCCACGCCCACCTACCACCCCCACCCCCACCCCCACACGGCCACACCCACCCCTTCCCGCGAAGACAATGTAGCGCTGATCGTGGCGTTAGGGGCGGTGGGGTGGGGCCTCACAGGCTGCCAGCACTCGTGCTGCTGTTACTCACACTCCCACTACCCCCACTTCCTCCCTTTCCCCCTTCCTGCCAGGACAACGTAGCGCTCGTAGTGGTGCTAGAGGAGAGGGATGCAGGGGGGTTTTGTATCTTTCCAACGGCCAACACATGCGCTCCTTTCTCTTCCCCTCTTTCTCTCCGCCCTCCCTCTGCCTTCAGGACAATGTGGCGCTGATAGTGGTGTTGGAGGCGAGGGATGCAGGGGGGGCGGATGGGTGTCATGTCAGCACATGTGTTCCTGTCACACACCCGACCCGCACACGGTCACCCCCACCCCCACCTCCTCCCTTCCTACCAGGACAATGTAGCGCTGATAGTGGTGCTAGAGGCGAGGGATGCAGGGGGGGCGGATGGCAAGGACGGGGCTAATGCGCCTCCTGCCAAGAGGCAGCTGCTCTGTGTGGTGAGATGCGGTGCTGTGCGGTGCTCTGTGTGGTGAGATGCAGTGCGGTGTGGTGTGGTGCTCTGTCACATGCAGTCCTGTGTTCTCTTTCTAAATTCTGAAATGTCACATAACAGAAATCGTATGCTTCCCTATGTTGCAACATGCCGTCGTTTGCTTCTATCTGTATTCATCCCTTCAACTGCTGTCTGTCCTATTTATATGCCGTCGAATGCCAATGTGCGCTGTCACGTGCCAACACATGCCATCATCTGCCAACACATGCCATCCTCACCCCCACCCATCCCCATCAGGCCAACACGCACATCCATGCCAACCCTGAGCTCAAAGACGTGAAGCTGTGGCAGGTGAGGCACGAGGGGTGAGGGACATTTCTTTGCTGCTCTCCCTCTTTCTTACTTTCTCTCCCTCCTCTGTCCTTCCTCTCTGCCTCCTTTCCTCCGTCCTCCCCCCCTCCCCTCTCCCACTTTCCATCTCCTCTCACCCTGCTGATTATGATACATATCAAAACCACCTCTCATGTCAAATCACCTTCCCGCTTCCCCCATACCATCTCTTCTCAACGCCACCTCCCCCTCTCACCATCCCTATATGAACACGCTGCTGAAGGGGTTGGAAACGTTTGCAGCCAGTGCCGACATCCCTATGTTGGCTCTGAGTCATCGCCAACGCACCTCCTCCTCTCAAACTGTCCACCCGTCCCCTCACACGCACCCCGCCTTCCCCCCCACCAGGTGCACACACTGCTCAAGGGCCTGGAGAAGATCGCAGCCAGTGCCGATATCCCCATGCTCGTGGCGGGGGACTTCAACAGCGTGCCTGGCAGGTGAGCTTTGAGATTTCAAGCGTGCCTGGCAGGTGAGCTTTGAGATTTCAAGCGTGCCTGGCAGGTGAGCTTTGAGATTTCAAGCGTGCCTGGCAGGTGAGCTTTGAGATTTCAAGCGTGCCTGGCAGGTGAGCTTTGAGATTTCAAGCGTGCCTGGCAGGTGAGCTTTGAGATTTCAAGCGTGCCTGGCAGGTGAGCTTTGAGATTTCAAGCGCGCCTGGCAGGTGAGCTTTGAGATTTCAAGCGTGCCTGGCAGGTGAGCTTTGAGATTTCAAGCGCGCCTGGCAGGTGAGCTTTGAGATTTCAAGCGTGCCTGGCAGGTGAGCTTTGAGATTTCAAGCGTGCCTGGCAGGTGAGCTTTGAGATTTCAAGCGTGCCTGGCAGGTGAGCTTTGAGATTTCAAGCGTGCCTGGCAGGTGAGCTTTGAGATTTCAAGCGCGCCTGGCAGGTGAGCTTTGAGATTTCAAGCGTGCCTGGCAGGTGAGCTTTGAGATTTCAAGCGCGCCTGGCAGGTGAGCTTTGAGATTTCAAGCGTGCCTGGCAGGTGAGCTTTGAGATTTCAAGCGTGCCTGGCAGGTGAGCTTTGAGATTTCAAGCGTGCCTGGCAGGTGAGCTTTGAGATTTCAAGCGTGCCTGGCAGGTGAGCTTTGAGATTTCAAGCGCGCCTGGCAGGTGAGCTTTGAGATTTCAAGCGTGCCTGGCAGGTGAGCTTTGAGATTTCAAGCGTGCCTGGCAGGTGAGCTTTGAGATTTCAAGCGTGCCTGGCAGGTGAGCTTTGAGATTTCAAGCGCGCCTGGCAGGTGAGCTTTGAGATTTCAAGCGTGCCTGGCAGGTGAGCTTTGAGATTTCAAGCGTGCCTGGCAGGTGAGCTTTGAGATTTCAAGCGTGCCTGGCAGGTGAGCTTTGAGATTTCAAGCGCGCCTGGTAGGTGAGCTTTGAGATTTCAAGCGTGCCTGGCAGGTGAGCTTTGAGATTTCAAGCGTGCCTGGCAGGTGAGCTTTGAGATTTCAAGCGTGCCTGACAGGTGAGCTTTGAGATTTCAAGCGCGCCTGGCAGGTGAGCTTTGAGATTTCAAGCGTGCCTGGCAGGTGAGCTTTGAGATTTCAAGCGTGCCTGGCAGGTGAGCTTTGAGATTTCAAGCGTGCCTGGCAGGTGAGCTTTGAGATTTCAAGCGCGCCTGGCAGGTGAGCTTTGAGATTTCAAGCGTGCCTGGCAGGTGAGCTTTGAGATTTCAAGCGTGCCTGGCAGGTGAGCTTTGAGATTTCAAGCGTGCCTGGCAGGTGAGCTTTGAGATTTCAAGCGTGCCTGGCAGGTGAGCTTTGAGATTTCAAGCGCGCCTGGTAGGTGAGGGGGAGTAGGAAAGGGGGTGCGGGAAGGGATAAGCAAGGTGGTGGGAGGAAGGGAGCTAAGCAGCAGCATTCTGTCGTTCCTCGTTGTATGTCTCCCAATTCCTCTCCCTATATCTCCCTCATCCCTCTCCCCCGCCCTCTTCTTTCGCCGCCTCCCTCCTCGCCCCCACCTGCAGCGCGCCCCACTCACTGCTCGCTACAGGACGAGTCGATGTCAACCACCCAGAGCTCGCCACAGACCCTCTCGGCATCCTGCGACCCGCTTCTAAGCTTTGCCACCAGCTGCCGCTGGTAAGCCAGCCATGTTACACCGTTACCAGCAACAATCTGGTCTTTTTGAAGTTGTTACGGACCCTCTCGGCATCTTGCGACCCGCCTCCAAGCTCTGCCACCAGCTGCCGCTGGTATGTCTGCAGATGGTGGTGGTGGTGGGTTAGCCTGTGTTACCTGTTACCAGCCACATTCTAGTCTTTTCTGTCTCGCCACAGACCCTCTCGGCATCTTGCGACCCGCCTCCAAGCTCTGCCACCAGCTGCCGCTGGTAGGTCTGCTGCTGGTGGTATGGCGGCCGTGTAACGTTGTTACCAGCGTTAATTGGTCTCCTCAGCCTCGCCACCTACCCTCTTTGCATCCTGCGACCCGCCTCCAAGCTCTGCCACCATTTGCCCACCTACCCCTCTCTGCGTGCTCTCTGTCTTCTTTCCCCGTCCTTTCTATCTCCCCCACTCACAGGTCAGTGCATACGCATCGTTGAGCCGTGGTGGCTCGGTGGCGGAGAGGCAGCGGCGGCGCATGGACGCGAGCAGCAGCGAGCCTCTGTTCACGAACGTGACTCGGGATTTCATGGGCACGCTGGACTACACCTTCTATACCGGTACGGGGGTGCTGTGACTGGTGGTGCTGTAATTGGTGGGTGGTGTGAGCATACAGTAGTGCGGCAACACCTTACCCATATCCAACCAGCAGCAGCAGCGAGCCGCTGTTCACGAACGTGACTCGCGACTTCATGGGGACGCTGCACTACACCTTCTATACCGGTGAGGGGGTGACAGATTGGTCTCTGCTGTTGTGCTACACCCGTGTGTGTTGTGTTGTGAGCACACCGTGTGTTGTGCGGCAACACCTTGCCCCTATCCGAGCAGCCGCGAGCCGCTCTTCCCGAACGTGACTCGTTACTTCATGGGCACTCTGGTCCACAGCTTCTATACCAGTACGGGGGTGGGTGGGTGGGTACTGTGAGCATACGGTAGCGTGGCAACAAGTTATACCTATTTACGCAGTAGCAGTGAGCTGCTGGGTGGGCTGCTGCCATCTCCCATCTCTTCCCCTCTTCTCCCTCTCCTCCCATTCCTTTCCATTATCGGTCTAGACGAGGACAGTGTGCGCAAGGACACGGTGCTGCCCTCCCTGTCCTTCATCTGTGTACCTCCACTCCCTTTCCCCTCATTCCCTTTTCTTCTCCCCTCACTGCAGCCGACTCCCTGTCTGTCGAGTCTGTTCTCGAGCTACTAGACGAGGACAGTGTGCGCAAGGACACGGCACTGCCGTCCCCCGAGTGGTCGTCCGACCACCTGGCGCTGCTCACTGAGTTCAGATACAAGCCCCGCATGCGCCGGTAGAGGAGAGGCTTATAAGGGGTGCAGAACAGAACGGACTACTTTTGAGATGTCTCAAAAGGCTTATAAAGGGTACAGAACGGAGAGAGTGTGGTCCTGGGATCACCTTGCGCTGCTCACCGAGTTCAGTTACAAGCTGCAGATGCGGCGGTAGAGGGGATGCTTGTAAGGGGTACAGCTCGGACACAGAATGGTCCTTGAACCACCTTACCATGTTCACGGAGTTCCGATACAAGCTCAGGGTGATGCGGTAAAGGGGACGCTTATAGAGGGTACAGCTGGGCGATAGGGTCGTGGTTGAACCACCTTGTCCGCTGACAGAGCACAAGCGCAAGGCCACTATAGGGTGGTAAAGGGGAAACTTCTAGAGGGTACATTCCAGCCCAAGATGGTTTCCCTCTGGCTGATATGCTACATAAGGTACGGGGTGTTCATGCAGGTGCAGGTACAGATACAGATGCAGCTGGATGAGACAAGAGGGAAAAGTGAAAGGGTGCTGGCTGGTGATCGTATGCAGCTTAGTTGTAAGGTGCTGTGCGGTGCTGTGCGATGACACACCCCGTTGGCACGTGGTGCGCTGTGGTAGCCGTGTCTGTGTTTTAAAACCAGGCGTTGCCCATAGGAGGTTGGGTGGGTTGCTGCCGCGGCTTCCAATATGAGTGTGGACGGGAAGCCAGCAGCTACTGCACGCTGGATGGTGCTGGCAGTGGGAGGAGAGGAACATTAGCGTTTGCAACGCAATGCCCAGGCGTGAGCAGGTGGGCTGGCTGCTGGCAGGCCTAACTTGTTATAACTCGCAGCACCATAAGAGAAAGAAGCATGCGAATGAAGTGTGAAAGCATCAGATCATGTGAAGCAAAGCCCCTGAAGTTGAGGGAGGGGCACTGATGACACGCAAGTACCGTACGGTACAAGGCCACAAGACTGGACACGTCATACGACACTCCATTGAGAGGAGGTGATGGTTTGCTGGACTGCTCTCAGTTGAGACTAGATGCGACTCCCATTGGACATCATTCATTGGCAGTGGCATGGCTGCGGGTAATGCCGAGTGACACACATACGATACAATGCTTGTGGTCACCAAAATTGTGAAGTGCTAGCTCTTATGTAGAGCGGCAGAGATGAGAAGGCTGGTTATCCTTCATTTGTAAGTATTTCATAATAACAACAAAGAGAACTGTTTTGCAGGAAACTCAACTTGCAGAAAGCTTGGGAGTCTAAGCATTTGTAGCAGCAATGTTTTAATTCCTACGTACAGCACATACTCGCTTCAGTGCTCGCTTCCAGCACGAAGTGGCGTTGATACATCGCGCTCCAGCCCAAGCCCATCACCTTCTGAAATCTCTGACAATGGCGGCAAGCTTGGCACAGCGCGCCGCTTTCACGTCTTCTCCGATCGCCGAACCGCATTCAGCATGCAGATCGCGCCGCTCATCGCTGTCTGCGCGTTCCAGCCGATTACATGTTGCGTCGAGCCCCCCTGCTCGCAGCTCCAATGCTATCGCCCCATCCTCTCGCACTGCCTTCCACAGCGGAAACGAGTTTTGCTCGCGAGGCCTCGTGTCGGCATCTCGTTCTAATCACAGCGGTTTTGGTCACGTGCTACCAGGGAGAGCGGGTGTCAGCAAGCATGGGGGAGCGAAGAGTTCGCGCGGGGTTGTGAGAGCAGCGGATTCGGCCGGATCATCCCAAGCCAAGCAGGAATATTCTGTACGATTCTCATTATTTCGTTTTGAGTTCTTCCTCATGATCAGTAAACGGAGAATATACCGGTAGTTGTTTCCACGACGTTTCGAAGTGTTTGTGCTGTCTCTACTGCTGGTGTTGCAGTCGGGCTTCATTGCTTGACCCCTGCTTGTACCCGAAACCCTGTACCTTGTACCTTGTACCCGCTCACTCTTTTCCCCCCCCCTTTCCGCTGCAATGTGAGCCTCTTCAAAGCTCATGATTCCAAACTTCCGATTTCCCCGCACCTCCTATTTCCGTGCCCATCCTGCGGCCTCCCCCGTTCCCGCCCTCCACTCTCCCACCCATCCCCTCCCAGCCCAAGGACGAGGGACCCTCTGTGAAGAAAGGGGAAGACGGCTGCCAAGCACGAGTTATTTTCTGCCCCCCATTCCTCTCTCCTCCCCCTACCCTCACCCCCCTAATCCTCCCGCTTCACAGACAAAGGACCCACTCACCCCCTTCCCCGCCCCCTTTCCCCTTCTCCCCTTGCCCCCCATCCTCTTTCTTCCTCCTCCCCCCTCAAGTTCACGGACGAAGTACCGTCCGTGGAAATCCGCATTCCCATCCTCCTTAGATCCATACCCCACTTCCCTCCCATCCCCCCCCCAGCCAGTTCACAGGCGAAGGACCGACCGTGGAGGTCCGCGTGCCCAGCCCCTTTCCCCCCACATTCTCCCCAGTTAGCCCCTTTTTCCCTCTTCCCTCCCCTCCCCCCCCTCCCCCTCCCCCCCCCTCCCCAGTTCACGGACGAAGGACCCTCTGTGGAGGTCCGCGTGCCCATCCCTGCTGCTCTCCGGCCAATCCAGGCGCGCCACGTGGCGGTGAACGTGCAGGAGGGCGCGCTGTCGGTGGCTGTGACGCCGCCAGCTGGCTTCGGGAGCAAGGAGGGCACTGTGAAGGGCAAGGAGGGGCGGGAGCGATCGCTGCTGGTGGCGAGTCCGCTGTATGGGCGAGTGAAGGCCACTGATAGTGCATGGTGAGTATCGTTTGGTGGGCAGACGATGCTGTCAGTATGGTGGGCAGACAATGCTGTCAGTATGGTGGGCAGACAATGCTGTCAGTATGGTGGGCAGACAATGCTGTCAGTATGGTGGGCAGACAATGCTGTCAGTATGGTGGGCAGTCAATGCTGTCAGTATGGTGGGCAGTCAATGCTGTCAGTATGGTGGGCGGACAATGCTGTCAGTATGGTGGGCAGTCAATGCTGTCAGTATGGTGGGCAGTCAATGCTGTCAGTATGGTGGGCAGTCAATGCTGTCAGTATGGTGGGCAGTCAATGCTGTCAGTATGGTGGGCAGTCAATGCTGTCAGTATGGTGGGCAGTCAATGCTGTCAGTATGGTGGGCAGTCAATGCTGTCAGTATGGTGGGCAGTCAATGCTGTCAGTATGGTGGGCAGTCAATGCTGTCAGTATGGTGGGCAGTCAATGCTGTCAGTATGGTGGGCAGTCAATGCTGTCAGTATGGTGGGCAGTCAATGCTGTCAGTATGGTGGGCAGTCAATGCTGTCAGTATGGTGGGCAGTCAATGCTGTCAGTATGGTGGGCAGTCAATGCTGTCAGTATGGTGGGCAGTCAATGCTGTCAGTATGGTGGGCAGTCAATGCTGTCAGTATGGTGGGCAGTCAATGCTGTCAGTATGGTGGGCAGTCAATGCTGTCAGTATGGTGGGCAGTCAATGCTGTCAGTATGGTGGGCGGACAATGCTGTCAGTATGGTGGGCAGTCAATGCTGTCAGTATGGTGGGCGGACAATGCTGTCAGTATGGTGGGCGGACAATGCTGTCAGTATGGTGGGCAGTCAATGCTGTCAGTATGGTGGGCAGTCAATGCTGTCAGTATGGTGGGCAGTCAATGCTGTCAGTATGGTGGGCAGTCAATGCTGTCAGTATGGTGGGCAGTCAATGCTGTCAGTATGGTGGGCGGACAATGCTGTCAGTATGGTGGGCGGACAATGCTGTCAGTATGGTGGGCAGTCAATGCTGTCAGTATGGTGGGCAGTCAATGCTGTCAGTATGGTGGGCGGACAATGCTGTCAGTATGGTGAGCATTAGTGGTTTCGCCAGGGAAAGCTATAATGTAACAGCTACATGCTACAGCTATCACTCCCCCCTTCGTTTGCTCGTATGCGCTTGGAAGGGCGCACACACCGCTTGGAAGGGCGCACACACCGCTTGGAAGGGCGCACACACTGCTTGGAAGGGCGCACACACCGCTTGGAAGGGCGCACACACCGCTTGGAAGGGCGCACACACCGCTTGGAAGGGCGCACACACCGCTTGGAAGGGCGCACACACCGCTTGGAAGGGCGCACACACCGCTTGGAAGGGCGCACACACCGCTTGGAAGGGCGCACACACCGCTTGGAAGGGCGCACAGATCTGTCACCGTCATTGTGCTCTTTGTTTCTTCCTTCCCTACTTTTGAAGCGCCTCAGCATCTTTCCTACCCCTCGGTTCATGGACAGGCTCTAACTAGCTCGAATACCCCTTTCCCTCACTCCCTCCCAGGTACATTGACGACACAGATATCGTAATCACACTCTCTAAACAACCACAACCCTCCTCCTCTGCACCTTCCGAGCCTGTCTTCCAGGCCTGGCCGACCCTGATCAAGGGCTGGGAGGCACTGGCAGGGGCGGTGGCCAATCAGCTGAAGAGCTGTTCCGTGCTGCTGGTGGGCGGCAGCACTCGTCTCAATGCAGCCGTTGCTGCAGAGCTGGCCACGGGGCTTGGGTGAGTTGCGCCTTGGCCTTAAGGTTTGTTTTTTACCTTAGTCAGTTAGTTTTTTTCAGGCATAAGTCCGTTTCCTTGCATTTGCTCAAGGTAGAAAAGGCCATTTCTCGTTGTTGGTTCACAAAGGAAAGTGCATGCTTGGTGTGCCGTGCCATTGTCTAGTTTGCATACCTCAAAATGGTAACCGTTTGGTTAATGTAAGGTTGTTGCTCGTCCTCATGCCATACATCTGTCGCAAGTTGCACGTAAAAAAAATACCATGTAACTTGTAATAATTCTCAACTTTGGCGCAAAGAAGCAACTGTTACCATGTAGGTTAATACAGATGTAGCATGTACGTTACAACTTGTGTATTTTTCATGTCTCTTATGGTCCTGCCCAATTTCAGCTATGCACCAATCATGACACAGCAACTGGTGGAGCAACTAGCAAGTGCCACCATTGACGAAGGTTTGTTACCCTGTAACCCTGTTTGCGCTGCAATGCTAAATGCGACAATGCTGGTGTTTTGTAGCAGTGGATTCGTGTCTGTGACTTTCGTCTCCGGCATTTGTTCCACACCACATGCACGGTACAGCCCATCTCTGCACATGCCATGAGCTGCCTACGCATGGCACCATGGCAAGCCCATGCGCTTTCCTTCCAGCATCTGTTGACAGGCCAGCTGTTTTTAGCATGTGACAGTCACCGCATGGACTTGCCTACCACTTGCCCGTAACCGTACCATTACCCTTACCATTACCCATACCATTACCCGTACCATTACCCTTACCATTACCCTTACCATTACCCGTACCATTACCCTTACCATTACCCGTACCATTACCCGTACCATTACCCGTACCATTACCCGTACCATTACCCTTACCATTACCCATACCATTACCCGTACCATTACCCTTACCATTACCCTTACCATTACCCGTACCATTACCCGTACCATTATCCTTACCACTGCCTGCCATTGCCCTTGCCTTGCCCTTGCCATTGCCATTGCACTTGCAATTTTATGGTGGAATGCGTCATTGCTCCACCTCTCCATCCCTCCATCTTTCCCCTCTTCTCACCTGTTCTGCACATCACCGGCGAGGGAAGAGGGACCGGACTCAGTGGCTCAAGCAGAGACAGCCCTGTTGGACCACCTCTCCTCGTACGTCACTCTCATGACCTCCCTTTCAAACATTTTGATCCTTTTTCCAGCTGACGAAGAAAATCCTCCCTTTCAAACCGTTTCATCCTTTGTTAATCAATCCTTGACCCCAAAAGCATTGAACCCTTTAACCGGCACAACAGTCCATGTGTGGTGGTTGCCTTGCCTTGCCACCATAGGACAGCCCTCAGGAGCCCCATGGCAGGCCGGCAGGTGAGTTCCAGCCCAGCTGCCACGCTTACTTTCATGGACTCTCCACTGCACATCATTGCATTCTCCCTCGCAGAACTCTTTTCGTCTGCTTCTGCTTCTGCTTCTGCTTCTGCTTCTGCTTCTGCTGCTGCTTCTGCTTCTGCTCCTGCTTCTGCTCCTGCTCCTGCTCCTGCTCCTGCTCCTGCTCCTGCTCCTGCTCTTGCTCCTGCTCCTGCGCCTGCGCCTGCGCCTGCTCCTGCTCCTGCTCCTGCTTCTGCTTCTGCTTCTGCTTCTGCTTCTGCTTCTGCTTCTGCACCGAACCTCATAAATATAATATCCACCCCAGTTAACCACATGACACCCAGCAGTAATCTCCGACTGGTGGTGGCCACCATGGGGCAGCCCTACGGGCGTCTCTGGGGACTTACAGCTGAGCCTCAGCTGCTGCACTTAACCCCACTAAGGAACACCCCATTCCTCTTAACCACATGGTACCTCGCAGCAATCTCCGCGTGGTGGTGGCCACCATGGGGCAGCCCCACGGGGCATCGCTGCAGGCGGACCGCTTACCTTTTGTGCTGCACTGCACTACACCTAACCCCACGTATACTCTCTGCACTCCTCTTAACCGCGTTCTCGTGCAGCAACCTCCGCGTGGTGGTGGCCACCATGGGGCAGCCCCACGGGGCGTCGCTGCGTGCTGAACCCCTCCCCTAATCCCATGATAAACCCCTGACCCCTCCCCCACAGCAACCTCCGCGTGGTGGTGGCCACCATGGGGCAGCCCCACGGGGCGTCGCTGCGTGCTGAACCCCTCCCCTAATCCCATGATAAACCCCTGACCCCTCCCCCACAGCAACCTCCGCGTGGTGGTGGCCACCATGGGGCAGCCCCACGGGGCGTCGCTGCGTGCTGAACCCCTCCCCTAATCCCATGATAAACCCCTGACCCCTCCCCCACAGCAACCTCCGCGTGGTGGTGGCCACCATGGGGCAGCCCCACGGGGCGTCGCTGCGTGCTGAACCCCTCCCCTAATCCCATGATAAACCCCTGACCCCTCCCCCACAGCAACCTCCGCGTGGTGGTGGCCACCATGGGGCAGCCCCACGGGGCGTCGCTGCGTGCTGAACCCCTCCCCTAATCCCATGATAAACCCCTGACCCCTCCCCCACAGCAACCTCCGCGTGGTGGTGGCCACCATGGGGCAGCCCCACGGGGCGTCACTGCGGCCCGACAGCTGGCGGTTCATCCACGGCGGGATAGCTCTGTGGCTGGACGTGAAAGGTGGGCGGGGGGGGGGGGGGGGGGGTGGGGTGGGCAGGGGAGGGTGGGATGGGCAGGGGAGGGTGGGATGGGCATGCGTGATTGATGGCACTAGCGCTGGTCAATTGGAGGGAGGGCGTTGCTTCAGACAGACAGCTGGCGGCTCATCCATGGGGGGGTTAGCGCTCTGGCTGGATGTGAAAGGTGGGCGGGGGGAGGGGAAGAAAAGCTTGAGTGCGTGAAGTTGGGCGCATGTGCATAAGGGCTTGGAAGGGGCATCATTGGGGGCATCATTGGGGGTATCATGGGGGCATCATTGGGGGCATCATTGGGGGCATCATTGGGGGCATCACTGGGGGCATCACTGGGGGCATCATTGGGGGCATCACTGGGGGCATCATTGGGGGCATCATTGGGGGCATCATTGGGGGCATCATTGGGGGCATCATTGGGGGCATCATTGGGGGCATCATTGGGGGCATCATTGGGGGCATCATTGGGGGCATCATTGGGGGCATCATTGGGGGCATCATTGGGGGCATCATTGGGGGCATCATTGGGGGCATCATTGGGGGCATCATTGGGGGCATCATTGGGGGCATCATTGGGGGCATCATTGAGGAAGTTGATCCATGGGAAACGTGGGCGGATGCATGGGGAAGGTGTGTCGAGCGGCATCAGAGCTGGATATCACGTTGTCGGAGATCCCTCCTCTGTTGCCTCCCATGACCTGCCCTCTCCTCCCAGCACTCATCCTCCCTCCCTTCTTCTCTCTGCCCTGTCCCTGTGATAGCTTCCCTTCTCTGCCTCAGCCCATATCAAACAAACAAACGAACGAGAGAACAAGAGTATAGATGCTAGGCTAAGTTACTTAAGCATGCTCCCACTGTCGCGATGCACTCTGTGAACTGAGTAGTAACCGAGTCGCCTGGGCTCTGGATTGGCCCTTGCCGATTTCCTGTCCCCCGAGGTCCTTGAATTCTTCTCAGCTGTGATCCGCAACTTCCAGTGTTACCAGCTTTGCGCAGTCCCCAGTGTCCCAACCACCCCACAACCCAAATTGCATAACACAATCTACACCACACTACACCTCATTAGCAATGTATGGAATATACCGCTCCTACATTATATTCTGTGACAACGTGGAGGGATTGCAGAAGCTTTGCGCATGGATGGGCGTGGGCACTTGCATTGGTTGTATGGGATGGAAACGTAGGGGGTGGCGTTGCATCGCTTTATGGTAACAGCAGGCGGGTAACATATGAGAATTCTCCGAAGTTCATCCCATGGCGTTTAGGATCCCATGCGTGGCGTTTAGGATCCCATGCGTGGCGTTTAGGATCCCATGCGTGGCGTTTAGGATCCCATGCGTGGGAGTGGAGGCTGCTGCATTGCCAGAAAACAAGACAGGTGGGAAATGAGGGGAGTTGGGAAAGGTGGTGTGGTGTGGTGGGGCAGGAGAGGCGGGTCCAAGGGGTTTCAGCAGTCCTCGTTGAGCCCAGTTCCTCCTGCATTGCCTCTCCAACCCCATCCGCTCTCCCATTTCCTGCTCAAGCCTTCCCCAACTCCGTCACCCCACCTCCCCACCTCCCCGTCTCCCATCCTCCCAACCTTATTCAATCCCCACATCCATCCTCTCAGGAGACTCTGACAGCCCCCCAGACCCTCATTTCGCGGACAGAGCTGACGTGGCGATCAGACTGCACCTGCCAGCTGGCTGGAGCACGGACGACACAGTCAGCCCTGACGTGGCGCGGGCGGCCGCAGAGGGAGCGCTGACAGCTGTCAAAGCGGCATTGGATGCGGATCCCCAACTACCAGGTGAGTGGGAGGGCGAGAGAGGGGGAAAGGTCATAATGTGGGGTCAACTCTTCAGATGCTGACAGCTGTCAAAGCGGCATTGGACACGGATCCCCAGCTACTGAGTGAGAGGGCGAGAGGGGGAAGGGCTTCAAATTCTCACAGCAGCATCGAGCATTCCTGATCGCTCGTGAACACTAGGAGATGGCAGGAGTGTGAAGGGTGGTTGAATGCTTGCAATGCAAAGCCAGCTATATTTCTGAAACGTCTCAGTGCTGTGTAAGGATGAACCGTCCACTTGCTAGCAGTGCCAGCTGTCAATGCGGCATTGGGAATGGGTCAACAGCGGCCGTGTGAGCAGTATGCAGGAAAGGGAGTTTCTCACAAGGCTGGAGGCTTCTTCAGGCCTTCAATGCACAAGCTATAGCTTCTTCTGACTTTGGGGGGTCTTCTTCGGGGTGTATAATTTTGTAATGTATCTGTACGTGGGTGTCCATGTGTTTGTATGCATGTGCATGTGCATGCAGGGAAGAAGAGCCTATATGTGAGAATGGGGTGCAGGGGAGACTGGCCTGACCTCATGCCACCAAGCTGGGACCCCAACGCCCAACCAGGCGAAGCAGAAGTTGCAGCCACAGGGGAGGGAAGTGCTTAGGACGAAGAGGCCACACGTGAGAATGGGTGGGTAGGACTGAGAGGCTGGGAGGGATGGGGGTGCAGGGGAGCCTGGCGAGACCTCTGCATTATTTTCTCATGGGGATTTGTAACAGCGTAGTTAATATGTGTGTATTCATACTTTAGTGTAAGGCATGGTCTATTGAGCGCGTACGGTATTGCTACAAATGGTGGCACCACCATGCCGGATGGAGTGTGGACAAAGGGGCCTCGTTTCAATCACATTCGTTCAGATCAGGATTGTTTGGGAGCGGAGGTGCAAGGAACGCATGTGAAGTCCACGGCCTTGGTTCCCCTGCGAGGCACAGCGCACACACACAACACCAAACAATCAGCTAGTTTGTGAACCACAATCAGCCAGTATGTGGACCACAATCAGTAACATATGTCCTCCTGATGTGGTGGGGAAGGGTTGTGCGGGGAAAGCGAGAGTAACTAGAGTGTGCAAGTGTGTGCATGGGACTGATAGTTTAACAAGCCCTCAGAGACATGTAGAAAGGAAGGAGGGAGAGAGGGAAGAGGGGAGCAGCTACCAGTTCTTGTTGTGGTAGGCGAGAATCTTGGAGCCATCAGGGGAGAAAGTGGGGGAGTGGGGCGATGGCAAGTGGTTGGAGGCGGGGGAGCGAGGGGGTGTAGCTTCAAACAGCACGTACCAGTTCTTGTTGTGGTAGGCGAGAATCTTGGAGCCATCAGGGGAGAAGGCCCAGATGAGGCGGTTCACTCCATTGTACTTCACAGGCACGGTCCCATCAGTGCTGTTGCGTGCAAACCTGCATTGGAGGGGACAGGAGGTACAGTTGGGACAGAAGCAGGCCCATGAGAAACAGCAGCAGTGGAGGAGGAGAAGGCTCAGATAAGCCGGCTCACCCCACTGTATCTCACGGGCATGGAGCCATCGGTGCTGTTGCGCGCAAACCTGCATTGTGGGGGACGGTTAGGGGCGGTTAGAGACGGTTGGGGACGGTTAGGGACGTTTGGGGACAGAATCACGGCCGTACAAAATACTTCGAGACGTCTCAAAAGTCGAGAAACAGCAGCAGAGGAGGAGAAGGCCCAGATGAGTCGGTCACGCCATTGCATCTCACAGGCACACAGAGGCATTCGTACTGTTGCTAGGAAACCTGCAGCGATGGGGATGGTTGGCGACAGAGCCAAAGCTGTGACGAATCGTCCCAAATGCTCGAGAGGTTTCAAGATTGACTCATCAATTGACTCAAACGTCGTCTCACCCTGGAACTTGCTGCGCTCGTCCTCACACCTCCCTCTCACACCTCCCTCTCACAACTCCCTCTCACACCTCACCTCATGATTGCACCCCGTGCTGTCGAGCTGAACCCAGTCGGTGCAATGGTAAACTTTCTTGACGGTTTCACGGCACTCGCAGCATAGCCGGTTATCCCATAGGCCGCCACAGCTGCTGCTGACTTGGCAGGTGGCGATGCTGACGTGGCGAGGTTCCCAACCACCACGTCAGCAGGGGACATGAAGCCCGTTTTGGACCAGCCCAGGGCGAACCAGCCCTTGTGGGCCCCACTGCTGGGCTTCGCCTCCACCGCTAGAGACAAACTCTGCCGCCCCTGGCGCTTCCAGTGGAGCACAAAGCTGGAGGGGAAGGGGGGAGAGGAGGGATGGGAAGAGGGACGGATATAGGAGGTGTGTTGAGCAAAGACATTAATACGAGGGAGAGGGAGGAGGTGGGAAGGGGATGGGGTTGGCTTGGGACAGGGTGGGGAGTAGGAAAAAGGCAGGGAGGCATGGTGGTCGAGAGGGACAGCAGGAATACATCAAATGAAGATGAGGCATGGTGGTAGGGACTAGTCTCACCACCGCACACCCACCGCCCACCATAATCACCACCACACACACACACACACACACACACACACACACACACACACACACCTAACCAGCCACACGCACACTCACACCCTCAGTCACCCACCACACCACTACTTTCACGCGCTCACCCACCACACGCACACCCGCCCACAGCACACACACTCTCACCCACCATAGACACACACACACACGCACACCCACCACACTCACCCTTTATCCGTGAGGTCCACTGAGCTGGTAAAGCCCGCGAGGTGTACTGAGCAGAGGGACGATTCCTTGCTCGCAGAGGGCTTGGCTTGCCCTTGCCTAGTCAATCCCACCGCTCTCCCACGATCACACACCCACCACCACCGCACTCACCCTTTACCCGTGAGATCCACTGAGCTGGTGACGCCGGGAAGGGTCGATGCCTTGCACGCAGAGGGCTTGCACTCACAGGGCTTGGCCTGCATATGTTTATCAAGCCCACCGCACTCACTCAAATCACGCAACCACCACGACTCCCTCACCCACCACACACACTCACCCTTTACCCGTGAGATCCACTGAGCTGGTGACGCCGGGAAGGGTCGATGCCTTGCACGCAGAGGGCTTGCACTCACAGGGCTTGGCCTGCATATGTTTATCAAGCCCACCGCACTCACTCAAATCACGCAACCACCACGACTCCCTCACCCACCACACACACTCACCCTTTTCCCGTGAGGTCCACTGAGGAGGTGAAGCCGGGAAGGGTCGATGCCTTGCACGTTGAGGGCTTGCACGGGGGAGGAGATGGCGGAGAGGACGGCTTGGGGGAGGGCTTGGGGGAAGGCTGCGGTGCGGGCTTCGGGGATGGCTTGGGGAAAGGTTTTGGGGATGGCTTGGGGGATGGCTTGGGGGATGGCTTGGGGGGAGGGGGAGGGGAGATGGAGGGCGCGGGGAGACACGAGAAGTCCACAGCTTTACCGCCCCTGCAACCAGCACAGCAGCAGAAATCGGGGAACACAGGGGATGGGAGCACCCAAAGTAAATATCAGGCGCTTTTGTTGGGCGCTTCCTGTTCGCCCATTTGACTTTCGAAGCGCCTCAAAAAAGGCATGTGCTCTGCTAAGCACCAAAGTGTTTCCTGTTCTTCTAATGCCTTTTGGAGCTCACTGTTTTCATTACACCGAAACAAGCTGAATATAAAGGAACAGCTCATAGAGAGGAGGAGAGCATTGGTTCGCATCGCACCTGTTCATGCCGTGGTCGATGGGTTTGCCGCTCGCATCAAACGCTCAGATGATCTTATTCGCCCCGCTGCACTTAAATGGAACAAGCTGCTTATAAGAAAAACGCTTATAGGGGGGACGAGAGTCATCGCACCTGTTCATGCCATGATCGGTTGGCCTGCCGCTCGAACCGAACGCCCAGATGATTTGATTCGCCCCGCTGTAAGTCACTGGAACCACCCCGTCCGTGCCGTTCCGCGTGAACCTGCGGTCAGTCACGCACAAGGTAAAGAAAACCGTGTGAATTGGGGAGATGGGTTTGAGACGAGGCTTATCGCTCGTAACAGCCGTATAAGCTTTGCCTGCAGAGGCAGGCAGAAAACGGGGAAGCGCCACACTCAGCGCGTACCTCATCACGATGCCACTTGGTCCCCACGCGAGCGCGGCATTCCCAAGGCTAAACCTCGAGGTGGGCGCAACTGTGGTTTGACTGTAGCCTTCTAACGCGTACGCCGAGGGCCGGCTGCTCCCCGCAACACCCACAACACCATCGGCGGGGAACATGTACCCCGTCTTGCTCCACGCTATCGCGAACCAGCCTTTATTGGTCGACACGCCGCTCCCCGCCTTCGCCTCGACTGCCATGGCTAGGCTTTGCGGTCCGTCGAGCTTCCAGTGCAGCACGAGGCTGAGGGAAGGGCGGGAGGGGCATGTTAAGGGCGGGAGGGGCATGTTAAGGGCGGACGGGAAAAGTGTGCGATGAGTAAGCGAATAGGAGTTGGGGACCGTCGAGCTTCCAGTGAAGGACGAGGCTGACGAGCGGAAGGGGATGATGCACGACGAGTGCGGGAAGGAAGACTTTTGAGGCACGTATGAAGGGAATATGCATGACGTTATGTAAGGGAGGGAACTACGCATAGCGGCGAGAAATTGTCGGCAGGGCGCGCGCCTTCGCCTTGACCCCGCTAAGGCGAGGCTTTCAAGACCGTTGAGCTTCCAGTGAAGGACGCGTCCGAAGGGCGGAGAGAGCAGTGTATGGGCAAGTTGGATTGGAATATATGGACAGCTTCGTGCCTCTTGTAACTTTTGAGGCGCCTCGAAGGGTGGGGCGAGCCGTATATGATGGGCAAGTTGCTTTGGAATATATGGACAGCTTCGTGCGTCTCGTAACGCACCCTTTACCCGACAGGTCGATCGACGAGGTGAAGCCCGGAAGCGAAGACGCCTTACACGCCCGCGAGGATGCTAGCTTGCGCCGCCGGCTGTCGAAGCGCTCGCGCCCATGATCACGACTCGTGCTTTTGGGTGTCCCTGCCTCACCGCCGCTGCTTCCGAGCACCGTCAGTCGCCGCCTGCTGTCGAAGATGCTCTCTCGCCGACTTTGAGTTTCAATCATAGCTTCGTTCTGTACGATTTCCGACGAATATCGTCTGCTTTCCTGCGCTTCCCCGACAGCATGTGACACTAAGCAGAGTGCTACTAGCGAGACCGCGACTTGAAATGTATTCCGCATTTCGGAACGTTGACGGACGGCCTGTGTACTGAACATGACAAATTGTTAAGTGCTCTCTCAAGGACGAACTGGTTAACGCTTTAAACCAGCAGGATAGGTTTCTTGTCTGAAGAACATTATGCTTGTACACATGGGGAATTGACAAGGTCCGCCAAAACACAGGAGCTGATTGTCGAAGGCGAAATCCTCTAGGACATTCGAGAAGCGCGGGACGGTGTGAGGTTCGGAGGTACCGTCTGGGGAAGGTTACTCAACTGGCTTCTTCCGCTGGGAAGAATCCTTCTCAAAAAGGCCGACCGGGTGGTAGTAGGCAGCTCAGCAAACACAGAAATTGTTGATGCTGTGGTGGTGATGGCGTCTCTGGTGTGGTGGTCACACGAGTCACACTGATCAGTCTCAGTCGGTGCATCATCAATCCATGTGCAATTTCTTGACACACTCATCGTCAGTCGGTGCAAATGCAGTTGCATTCATGCGGCTCGATACCAGTGCTCCCATAACAATTTTATTGGAAATCACGCAAGAGAAGGGTTTGTTTCAAGGTTACCCTAAGCTGAAAGAACATGTGCGTGACAAGGTTCTCTAGTCAGACGCTGTCAGACCTACTTCATTAGGGCGGGTCCAAACCATCACAGCTCAGGTCAATATTAGCCTCTGTAACCATTTTCTGTAGGGTAACCGCGTCAAATCATGAGACTAGCCGGGATGACGCGCTCGGTTTTCCGCCATGCAAAACGAGTTTCGTGCCATAACACATTTCAAACTCGAATTGTTTTCGAAAATATTGCGAACTGGGAAGCAAGAGCAAATCAAACTCTCACACAAACACCCCAGTAACAGAGTGTATTCGTGATTGCGAACTGTATTATTTTCGTCAGACGGTAACCTGTCTCGCAACAGTTCCAGTTCCTAGAGTGTCTTCCCATAAAAACCCCTGACGAAGTCTGCCGATTGCACGCATGATTTTTTCCCCATCTTCTGTTCATACGGGAGGGATGTTGTCTGTGTTGATGGTACACCAGTTCGTTTGGGCAGGTGCTGTGCCCGCCTGGGGTCACCATGACGCTGCACGTGTTTAGGTTCGAATTGGGTGTTTGTCATCCGGACAGTCAACATTTTGTTACAGGGGTGTTATTCCCCGAAACGAAACGAGTTGGACCCGCCCTTACTACAGTAATTCTCTTTAGAGGAATCAACAGCTACATTGTTCGGCCTTTTCAGCTGTTCACCACAACCCTGGGTCCGGCAAAATGCGTTTTGGCACGAGAAAAACTGGATATCCGAGCCGCATGTCTAGGGTGATGTACGCGGCTCGCTCGCCCTTTACGCATTCGCCTTGACGTGGCAACATGGCTACTCATCCAACCGTCCATTTCATCCTTGCGACTCGAGTGGACAAATTTCCAGCCTCCTCGAACCAAATTTGGCCCTGCTGCTCCTTGCTTCCCTTCCCTCCTTTTGTCATTCCATGTCGGCTCATCACGTTGAAGTGTCGACCTGGACACCGCTGTGGCGTATCTGCCCTACACCTTGAGTTGGCTTTTGTGCGCCCCAGTGCCCCACTTTGAGTGAATCTGGTGACTGGAGGCCAGGAGAATGTCAGGTGAACGTGAACAAATTCTGAGCCTCCAATGCACAAGGTGAGTAGTGACAGGGCAAATTCAGCATCACGAACTTCGCAGTTCCTTTCTTGGATGCAAATCCAAATCAAGCAGAAGCTCTTATCAAGTCGCCGTATCTGCTAGCCTTCGGCCGGTCAGTGCTGTCTTACAAGCTCATGCCAACATTGTACTCAAAGCAACTACATCGCCCCTCTTGAATCCTGTTAGCACAACAAGTCGAAGTTTTTCTCCCTTGCTCAACAGGCTTTACAGCTCCGCACTCCGTACCAACTCCTCCTACCACACCTCTGAGCTACACGCTGGTTTCGCACGCTTTTCCTCGTAGCTTTCACGGCACATCTTTCCATGGGTCACTCAAACCCCATGCAGCCATGCTAGGCACGCCGAGCCCCTCTTATTACGCCTACAGCCTCCGCTTTTCCATGACAAAATCTTAATTGCTTTCAGAGCCAGGAACCACTTTTTGCAACAGCGGGAGACCATTATACACAGCAGACTAGCGCCCGAGCCAGGAACGACAGATTGGGGGGTTTCTTACCTAGCGGAAACGACGATGAAGATGGTGGCGCAACGCAGATTAACTTTACTTTCGCTGCTCCTCGTAGTGTCGCTGTTGCCTCTGACCCTCGCAGTCGGGCCGCCAGCCTCACAAGCAGCTGCACGGGCAGCATCACGGGCAGCCGGACGCGCGAATCCGAAAGAAAGTTCGCGGGGAACGCCAAGGCCAGCCCCTCGGGCAGCACCACGCAGACCAGTAGTACAAGCGGCCGCAGCCAGTAAATGTGACCTCAATCAAGGACGGTACGTTGCAATGAGAGCCTCCTTGAACTATTATACGATGCAGGATTCCGCCTTCATGTGGTTCTCAAGATGCAAAATCTGCTCTTCAAGCTCAAGCTTTGCACGCCTTTCGGGTTCACCTGTTGCAAGTAGGTGTTCGGTCTTACATGTAAGCCACCAACTTTTATTTCAACCTAGGTCTCTATTCCTCCCACTGCGTGCCGTCCGTGTCGCTTTGCCACAGGTGGGTATACGACGCCAAGTACAAGCCAGCATACGGCCCCGTGAGCTGCAAAAACCTACGATCGTACTTCAACTGCCTCGCGAACGGGCGAAAAGATCGCAGATACCTCAATTACGTGTGGCGAAGCCCTGGTTGTAACATCCAGAGGTAAGTCCCGGTTCGCGTATCCTGAACATGTTTTTTTCAGGGCAGTCTGTGCTCCTAGAGTTTGTTTCTGACTTGAAAAGTACTAACCACGCGCGCGTCACTTTTCTTCGCACAGGTTCAATGCGACGTCTTTCATGCACCGGTTTCGCAACAAGGTGTTTCTGGTTACCGGCGACTCCTTCGCGACGAACTTCGACGCCTCGTTCCGCTGCCTCATCGGCTCATACACCAAAACCAAGGTGCGTAAAAAGCACGGCGGTCGACGGACAAACTTCATTTAGGTGGCTCTGCGAGAGAAGCGTTTGTAGGAAGCCTGATAGGAGAAGAGCGAGGCGAAAGAAAATTAGGTGCGAATTGTCAAAAACTAGCGGTGCATAGACGACTCAAATTCTACCCGGTGATAGCTGGCGTTGGCGGCCGCTGTCTGGGCGCAGTACTGGGGCGACAATAGGGAAACAGATCAGTAGGGGAGACGGCTTGAACGAGAGATCCGGCATTGGAGGAATGGCTTCACGAGAGCTGATATAGTAGCTCATTGAACGGACAGGCTTGGACTAATTGTTGCTGGGAGCCAAGGCTCTAGATGCCTAGGGTTTTCATGGTCGATGCTCCTTAGAAACAGGCAAGGGTGTCGTAGGGTCCCCAGCATAGCGGTATTTCGTGCGAACATCGTGGGAGACCACCCAATTCGTGAAGTAACCAGTTCAAAGTCGCGAATCTCCTCGGTCAAGTGCTTCCCTCCACCCCTTGTCTGCTCCTCTCCCCCCCTTCCTTCTTTCCCTTCTCAGTATATGTAATGCAAGATTGGAGTTTCCTAGGCTCCCCAGCAATTCTCACACACACTCCCATGACCTTCCTTTGTGACTTGTTTCTCTTTCGGCAGGATTTTACCAACAAGCAGTGGGGTAACACTGGAGTGAAGGCATCGGGTTACTTCGCAAAGGCGTTCAACTTCACTGTAGTTCGCGTGCCCTCGAATTTCCTCGTCGCGTCGCAACCAATCGTGAGCCTTTCCTGCCGCCGACTACAAAAACTCAATCAACACTTCAATCATCTTCCAAAAAAATAACCGCTCCGTTGTAGGACGTTTTTATGGGCCAATTTCTGTTGCATAATCTGAAGTTCTCTAGAAATAACATGTAACCCAATCTCATCATTCTTTTCCACATTCGTCTACCTGTATCGCAGGGCGAGGTATCGAGCGCAGGGGTGTGGCAAGTGGAATTAGACAAAGTGGACGACAACTGGGCCAAGCTCTTGTCCTTCACCCACTACGCGCTCTTCAGCTCCGGTCACTGGTTCAGCCAGGTGAGGCAAGGGAGGTTGAAAGCGGTGGTGAGTGGTTCAAGCAGGTGAGTATCGGATCACTAGCACACAGGTTACTCCACACATACTCTCCTCCTTATGCTCTTCCATAAACACACCTCCATCCACAGAAAACACTTTGTATACCACAAGGAGAAACTCGCTATCTCTGAATGGACTGCACCAATGGGAAGTAATTCTGCCACACGGACATGTACCCGTGCAAGAATTTTCCATATAACTCCACCCCCATCCCCATTCACACCCCCACTTCCTCTCAATCTCCATCTCCATCCCCATCTCCATCCCCATCTCCATCCCCATCCCCATCCCCATCCCCATCCCCATCCCCATCCCCATCCCCATCCCCATCCCCATCCCCATCCCCATCTCCATCCCCATCCCCATCCCATGCAAGAGTTTCCTACGGGAATCCATCCCCATCTCCATCCCCATCCCCACCCTAACCCTCTCACCCCATTCCCATCGCCCTCCCTCTACCAGGCGTCCGACAACCTCCGGAAATACCGCCGCGGAGGGCAGCCGATCAAGCCGCAATCCGCGCTGCTAACCATGCAAGAGTCGCTCGTTACAGTCACGCGGTTCGTGAAGGCGTCTGGTTACCGCGGCACGCCGTTCTTCATCACGTTCACGGCCTTCCACTACTACAACTCGTTTGACGCCAAGTCGCAGAGCTGCGTGGGGTTCACCGACCCCTTAAAGCCCAAGCAGCTGCAATACGCCGAAGCCGCGACCGATATCATCACGTCACGGAATGCACAGGTGGCGGTGAGTGAAGGGGGGGGGCAGGGGGCTGTGCGGGTGAGAGGGAAGTTTCTCTTGGGGAAAGGCAAGGGAGGGGAGTTTGGATGCGAGAGGGGGCGAGGTTAAGCCCAAGCAGCTGCAATACGCCGAAGGGTTGAAGGGGGAGGGTTGAAGGCAGCGAGTTGAAGGGTTGAGGGGGGAGGGTTGGGGGGGTGGAGGAGCAGTGGGAGACAGACAGGAGCAGAAGGGATGACTGATGTGACCACCATGGTCAGAGGTGGTCAAGTTACTGAATGAACATGGCCCGAGCCCTCCATGCTCCACCAATCCTTGAAAAATCTGCAGGAAAATGTGGCTCGTTCTTCCTTACCTGCTCACTGCCTTCCTGAACCTACTGACCCTTTCATATCCTCCCTCGTTCCCAAACCTATGCCGAATCTGTCCGCATAAAAATCGTGATCGTGGACATGGCTCGATCCACCATCTCCCGGACCTACTTGCCAAACCTCCTGTCCTCTCTTTCCCGAACCTGTCCTCCGATGCGCAGATCCTACGAAAGGCACCGGAGTTTAAAATCGTGGACGTGGCTCGATCCACCCTCTCTCGCCCAGACTCACATCAACAGTTGGCAACAGGAACGGGCAACCCCGACTGCTCCCACTTCTGCGTCCCCGGGGTGCCAGATTCATGGGTGGACATCGTCAATTCGTATATGATCGGCACGATTTGATTATGAGAGACTTGGGAAGGATTGGTGTGAGGGGAGAAAATCCAGCAGATGGTAACAGGAACGGACTGCCCCAACTGCTCCCGCTTTTGTGTCCCCGAGGTGCCGGATTCATGGGTGGACATCGTCAATTCGTATATAATTGGGGCGATTCGATGAGTGATTTGATAAATATTGGTGGCAGGGTGGGGGCTGAGCCCCAGTGAGGGGGGACAGACCCTCCCAACACGTAGGGGGAATGGAAGAGAGGGGTTGGTGCTGTGGAGGTAGGGGTTGCTTTTTTTCTGAAAAAGGGGCTGTGCTGTGGAGAGAGAAGCTGCTTCTTTGAAGATAAGGTTGGTGCTGCGGAGAAGACAAACCAGCCGTGGCCAAAGTATATGCATACATATGTGTACGTGAACGGATATGGATGCATCCGGCATCCAGAATCTCATACGGCGACAAAAACGTTGTACGATACAATAATCTATGTGCACGCTTCATGAGCTCAATACCGTAGGTTATTCTCTGGTTTGAATCCAAATAATGATCAGCTGGGACGGCGTATAGGATGTGTTTGTTCTCCTAATAAGCTGTTGCATGCAAGATTTCATCAAGCACTTACACTACAAGTGTTGTGTGCCTTCATATCAATGAAATCTTTTATTTCAGCAATATATAAGAAAGCATGAGCTTGTTGTTAGCGCGCGCGCGCGCACGCACGCACACACACACACACACACACACACACACACACACACACACACACACACACACACACACACACACACACACACACACACATGTATATATGTATACGGTATATGTATATGTATATGTATACATATATATGTATTGTTACGGGTGCAATGGAACGAGATAGCGAGGATTGCACTAGGTGTCAAACGAGTACAAGTATGAGCGAAGGCATGAGCGAATACTTATGTGCGAAACATGCAACCGTTACGCGGTGAGTGCGAGCTAGCTAGTGCTAGGCTGGCATCGAGGTTCGGGCTAGTCCCGAAGCGTAGGCCGACTCGGCTAGGCCAGCGGTGCATAGATTGGTAAAACAGTGCGCGCGAAGTTGGCAAAGCCCCATTAGCAGTAACGGGCAAACAATGGCTGCTGCTGGACGCGATGTTGCTGGCCGCGGTAAGAAAGGTCGAGAAAATTCCTTACACTACCACCCCACCCCACCACCTTCTCAAGAAGCCCCCTCCGCTACGCGTGTTGGAAATAAGTGATTTAAGCGCCTCTGTCGTGTCGAAGCACTAAGTCGTAAACGAAGCGAAATACAGTGAAGCATCGGCGAGTCAACACTTGGAAGTTGAGAAGTGAAGAAACCGCTGGAGGTTACGCGAAAGTCAAAGGTCAGCGACCTTTGACCTGACAAGTACAGCGCGACAGCAAGGACAAACAACTGACTCGTTATTGAGCAGTTGCCCAAGTCGTCACTGTATCGAACCGCAGCAACGATAAAACTGTAGTTAGCTATAATATTTCATATTCCCTTGTACTCTTATAAATGCTTGTATCTCTTTGTTTTAATCAATCTACTTTGCCTTCACATACCAGCGCAAGGTGGTTCACAGACTTATCATTAAACGCTTCCGCTATTACATTGTTCTTACTCAGAGTTTAGTCCTGCAAAGATCCTAAGGGCTTTTTCAGCCCAACATGGTATGAGAGCTATCAGGGCAAACTCAACTACTATCAAAACACCTACAACATTAGAAGGCATGGCAACGCAGAAGGAGAGAAGCTCCTCTAACGTCTCTCCCGGTACTACTCCTACTCCACCTCCTGCCTCTGGCCTACAGACAGAGGAGGGCACAGCAACAAGACCAGCAGCTGGGTCTACCGAAACTCCCGCAAATCAAGCCACGGGCTTCGACCCAAGCATGATGGAGAAGTTCTTCTCCTTCATGTCCTTCTACGAACAACACCAGCAAGGGGCACCTACACAGTCAAACAACAGCAACAACAACAACGATGTGACACCGATGAGCCTCGACGGTTCATCCTACGCGCGAAGAAATCAGCAACAACAACCTACCTTTGCCCCGTACGAACCCCAGTGTGGTTCCGTCAGCTTCATGCCGCGCCAGCAGCCTTCACCTGAGCAAGAGAAGACATTGGATGCACTTCAAGTTCAGTCGCAGTTCGCGCACGTCTTAAAACTGCAGACATCAAGAGCGTTCGACGGAAAAGACTTCTTCACCTGGTCGTTCGAATTTGTGCTAATGATGGAAGGCGCGCAGATTCTTGGCTTCTTCGACGGGTCCCTGCCATATCCAACGCACGTGATGCAATACGACAAGCAGCAGTACACATATCAGTCCATGATGGCATACACAATCCTACTGTGCAACGTCACACCGAACCAGCAGCAGAATATTCGGTCTTACTGGGGATACGGGAACTCTGCCGAGCTCGCGTACAACCACTTGAAGAACCTGTATCAGGGAACAGACAGCGTTAATCAGAGCCGGTTAATGGCACAACTGACAACAGTGGAAATGAAACCGGGCAAAAAGGGGATGGCTTATATCAGTCGCTGTCGCGAATTGCGCGACAAACTCCTTCGATGCGGAGGGTCGATATCAGAAGACGCCTTCGTCACAGTCGTCATTGGCGGTCTTGGTCCCCATTGGCGCTCCACTCGCGCCATACTCCGAGCTCACGGGAAGATCTCCGAAGCAACACTCTGCGCCGAAATTCACGCTGAACAGCAAGACATGGACCCGCAAGAGGAACGGCACAAGAAGAAAACGTCAGTACCCGAATTTGCGTTTCACACTCAACGGCTCTACAACAACAACAACAAGCGGCATCAACCGAAAACCGTACCTCCATTCTGTCATTTCTGCAAGACTTCAGGGCACCCTCGCACACACTGCCCGGATCGACAGCAGAAAACGCCGCCGCAACGCCAACTTCGTCCTTCAAGCAGTCAAGTGGCGTCCACACAAGTGCACCCCACGAGTCAACTGCAGCCCTCAACGACATCGTCAACACAATCTGCACAAGGAGCAAGAACATCGTCAGTTGCATGGCAAGACTGACTGACTCCTGCATCACCGAGTCACCACCGCACTACTCACCGGAAGAGCAACTCGACAACAGCACCCCTCGCCGCGAGTCACTCCAACCGAACCCGACGTATGCAGCCATCGCTCAAAGCGAGCCGTCCGGAAAAGACACTTGGTTCTTGGACAGTTGTTGCAGATAGCATATGCGCTCTTCAGGTCGTTTCGTTCAACGAGAATACCAACTTCAACGCGACGTTGTCATCACCGTCGCCAACAATCAGAACCTGTGCACACGACGACAAGGCGTAGTGCAACTTCAGTCACGAGAGACAAACGTCATACTGCAAATGTCAAAGGTTTTAATTGCGGAGGGACTCGGCTACAACTTACTGAGTGTCAGTCAGCTGATGGCGAAAGGTATCCACCTCGAAGCAGACAACACAACACAGGAGTTCAAGCTGTACCACGGAAGAGGAGGCCTCTATATTGGCAAGGCCGTGCTGAAGAACAACGTGTTCGTCCTCGACTTCGTTCCAGATCTAGGCACCGCCGACAGCGACGGAATCGTCACCTTTACCTCCTGGACGCACCCACCGGATCTTGATCCTGACAACCGTCCTGAAGAATTCGGGTATTCGCACACCATCCTTGAGGCAGAACGAACAAAAGCGTTAGCAACAATTCAATCGGCAGCAGCAGAGACAACATCGGCAGCAGCAGAGACAACATCGGCAGCAGCAGAGACAACATCGGCAGCAGCAGAGACAACATCGGCACCAATCGCGGGTCCTTCAACTGCACCAGCCCTAATCGACGACGACACTCCACCGACTTCTGCACAACAACTGAATCCAACACCACGAGAAGTGCATCGAAGCGCAAACTTCACCGCAAGCTTCTACTCCAACTTCGACATATACCATCGTTCACCCGGACATCGAGCTGGCGAAGATATCTGGCACGCACGAATGGGATATCCAAGCAACACGGTGTTAAATAACACAATCAGAACAGGCGTGCTCGACAAAGACTCACTACTTCTAACCGACGGTAGCGAACTTCGACGACCTCGCGGAATGTGCTTTACCTGCCCCGAAGCCGACTTACCACATCGGCCGTTCGTTTCTCACCACAACCCGAGAGCACCAGCTTACGCACCACTCGAGAAAGTGTACAGCGACATCCTGTACAATCGCGAACCTGGACAAGGAGCATACAGCTAAACCATCACGTTCATCGATGCCGCCACACGCTAGGTTTGGCACCTCAATCTTCCGAGCAAAGAC